CTCTCTCTCTCTCTCTCTCTCTCTCTCTCTCTCTCTCTCTCTCTCTCTCTCTCTCTCTCTCTCTCTCTCTCTCTCTCTCTCTCTCTCTCTCTCTCTCTCTCTCTCTCTCTCTCTCTCTCTCTCTCTTTCTCCCTCACTCTTTTTAGCTCGCCTACTCTCGCTCGAGCGTCAATGGTTCGATCATTTTTTCATGGGCTTTCTTCTTTCTCGCACGCGTCGATCGGCGAGCGTGTGATATTATTTTTTTATCGGAGCCGGCGTAGTGTCGGAGTAGCGAGCGGCGAGACTTTCCCGCTCGGGAAAACGCGCGGGTTTTCCTTCGCGAGCGCACGTTCGGGATATTCGCGACGGGTATGCACCGTTGACACGTTTCGTTTGTGTCGCTGACAGTTCCGTGTCGATTTAGATTTTTCGTATTAAAGCTCGATAAGCGATATTCCTTGTCGCCTGAAAAGCGACAACGTTCCACCAAAAGAAGCCGCTCACTCACTCGTCGCGAAATTGCACTCCCGACGTTTTTCATTAGCCCAGCGAAATAATTCTCCAAGAGGTCTCTCGCGAGTCACATCTCTCAAATTAACGGCCGGTAAAAGTGATCCAAATGAATCGCGCAAAATTTCAGTGAGAGAGAATTGTTCTCGTCATCATTGAACCGCATTACATTGACATCAAATCAACATTAGATTAATACACTCTCCATTGAAGCGCTAATCGTACATTCTCGACAGGCGCAAAGCGATATTGATGAACGACAATTTAAAGCCACTTACCGTCAAAAACTCTAGAGCTTCGTTCCACCTAACTCATCGATACATTCTCGAAACACGTAAAAATTAAAAAAGCAAAATTTCTCTAAACTCTCGAAGCACATATAAAACCCGATGAATTCCGGAAACAGCGCGAGTGCGCGACGCACCACCCGGCGCCGCCGGGCGAAAAAATCAGTCTCGCGATATTGCCGTGGACAGTTTTTCGCGCCTCAGCGAAGTCTCGCTGAAATATCGGCGACCAGAAGACGGCGTCTCGTAAAACGGTATCCTTTATCACACCTTAAGTCCTTTATCACACGTACGAGAAAAAAAAGCGCTCGGTAGTCGCGGCGACCGCGAGGCTGTTATCGACGCGAGCTGTTCGACGGCCAGCTAGCTCTTCTCGCCAGTGCAATAACGGCGTTGGGCTGTACGGCAAGAAAAAATTTACATACGCACATATATAGAGCTTCTGGCGTCGGAGGCGACGAGGCCTGCGAATTTCAACGAGGCGCGTCGCGGTCTTGCGAAAACGTAGCGCAACGAAGCGTCTTCTCGTCCAAAGACGCTGGCAATATCCTTCATCCTCCAAGTCGCGCCTGTCTTACAGCGGTTCGCCGCGAAACGACGCGGAACAGCACGCGGGGTATCCCTGAGCGGATTCCGCAGCGCGAGAGCCGCGTAAGCTGCGTAAGAAAGGAGCGAGCAAGATGGACGTAGAGACTTATTTCCCCGGGAAACACTCGTCTGACCGAGCCGTCGTAACTTAAGCTCTTACCCGGGCCTTTTAATAATTTCTAGCTACGGCGGTGCTCGCGGTACGCGGCCAATAAATGAAATACTCCCTCTCCGAGGGGAATTCTCCCCGGAGAACGGAGCTTTTATTACTCACGTTATTGTGTTATTTATATTATATGGGCTAATTATATGTATCGTCCATTCGATTCACGCCGCGCGTACGTGACGCGTTAGCCGCCAATCTCGAGAGGAAATCGATAGAAACGAAAAGGAAAACGGGCTAGGAGGGGACAAATTTATTTCCCGGGGAAAACCCGAGAACACGAGCGAGAGAGGGAGGGGGAGCAGAGAGGAAAGTTGTTTTATGTAAGCGAGCGTAACGCAAACCCGTACTTTGCGACGCGATTGTTATATTATCGTTATATCATTACCGCGGGGCGTAATTGCGCCGGGGCGACGCGGTTGGCGTTGCACCACCGCCGTACCGCGATAAAGAGAAAGATACTCGGGGGTAGTACTCCGGCCGGTGACTCGATACGCGATTACCGCGAGCCGGAACTCAATAATAAATAGGGCAACGGTGAATCGGATTAATCGCGCTCTCACTTAGTTTCCGATCGATCCACAGAGTATTATTCGCTCCCTTCCCCCTCCTCTCTCTCTCTCTCTCTCTCTCTCTCTCTCTCTCTCTCTCTCTCTCTCTCTCTCTCTCTCTCTCTCTCTCTCTCTTTCTGCCACCAGGCCGAGCTCATTAGGAGCTGTTTAGTTGCGCAAGAATTTGCGAAAGTAACCTCGCGTTCTCTTTACGTCTGTCCGTACGTACGGTATCAGCTACGCGCTTCGGCGTAGCGACTATCGTTTGCTCGTTAACGATAATGCCTCCGAGTTTAGAGAATACAAAAGTCCGTAGTACGAGCAATCAACTTACGTTCAAACGTTCTACGGTAATGGGAACCGAATCGCTTCCGACTGGGAAAAGCTAGCTGGCTTGGCTCGGCTTGGCTGACTTGGTTTGGCTGACTTGGTTTGGCTGGCTGGCTGGCTGGCTGGCTGGCTGGCTGGGACGGAGCAGGAATGAAACGAAGAAAGCAGGTCGAGGCGGCGGGGGCGGATGGCGAAGGAGAGGCGAGGAAGCAGGAACCGGTGCTCTCGATTGGCCCGCGCACACAGGCTTGCATACAATTAACTCGGAAAACATAAGTTTTCCCGTTCTTACAAGCGAAGGAAACGTGGGGCTCGTCCGAGGTCTTTCGGACGGGCGAGGGAGGCAGCCTCGAGAAAGCGCAACGGAGGAGGAATCACCACCGAGCTGTCGGCGAATTTTCGACGCTGCGAGAGCTTCGATCGGAAGCGCGATTAAATCTGGAAGCAAAATCGCGTTACGCGAAGGCCGCTTTAGACAATCCATAATTCGCGACGGAATTCGGGGTAGAATTCTATTTGCCGGAAATTTGAAGAATTCGAATTTACAGATGTGCACACATGCACAAGCATGGGCGCGCGTGTGCGTATCTATAAATCTTCAAATGTTGTTCGTATCGCTGGGCGTTGCGTAAAATTACAAATAGCATTCTATCGCGAATTCCACCGCGAATTATATACAATTCGTATGTATATATATATGTATATATATACATACACACACACGCATGCATACGCACATACACACACACACACACGCGCGCGCGCGCGCACGCGCATATACGTATCGTTCGTATCCGCTATTTTTGACGGTGCGACGTAGTTGCGTTAAATCAAATAACGGACTATTTCCCTCTTCCCCCTTCCCTCCCCATTCAAATATCGATATACCAGATGCGCGTTATCGGGACGGAGCAGCGGATCGAGTTAAATCCAGGTGGGCGAAACTTTCTGCGCTCGCCACGATCCATCGCGGCGAATACTTTTAATGCGTTTAGTACAAGCGAGCGATCGAGCGCGCAACTTTCGTCGAATAAACATATTCTCCGGTGTATATACGCGTCCTCTCGCGTCATTACCCGCGGAAACGAAACTTCCCGATTCCCGCGCCCAAGGGAGCGCGCGCCGCGCGGCCTCTAAGCACGGCACCGTTAATTACTAGCCATCATTAATATAGCCGCTGGCTGGTGCCCCTACCCCCCGCGGCCGGCCGACTCCACGACCGATATTAAACTTTACGGCGGCCACGGAAGATATCAATCCGAAATCTTACTTTCTCGGTCTCGAACGATCTTAATAATTACGGCGGCAAACGGCGGTCGTGCTAATAAGTAACCCGTGTTTGGTATCCTAAATCGTTCTTATTGCCGATTGCCAAACACAAGGAGGGAACGGGAGGGAAATGGCAGCGAGTTTAAAGTATTAAAGTTTAATAATTTTGTTGGCGTTATGCGAGAACGTCGATATATCGATCGCGTCGGCTGCACTCTACTTGCCAACAAAAACCGATATATCGGCTTTTAGGTATTACGAGGGGGTTAATAGTTCGCTCTGTTGGCCGGAAAGTCACGGCTACTCTACAAAAGCTACGAGTACGCGAGTCACTAGCGAGTTCGAGAGAGAGAGAGAGAGAGAGAGAGAGAGAGAGAAAGAGAGACAGAGAGAGCACGTGTACTTTTGTCTTGGTCCTTTCTTTATCTTTTTTCTAACACTCGGCTCGGTGAAACAAAGTGAGAGATATCGCACGTGCAACTTCGCTCGATCTGAAAGCCCGAAGGATATATTTTGTCTCGACCGTTTGGCGCAAAACGTGCGATCTATTAACATCGCGCATCGCGAAAAATGAAGCTCAAGATTAATTTCTATGCGATCAATAGTCGATTGTGTAAGTTTGTAAAAATTCTGTAAAAATATTCCGTGATGAATACATATATATATATATTCATATCGATTGGTATTATAACGTTTGAGGTGAAAAAAAAAAATTGATAAACGAGCAGGAAAATGTTTAGATTTTAAGACAACATTCACGGAGGATTCTACCGTACTATTAACTTCCGCATCACGCAAGAACTTGCCACGACCGATGAGGTCGACTTCGCGGAGCCGGTTCTTCTCGAGAGATACAGATCAGTACGCGGAAGATACAGCCGGCCGGTTCGCGCTACGTCGATAGTTTCCAACAGTCGCGTGGCGCAAAACGAGTTGGCGGAAATTGGTAAACGATTAAGTCGGAGCCGTTTAGGGAAGCGCGAAAGGAAATTCGATCGCCCAGAAAGCCGATCCTGGACGTTGGCGCCTGTACGGTAACTAGCACCGTGCAGGATAAGCATCCGTATATACTCACGATTGTACAATCGAGCGCGGAACATCGAGGTGGAGATCGCGTTAGCATCCGTTGTGTTATGTGCGCGCGAATTAGCAACAGCAACTTATCATCGCCCGACGAGCTCTGCGAAACTTTCCGATTGCCGCGGCCCTTAACGGAAGGGGAAATCGCCGCCGGCTCACGGCTCGCCGCAATGATAACGCGCCCGACCGACGCTGGTCTCACAGAGAGAGAGGGCAAGACTGAGGAAAGAAACGCACCGATGAAATTACGAATGTCCGTATATTTGATCTTTAGCAATATAGCGTATGAATAGTAATAATAATAAAAATAATAATCGTCATAATAGCCGCATAATGCACATTACGCCGCGCCTGACGATTCGCAAAACGCGCGCTCATATAAGAACGGGAGAATAAGAATCGTAATAATAATACACAATCAATTATAAACTGCAGTAATAATAATCGTCATTATTATTACTTGAGAGATACTTAACGTGTACTATTAAAAAAGAAAAAAAAAGAAACATTCATCACTACCATCTTTGGGAAACAACATATGAGAGAAAAGATACGGAGGGAGACGAATACCGGTTCGGAAATTCTCTCGTGATCGAGAGGAGGGAGAAGCGGCGGCGAGTGTGAAAGGAAAGGGAAGTGGTTTCCTCGTACAAAATTAGTTCGCAGGTCTAGAGTTACGTGATAATTCATGTTACCGTTATAACGTTTATCCAAATTCCTGTTAATCGTAAATAAGCACCCGAAGATGCAGTATTTTGCCAGAAAACACTTGTCGCTCGCTAAACGATCTCTCACTACATTTACTTTTTCTCTCTCTCTCTCTCTCTCTCTCTCTCTCTCACTCTCACTCTCTCACTCGCTCTCTCGCTCGCTCGCACTCTCGTTCTCTCTATGTACTCTCTCTCTCTCTCTCTCTCCTCTTTCGTTCAATTTGTCTCATTCGTTCTCCGACCTCGCGCGATAAAAAGCTTTTTCTCCTCATTTAAAAAGCAGTCTTTCATTGCACTACGCGAAGCTCCGCCCCTTCCTGTATGCCTCCTCGTTAATAATGATATAAAAAATGCCTCACCGCGCGAGCGTAATCTATCGATACGCCACCAACCGAGAAGCTTGACAACTCTGCTTGTCGTATAGCCGCACGGATCACGATCCTAGACGGTCGTAGAATAACGTTACACGAAGTGTTTTTCCCGATCGCAACGTGGCAGTGGTCATATGCGTCGTAAGATCGCTATCGACGAAGTAAAAAGTGTGTCCGCGCGTGTGCGTGTTTCGCGTAGCACGTCATGTATTTATTTATTTACAAATAAATAAATGAGTGTGTACAATACCCGCTCGCGACTTTGTTCCGAAAATCGTTCCGTCCGGCGTCTCGTATCTCGCCAATAGCCAACGTATCTCGAGATAACACGCCGTATAATAACGTCCGCGATTCGTTAAAAGAGCGCGACTTCAGTTGAATGTAAAAGTCGGTCGATCCGACACGATCGAAATAACGCGACGAGCAAAGATATGTCCATCTCACAACATCGCTGAAGAAAAACGGTAGAAAAGAGAAGAAATTTTCTGGATATCGCTTACCGCAAATTTGTTATATCCTCGCTACTGTGCCAATTGTCTCATTTTCGTCCGAATCTCTGAAGTTGTATGAGTGATCGCGGTTAGCTCTCGACTTATTCAGTTAAGTTTTAATTCTCCTGTCGCGCTTGGTTTCCGCCGTGCGTCACGTTGGTAACGTTAATTAAATGTATTTCCGTCAGATCTCTCGCGTTCGCTCTCTCTAACGCGGCTCGTATCGATGAAAAAGACACTCCTTGCTGCAACATATATGTATAATAACGCTAATTGCGTTTACGTTCAATAACTCTGATATCGAACAACATGAACGAAGAGCTAAATATAACTTGTAATTTACTCTAAGTCTCTCTCTCTCTCTCTCTCTGCATCTTCCTCGGAGCCCCGTCTTTCCGCCTCTCGTCTGCTATTAACGCCGTAAGCCCGCTTAAGGATAATCCGACATCGATAAAATCGCCATGCAACGCCGACGATTATCAAGGATTCCCTTTCAACCGTGGAGTACCTTTAAGATTATGAGATCAGACCATAATAACGCTTCGAAGCAGAATTGGCAGCAACGCGCGCGCGATTCGCCGTTGCGAGGGAACAAGCAGGCAAACGGAAGGGCCAGAACGCTCCCTCTCTCATAGTGCGCGTCGTCTCGCTAAGTTACAAATTTCTTACAAAAGCCGAAGACTATCATCTTGCCCACGTTGTTCGTCACGATGAAACTACGCGCGTGCGTACCTCGCGCGTGATTTTTCCTTCTTTTTTTGTATACGTTAATACAGGGACGCGTGTATCAAACGTAAAGAAGAGTTTACTCGAATATACCGTGAAGTGAACAGAAACTTCTAGCTATTCGTAGTCTCGTCACACCGTGCACGTCTCACGAAATTTCTACGGTATATATAATCTATTTTCTTTTTCTGTAAAAATGCGACTCATCCACAATGCTTCTTCTACTACCGCGTCAACTTTGACTCGCATCGTCGTCGCGCCGTCGTCGTTCATTGTAGTCATCGCTTTCGCACCTGCCGCCCGCGCGAGCCACGGCGGAAAGAATCCTCCATCTGCTATAACTATACAATTAATTAACATTAGTAATTATTCTCGCTTAATAGTAAATTTTATCATGATATCGCGTGCGTCGTGCGTCACGATGTGTCTTCTGCGTGTCTTATCGGTGTGGTGCCTCGGCCTGTCGCGTGACACGTTCGTTTACCTTGTTACGTATTCCTCTTTTCCTTTTTTCATTCTCACTAAAATCGTCGCTACTTGTCACTAGTACCGAGTACTAGGATCGAGAGACCGCAGCAGAACACCCTTTCTTCTACTGAAAAAGTTAACGAACTATGTCGCCGGAAAAGGATCAGGAGCGCGAACAGCACGCGAGGCATTTTCTGTTCTTTCATTTTTCGTGATCCTTTTCGACGACACACACGATTCGATTATCGGAGGATTCTCTTGCCTCTTTTAAGGCAAAGGAAATCTCTCTATCTCTCTCGGAGATCTACCTCTTGTAAGGCCGATTTGCCGAATATTGCACGAATCTCCTTACACTGAAAATAATCGTTACGATCGAGCGGCTCCGCGTCGCTGGTAATCAGCGCTGTCCTTACGACTACCTCCTACAGTCTCGCATACTAGAAAGATCAGCACAAATAAAGTTTATGCTTTATTACGTCGTTTCTAAATTATTCACCGTATAAAACACTCTTATGTAATTACCTAGTCGATCAAGACGCAGTAAAATACACTTTGTTCCGTCGTAACATTAAAGTTTCTTCGAGAATTAAGAGTTTGCGTGTACATGCTAAACAAGTACAGACTTATCGATAGAGTGTAGAGTATAATTAAAGCGGTAAATTTATATTAAAAAATGAAGAGAGAGAAATAATACATATATAGAGAATACTTTTGTAATACGATTTACCAGCGTGCAATGTAAATTCGCCGTGCGCACTTCTCTTAGGGTAAATCCGCTCTGCGTTTCAGCACGTTTAGGCCGCACTGCGCAGTCCGCAGGGCGAACATGTGAGAATACAGAGAAATCTCTTGACGAGTAGATTCACGAACGTTAACGTCCCAGGTGCGCTTCGCAGAGGCAGCCGAGAGTACCGTTGGAACCTGTCGTCATACTCTTCGTCTTCCTCGTAGTCGTAATTATACGGAAGATTACGTGAATAATGATAACGATGTTGACGATATTGATGCTGTTGCTGCTGCTGATGTTGATAATGATGATACTGTTGCTGCTGTTGTTGTTGATGATATTGATAAGGATGTTGGCTACGGTGCATGCACTTCCTGATCTCCAAGGCGTTCGGTCCAGGCAGTGAAGAGCGAGCCGTGAGTGTGCGCGCTGACGCTGTGTATCCCGATACACGAGGAGGGTTGTGATGCGACAGTTGTGTTCGCGTAGGTAATCGTGGTGGGGCCAAATTCGGCCTCATTCGGGATCACCAGTTGGCCATGCCGGGTTTGTTTAGGGTCATGAAATAAATCTGGCACGAACTACCGCCCTTCGCCGACGAGAAGAATACCTGAAAATGTACACAACATGTGCGTTAGAAATGTAACCTTTTGAAATGTAATTCTTTTTACGCGAAAGTACGAGAAGAACGAGCGCATCTGAAGCAAAATAGAAGGCGCGAGAGAACGTAAAGCGATGACGATTGATTAGATGAGAGTCAAAGCGCCGTACCTTATCGTTACGTTCGCAGAGGAACTTGAGCCGTTGAGCCTTCTTGTGCATGAAGACACCATCGAGATGGCCACTCTCCACGCTTCTGATCTCGATCGCTTTATTACCCCAGCCCATAATTTGTCCCGTACCGATATATGCGACGCTCGTAGGCATCTCGCCCCATTGAAGAACCATCGTCTTCGAGACTCTACCGTATGTATTTACGTATACGCCTTCGTTATCGTAACAGAGCAGCAACTGCATACCGTTGCTGTTCGGTAACGCCACTATACAGTGCGGGCAAATGGGACCTTGAGTCTGAAAAGTCGCGAAAAATACACAAGATCAATATATGTTCCACAATACACGTAAAATCGTTCGAAGGATCTCCTTCGATGCGAATATAACTCTAATTTCTCTGTCTTACATGTTTCGGCAGATATATGTCGTAAACCGTGGCCGAGTCCAGGTCGACCGCGTGAAAGCCGTCCGCGCTACCGTAAATCACCTTTAACCTTGTACCCTCCTCGACCGTAAGATCGACCAAGAGCGGCCTGTGCGCGAGCTCGCCGAAAGACTTGAAAGCCATAAATTTGTGATACGGCTTCGGCGCCCACGCGTAAATCTCAATCGAATCTTTCAGCGCGATCACGAGGAACTTTATCCTCTCGTATTTCACTATCTTAAAATGCACAGCGCCTTGCAGATCGCCCACGTTAATCCAGCCGTTGCGTCGTTCAACTTGCTGCGAATATAAATAACGATACGTTCGGTAAAGAGAGATAACTACGATAAACATATGTTTCAAGAGATCAGGAGAGAGCTTTACACGAAAACAACTTACATCGCTATGACCATCCGTACGCAGGATCTTGCTCTTCAACCAGGAAAGGTAGTAAACGCGTACCCGGTTTTTCTTACCGCTGATCGTCACCAAAATGTTCTGACCCTCGAGTACCTCCATTTGTTGGAAACGTCTTCTGCTGATCAATTGGTAAACCTTACCCTGTCCGCTCCTGTCCAACAACATCAAACCGTTCTCGGTCCCGATTAACAGGTTGACTCCTGCAAGTAAACAAATTTAATATGTGCCGTGTAAGTATGTCCAAGCGCGTGTTCGGCCTTTATACAGGCTGTACTCACCCCATAACGCGGCGCAGAGAATCTCGCTGTTAAAACGCTTCTTGTACTTGCGTATCTCGGGTGTGTCTGAGGCTAAATCGTGGCTGGTCGGAGTCACGTTAACGTTCACGTGAGACTCCCTCCTGGCCGGGCCAGCTCCGAATCCGAAAGTCAAGAAAGACCTCTGCTTCTGTTGGAGCGCAAACGGGGGAGGTGACTTAACGGCTTGTCGATACTGCAACAGAGACGACTTTGCCGTTTTGAGGGACTCCAGCGAAACATTGGGACGTCGCTCGAAAGCTCTAAGAAGAAAGATCGCTACTTCGTATGTAAAGAGTAAAGAAAGAACTGCACTAGCAAAAAGTCTATTCTTCAACTCGATCACCGTAAATACAATCCAGTGGAAAGATACAGAGATCGCAGAGATGCGAGAGAAGTTTTAAACAGCAAGAATAACATGCACAGGATAAACGAAGTAGAAACCAAGAGAGAGAGGAGACAAATCAGCCGAGTCAAATATGCGCTATCTACAAGTAGCATTGTTCCACAAACAAAAGTATACCTCGATTGCAAATTAATAAAAGCTCTTGTTACGCAGAGTAACGATGTAACGTAAAAATGAAAGAAGTGAACAAACATTCTTGTGTAACTCATGTACAGTCGAAGGGGATGCGTTACGTTAAGAGAGGATCAAGCAAAATCTCAAACTAACCAAATCAGTGGTTTAATGGCATCCGCACACGACTACATTTAGCTTGTTACGTCTCTCATTAGTCCCGAGTACGCACTCGAGACAGGATTAAGAGAACATTCGCGTCGCATGGAAACGGGGGAGGGCGAAATCCACACACGTCTCCTGAGCGCGCGCGCGCATGTTTCACGAGCGAGAAACAAAAACCCAGAGAAAACAGGGGGACAGAAGAAGGAAGAGAGAGATATGTGAGAAAACGAAAAGCAACACGGTGGTCGCGTGTCGACGTGTTAGAGAGAGAGATATCGTTTATCTCTCGCGCGAGACACCAAGGAGAGAATCAAGAGAGTTTTTTAAGACCCCACAAACCAGCAACAGAAAGAGGAGGGTATATATATATATATATGTATGTATGTATAAAACGACCTGCGCGTACACAAAACTGGCATTCAACTCGCGTTACATATAATTAACGAAAAGGATCAAACGATCGAGAGAGAGCAAAGTATAACACGACGCCTTTTGTACCTCCGGTCTCCTCCCCTCGCGCTCGCGACCGCGCGCGAACCCGAAGAAGGAGGCAGAGGGGTGGCAGTAACAACGTTGAGAAATCGTATAAATGGATGAATAGAAATACTTACATTGCAATTAGTATTGGGATTGAAATGGTGAGTAGAGGGCCCTGCCCTTCGGGTTAGAGCTCCCGCGTGTCCCACAACACACAACATAATCCTGAATTAGTCACGCTGGACAACCGTACAATTGACGCTTATAGAGATCGCACGTGAAACAGAGACGCTAGACGACCCACGATTCTACCCGACACCGTACAACAATCGTTTGGAACCGTTTTGGAAAAGCTGACTACGCTCTCTAGGGCCCGATTTTGGCGCAACGTTCAAACTACGGCTCACGGTAGTCCGATCGCCGGTGGTTTTCGCGTCTCCTCCTGTTGCACGTGGATTGCCAATAAGATCGATACAGGTCTGTGCTGTCGCGTAGTCGGTGTATTCTGTATTCGTCGTCGACGCAATCCGACGTCTCACCTTTTGCTTTCCGACCGGCGCGCGTCTTAAATCAGGGAGAAACGAAGAAGAACCGTGCACTCGCCATATATGTGTATGTGTGTATATGCGTAACGAGCCGAAGGGGGGACACGAGAATATTTAAAAATAAGACAGAATATCGACCACATGAAGTGCTCTTATACGTTGATTGTAAGGAGAGCTAACCGCGTGTGTGACTTCTTATAGCGATGAATTGGATATGAGACGGTATTATCTCGACAATATCGTCAAGACTCTTCTGACCCGACGTAAAATTGAATAAAGACTCAGGTAGAAGATGAAGAGACGCATACGCTGAGAAAAAAAATTTTCTATGTCGTTCTAGACTAGTGGTAACATTCTTTTCCTTTCCCTCTCTCTCTCTCTCCCCCTCTCTTTCCGAATGTTTTTCACCAATACTGAGGATATCAACTATTTCTCAGAGATCCTCGAATAATTACCTCTAAGAGCGCATACAGTTTCCTATATTTTTGCTATAAAAAAAAAAATAAAAGAAAAAAATCAAAACACGCACTTCCTACTACTCTAATTCCGCGTGAACGTGTCAAGAGCATCTCGCACGATTAACTTCGTAGATGATATAATTTTGCTTATGCACAAAAAGAATACAAACAAATAAACAAATAAAAATAAGAAAGAACATAAAATTGATATCGTGTCACAATGTATCTGATCAATTGCTAAAGTCCAAAACGAAGTAAAAATGCAACCTAGAGAAACGAGACAACAGATTGATACGTATATAGTCAACAAAATGCACTTTATAGACTAATCACGGACAATTAACAAGACATCGACACAAAGCATAAGCCGCCCCCTGTGTAAACCCTCAAACTTAAGCATATACATGGATAAATATATATATATCCTACATATATATATATTTTTTTTTCTCTCCTATTATAGATATAAATCACACACAGTCGGCTCGACGCAGCCGAATATTACGTGTCGGGGCATCGAGAATGAGACTCGCGTCCACATATCGTTACTCTGTCGTTGCCACTAGTCTGTTCAAGCCCGACGACAAAGGTAAAACGTTATATACTGAATGAGGTTTGCGGGTGAACACAGTACCACACGCCCTACGTACCTATTATTACGATGTACGATGCTCAGAGTAATCTGACGATTATAAAATATACACAATGATAGAGAAACCACGTTCTCGACCCAATCAAAAAGCATTACTTCTCGGATACAGTCCGATAAAAAGAAAGGCATTCTCATTGCTACTGAACGAAACGATATAATCATTCAGAGTCTTCGTCGATCATATTGTGTAAACGTAAACGACGTTCGCACGTCACATCGCTCACAAGACTCACGCCTCGACGAGTGAACATACGTTTTTTATAAAGGAACAAGTAGACAAACAAATAAATAAATAAATAAATAAATAAATAAACAAGTGGTGAAAAATGCCAAGTGTGCGCGCATTCGCTTGAGCCACGCGTAGTCGCGCGTGTTAGATTTACGTCGAGAAATCGAGACACGATAGATTCTCGTGAGCGAATCCCGTAGAGCGTAACGCCTTCACGTTAACGTTAACGTCAAACGGCACGGGCATCCATTCATCCCGTTTGTGCTGTGCTCGTGCCAAAAGACAACGAGGCGCACACGAGTGCGCGCGCAGATTGACAATATAGGAGAGAGAGAATGATACATATAAACGGACAACTGAATCTGACCTCCTCACTGGTTGATTTGTCCTGTCGTTGACCCGGCGAAGAAGTCAGGAGATCCGGTAAGACCGAACTAGGTCGCGAGCCTGGTGACGAGTCGGATCTCTGGAAATCACTTCCACCTCCGCCTCTTGAACGATCGCCACCCTCGCGATTCTGCAAAGCAGCGATACTCGATTTAGAGAAGAAAGAAAAAGGAATGAGTACACACGAAACGCCGAGGCAGCGCGTAAGAGAAAGAGTGGATGTGGAAAAAAGGCACGATCAGGACCTGAATCTCTTTCTCTTTCTCTCTTTTTCTGTTTTACATCGTTCCCCGCGGGATATCACACTCTCATCTCACCTCAAACATAGAAAAACTGATACTGCAAATAGATTTACTTTTGTTGTCTACGATATTCTCGATACTGCGATAACAGACATAAGATAAAGAGAACAAGTTGCGCGGATTAGGTGTAAAAAGAATAATGAGAGAGTTAATATCGAGAAGTAAGGATCAGGGATCGATGACCAACAGGAAAGTGTCGATAATGATGCGAAGAGCGTTGAAAGTGTGGAGACGCAGATTACGTCACGGGAAAGCAAAGAGTCAAGCAGAAATGATAAAGGAGTATAGAAAAGAAAAGAAAGAAACGGAGACTGCGAAGAGCGCGAGTAAAGCTCTGAAGAGAAAAATGAAGAAAAGAAAAGAAAAACAAACAAAGAACGATGCAAAACGAAAAATTACGCAAGTATAACATTAAGAGACTCTTAGTGCGTTTGAGAAAAAGTTTATGAGAGTTATTAGTTTCTTCTCATGAACGAATAACGCGAGACGCAACGAAAGTTGCGCGACTTACGTATAGTGCAAAATACGTAAAACAAAAATCAAAAAAGAAAAGAAAGGTATGCATGCAAAATGTCAATTAGCTAATATCGATAGTATCTAGTTGCTTAAACTTATCCCGTTACGTGTGTTGCGACTAAATCGGTGAACATTTCACGTTCGTCTCGTTCTCACGGCGACGTAAAAACACGCGATGTAAAACTGCCGTTATCCTAGAATAGCTCGTTATATTGTAATCTCGACAGATAAGTACGATATAATCACGTTACAACGACAATCTCGACAATATATGCAAAAAGTCACAGTCGTACATCACTAGAGATCTCACGGATATACACAATAATAAGTGAAAAATAATAGTCTAATAATGTATACCTACAATGAATACAGATAACGTTCGATCGTATGCTCTTCTGTGCTTCTACCAACAGCAAACTAGGCTTACACTAGAGATTAGCTAATAACTGAAGAGCCGAATGTAACTTTGCTTTTGTTTTGGACATAATTACGACACAAAGACACAGTCTCGTTACATTCGACTCTTCGATTATCGACTAACGAGCGTATAGATAAAGATCGCGATGTCTCAAATTCGACAACATTCTTATTTGTCCCTTTCTCCCCTCCTCACACACACACACACACATACACACACACACACACACGCGTATACACATATTAACGCTTCGTTAGTCTCGGCGATAAAGGTAAACACAAAAATTTGCTACATGCCGAAAGAACACAGACAAAAATGAAGCATGCTTTAGCACGTGCTGCGTAACATGGAGACGAGACACGAACGCGTCATATGCGTTTCTGGAGCACATATTTCGAGGCAACGCAACATTTGCTTAACAAGCGTCATGCAAGACGGTTCTCGTGATCAATCACGATCGTAGTCTCATACGACGATTTATTAAGTGAACTCCATCGTCACTCTAAGTTTCCTGTTTTTCTCGACTGCAAACTTTCCCGAGGCCGTTCTCTTTGTCTCAACGTCGTCTTCCTCTTCTCCTAGTACTTCGATCTTTCTTTCGTTATAGTTTTATCGTCTCTTTTTCCTTTTCTCTCTTTCCCTCTCTCTCTCCCTCTCTCTCTTTCTCTTTATCTCCTTATGCGGTCGGGGATCATGCATATGATAATGAAAATCATGTTAGCACAAAACACACCCATACACGCCAGGTCGTTTCTCGATCATTGTTATAATTCTCGTTCTCAATCCCTCTCCCTCTCCCTCTCCCTCTCCCTCTCTCTCTCTCTCTCTCTCTCTCTCTCTCTCTCTCTCTCTCTCTCTCTCTCTCTCTCTCTCTCTCTCTCTCTCTCTCTATATTACTATCTCACTCTCACTTCCTCTCTTCTTTTCTGTCCTTCTTTCTTTCATCCCACTTTCATTCTTTATCTCTTTCATTCTTGGGATGCAAGGATTTTTGGCTCAAGTAAAATAGGATTTGCAAGAAACTGATGAAAGAGAACGCGTTGACGATTATTATCGCAGTATTAACATCCGTAGTACCGTTTTAGTAGAAAAAAAAAATATATATATATATTGAAAAATCAAAGTTAAGTTGTATACCAATCGACTAATTATTAATGCAATTATCTTTTACGTCGTTGCAAAATTACAAAAAAAAATCTTGTTAGTAACGCAATCGTGCTTCGTTAGAAAAATCCCAAATAGAAGCCGATTAAAATTATAAAGTAACCTGCATTTTTCGAAATGTTAATATAGTATTCAAGCTCTAACGTTAATACCGATTAAATACACAAAATTATATGCATGACAGAAACAGAAGCATTATCTTAAGCTAGAAGTCAAAGATACAGTGATCGGCACAGAAGTTAATCCTTCCATTTCGAAACTGCACTTGCGCGTTTGCATCTGTAAATTCGTAATGAAAATAAAAGAACCGTTGTGAGAAGTCATTTGGAAACGGAGCGCGTTAATATAGGGAAAGCATCCTCACGTAAGATTCCCTATCGAGAATTTTAGTTCGCTTTTTGTCCGAATCCCGCGACGTATGTCGTTGCGCCGATGGTAACGACGCTGTTGAATATTTCGAAGGAATTATCCATGCGGTTAATCTCGTCCCCTCGGCGGTTAGGTCCCAGATTTCATTCATTTCACTCGTCGCCGTGGAAAATCACGTCTGTCTTTGTTTTTGCATGGTACAATACAATATGTACGCGTCGCTCGAACGAACGGAGGGACAAAGTTCACTTGCCGGGAAGAGGGACATAGCGATGAGTGGAGAACGAAGGAGTCTGATTTACGGAGTAGCTATTAATAATTTCGACATCGTATCCTCGAGGTCGTTAGCGATATTACGGGAAAATTCTACAACCGCGGAAGTAGTTCGAACGAAGAGCTTCCGTCGGAGATTTACAGATGAGATATTACGCGTTAATAATTAACGACCCGGGGCGATGAGTCGCCGATAAAAGAGAAAATAACGCGCGTTTAAACGCTACTCGGCAAATACAACACATTTGCGGAAAAAGCCTCTTGTCGATAAAGAGCACAGAAAGAAGAAGTGAGTAAGGGACTGTTATCAATAATAGCACCTCCCACCAGCAAGAATCTCCCATGTCCTTAGTAATAATAGAAAACAATAGTAAAGAGCACTCTAACAGTGTGATAATAGTAATAGTAATAGTAACGATAGCAGTAGATGTAGTAGGAGTAATAATGGTAATAGTACTGCTAATAGTAATAAAATTAGTAATAGAACAATGTCAGTATATCAATAGTATTCTAACGTTGCGCTTCGAAGGCCCGATCGCCTTTGACCGAAAATAATGGAAAAATCTAATCGGAGTATATGAAAGAGATGGTATGTTATATAATACTGCTAATATATGATACTGATATAGCACTAAGTGATCAATAATGTATCGCTGCTACTGATCCTGCGGAATCGCGGGACGCAAATGAAACGGTATGACACAGGAATAAGGAAATGCGCCTAAGAAAAGTCGAGCGTAGCTGACTAGCTTTCTATGTGATCGTTATATGCCATTGGATGTCGAAGAATCAGTCGCGATATATCATGGGAGGGAAGTGAATCGAAGTGTCTATGAGTTACATGAAGTGTTCGTGCGGTTTCGTTCTTCGGCAGAACAGCCCGTAGACGACACGAATTGCCGGCAATAGAACGCTGAGATATTCTTGGAAGATACGAAAGAAACTCATAATTCTCGTATCGAGTCCAAGGATATACGAGTGTTCTGTTGCCAATGAGACACGTTCTATATTCGACCGACGAAACATCAATGACTGACAAAAATCGTAAAAGACACAAAAAGAAGGACAACAACACACGAGACGTACGTAAACAGAAAACAAACGTAGAGAGATAGACAGCGCCTCGATAGACACTTCGAAGATACATTCAGGGATACGGATAAGGTGTATCAGGGAGAAGACACAGGCAGAAAATATGATCGATAACACGGTGAGGTTGGTGAGAAGGGTCGTTCAGGCAAGCACACAGGCAGGGGCTCGCGCGTAGGGCTCGCGAAGGTATCGTGAGGACGCAGGACTCGCCTATAGGGGACTGACCTGGGTGACAATGGGGCTGTACTCGCTGGCCGTCGTACTGGCCGTGGACTTAATTGTTCCCGCATCGTCGACTACGGCAGAGGCCGTAGTGGCGTCCGAGGGTCTACAACTGCGTCTTCTTGCGATCTCGTCTTTATCGCGTCCGAAATCCACGTACCTCCTCGCCTCGTGTCTACTACCGAAGACAATCTCGCTCTCGGTCTTTTCTCGCCTGGGCCTCTGCGGGCCGTCACGGCTCAATGAGAAGTCCGTCAGCACCGGCTCGCCAGAACTTAGAGCGCTGCCCTTCTTACCGACAATACCGGCGACGCTTATCTCGCTGCCGCGTCGATTACCGCTAGCGAATATACTGGACCTCGACGAATCCGAGGACTTGTGCAGGTACGCCGAGTGTCTCGCGGATGGGAAAAAGTCCGAATTCTCGCGGCGAAAAGCGCGCGCGAACGCGCTCGAGGCATTGCCCAATTTCGAGTCGCTCTCTTGCCGCCTGTGAATCGGCTTCAATTGCTGTTGCGGTTGCTTTTGATGGTGTTGTTGCTGTTGATGTTGTTGATGATGTTGCTGTTGCTCGTGTTTCCGTCGGGCTAACTGTTCCTGTCGCTTCAACGTTCTTTCGCTAGACGAAGAGGAGCGATCCTCGTTGCTGGACTTGCTCGCACCGACCTCCTCTTGCGGATGCTCCTGTTTTATTTTATCCAACTTTTCGTTAAAACCCTGAAAGAAGCGGGTGAAATCCCACTCTTTCAGGAGGAGCTGCTCGTCTATCTCTGAACGCCGGTTGCCGCTAGCCGTTGCACGATCGTCTGACATCTGACTAAGTTTCTAGAGTGCGCGTACGATGGCGGGGATAACGGTACGGTGACAGAGAAAAAAAACAAGAAAAAGAAATGCGTGCGGTAAAAACGTGAAACGATGACTGTCGGTGGTGCTTAGGGAGTGTAATGATACAATGTATAGTATTTAAAAAAAAATGGGAGAATGACTATCGTTGCGACGGTAGTGAGTCTGTAGAATCGAGAGGTGAACAATAATGATTCAAAGATAAAAAAATACAGAACAAAGCGACCGTCGAGGAAAAATTAAAAAAAAAAAAAAGATGATGCGATATACATATTCACCACCGAAGCAATATAGTCTATCGGGCAGCATATTTATTCATCGTTCATATATGAATGTGCAGGGTGTATCGTACGACAGCGGCAAAAGTACAAACAACAAGGCAGTGCACCATAGTGCTCGCTTGGAATATACAAAGTTCAGTCACGAATATATGGAACGTAACAATAAAGGGAGCGGACAGTGACCACTGAATTAGTCCCGATTATCAGTTATAACGTATACATATTTACAGAAAAAAAAATGGAAAAAAGGAAAAACGACAATTATGCATCGCAATCGTTCGTGTTCCTTTCCCTTCGTCCTTCGTTATTGAGTCTCGTTCGTTTCTTCGCATTCACTGTGACTTTGGAGCGAAAACGTTGAGTTAATATTGAAACAATACTCGTGCGTACCGATTCTCTTTTACGAGTCGATATACTTGACGAAAAAGAGAAGGAAATACGTCGACTGCTTTGCGCGAACTACTGAAACGTGATCACACCAGTCTCGTACGTTACATACCATCGATATGTACGGAAAGACCTCAAATTGATACCGAAATTAAAATATACATCCGAAAGGAAGACATAAGAAGTAATCTACGGAAATGTATGTAGATCTTAGCTTGCATGACAAACTCGAGAGGAAAAATACTCACTCGTTTCATGACTAGCGTACGATCTCCCGATTCTTCCTCATCAGGCGTTGGTGGGAGCGGACGATTCGGTGCTCCTCCTGAAGACCAATATAGAACAGATTAGATATAAGAGAAGACTAAACGATTAGATAAAAAGAGAGGAAAAAATGATATTAAATCAAAGTAAATGAATAGTTTGTTGATAAAACACATTCCAAAGCTTCTCACCTTTCGGTTTATCTTCGTGATGGGAGTTTTGAGCATTGTGCGAAGACGACGATGAAGAGTCTGACGACGGTCTGAAAGGAGAAAATTCGGGACTGCAACGACGAACAAATATGCGAGACGACGATGACGCACGTTGACGCACGATGACGCGATGAAGCACGAGTAACGCATCGCCGGTGTTGGCGAGGCAAGCCGATCAGGCGATGCGATGCGATGCGACCAAGATGACCATGTGATGCGAAATGTCGAAGCGTGGGATAGGCATGATGGAAGGTGAAACGAAATGATATTAGTATGATTAATATCACAACGCGCACTATCGAGCCGTATCTATTTATATCAGTCGGTTATGTAAGTTATGTACAGAGGTTGTTGATCTCTAAAGAAATAATATTTACGACAAAAGAATGTTTGTCTATTATCTTTGCGTCACTATATATTTACGTGACGCAATGCGTACGTTAACGTGTAGTTACGTACAGTGGAGATAGACATTATAAATATTATTTGTTTAGAAATAATCGACTTAACGGTTACAAGTTTAAACGATTCAAACCGACTTCTAATAGTTAGTTATTGTTATCCACACCATGATGGCTCGTGCCTTCATATATACATACATACATATACATACACATATACACACACACACACAGATGCATCTGAAGCTTATTTAGATATTTCCAAAGAACGAACCGCCTTGTGTATTTCATCTATTTGTTGCTATGTATATACTTTTTACAGGGTAACGAATGGGACGACAATGGAAAGTTAATATAGCGAGAGCACGTATTCCCGAGATAAAAAACTTGCGATAACCCGATTATTAAAATGTTATTTCGCGAAGCGAATTGTACTGAAATATACTTACAGCGGTTTCGGTGGGTCGCTGGCTAGCAAAGTACCATCATTTCTCAGATTGTTTCCTCCAGCGTCCTCCAGATCGTCGTCGCTGTCACTATCGATCGACAGGGCCTAGAACGATATAAAGTAATGTATCACTTTTAGCGTGTCGTTTTTCCTGTCTCCCGCACCAATATCAATTTCAGCATCATATATTTTTTACCTCGAATTAGACGCAAGGCGACGGTATTGTTACAGTATCTCTTACGTGAATAATTATACGAAGAGAACAAAAGGAATAAATAGAAACAACGAGGGAAATAGACGGAGATGCACAGACACGGTACGGTGTGTGAAATCGCTTTCGCTGCTGAGAAAATTATCAACAGTCGGGCGCGGCAGTACTCCGATAGCTTACTTGATCGAGAATACTGGAGGATTGCGGCATCTGTTTGTTGTTCTGATCGTTACCACCTGCGGGCTGCACCGAATTCGATGTAGACGAAGCTGCAGGGCCCTTATGCTGCCTGTTTGGCCTCGGCGGGGCCTCGGGGCCCTGTGACACACCAAGCTCGTTGAGTTGAGCAGCCAGCATGTCCAAGTCCTACCACCCACACGCACACACGCACAACCCCGTTAGTCACTGTTCCGAGACACCTTCGAGAGTCTTTTGCTAGAGAAGCCACCATCGGACGCAGCCAAACAAGGCGGATAGGCGAGGAAGATGTCAAAGAGAGAACGTAAAGTACTGCGGTTTGAAGCAAGATTACCGAATGACGCTCGAATGAAACTTAGAAAACGTTAATACGATGACCAATCCAGACGCAACACGTTTAATGAAACATGTTATATCGCAAATTGCTAATCGCAAGTTTAGAATTAGAAAGGTAAAATTACTGATAATTTCTTAGAAAGAATCCGAAACCGAGTACGACACATTGAATCGACGAGACTTTGACTGGTATTTCATACTGAATATATTCATCTCCATCAAGATTTATTAACGTAAAGAGATAATTTTATCGCGTATTATTTTCGCGATGAAAACAATTTCCTTGATTGCACCAGATTATTGCGTCGAATCTCTTTTTGTCTTATTTTATATATGTACCGATTGTCGCGAGAGTAAAACGATCGTTGTGTTATTATAACTATAATATTATATACTGATATATTTCTCTCTCTTTCAATGATGCGACCACAACGTGAAGATCGACGATATTATTTCTCGAAACACCAACAAACGTGTTGTGTATGTGGATCTAAACATATACCGTTCTACTGACAAAGAAAATCCACTTAGGCGATCAGAGTGAAGCCTAATAAGGGACAGTGCAGAGTGCTCACAAGCGGAAGTATATTATAAGGGCATGTGACATGTTATTTTATGAAACGAATGAATTTAACAATAATCGATCAGCGCGCATCAGGACAGGTTTCGCTATAAGCATTATCTTCGCGGAGATAAACGTTGAATAAACTTTCGTACGCTGATTATTATTATTAAATTGTCATCCGTGTGCACAGAAACGCGTCTGCGAGAAAGCGAGATGTCGATACACATGTAACGAGAAAAAGGACAAAGTGTGCGTGTCTCATCTTACCTCTGGCCTCCTCGGCGGCAGCTACGGGGGTACGTGTGAACATAGAAAAGAAACAAAAACCAAATACATTCCAAGTTCGAGTGCCAGGAGCTTTTGTGTACGTGTGTATATGTAATAGAACGCATCAGCGTGCACGCCAATGACGCAATAGCGAAGTAGAACGCGTGCAAGATGGATACGATATATATATATATATATATATATATATATACACACATATATATAGTATATCCCAAGTCAACGATATATATAGAGAAAGAGGGACATATAGAGTGAAGAAAGACTATGCGTCATATGGAGAATATATACTCGGACCGATAAATACAAATTGAAGGCAAAACTGCAAAAAAAGAAAAGGGAACGGATAGCGTATGCTTTTCTACAAGTCTGGTCATCTATTCCTTTATGTCCGTCTATTTATATAACTCTTATTTGCAAAGTGTAACGGGAAAAACGAGGGACATTGGTTCCGGATGATTAGAAAAGGTCAAAGGTCACGAAAAGAGCGCGTGTCTGTTCACAAAGGCTTACCATAGGCTTGAAGACATGACTGTTCCTCTGAGGCGCCGGTTGCCCACCAGATCCTCCGCTACCTCCTCCTCCTCCTCCGGCAGGTGTCTGATGATTAGAAGGCGGCGTGGATACTTTGTGCGGTTGCCGAGGATCGTCTCTGGGTGTTGGGGGTAATGGACGAGACGGTGGTTGAGGATCTGGCACCACTGATCGCAGTTATCAATATCAGTACAACGCAATGTCATAATTAAACGTGAATGTTCTCGCGAGAAACATTAAGCTTACCTATAAGTCTGTGCGGTATAGCGGGTCTCGCAGGCGGCCCAGGTTCTGGCACTTCTCTCTGGGATCTGTTGCCCGGTTTTTCTTTAGCGGCGGGCGCTTGAGGAGGTACATCCTGCGTTAGAGTCCTGCCCTCCTGAATCTGCTGAAAGTTACGGCGCAACGTATCGCCGCCGGGTGCTTGAACGATGGACGACGGCTCGCCCGCCAATGCGGGTTCGTCCTCTTCGTTTTCACTACCGCTGTATCGATAGTCGTCTCTTTCTACGAAGATACAAGATGGTATCACATAAGCGCGTCGTACTTGAAGTAAACGTTCCAAGATGTATTCCACCTCATTGTATTCTCACCTTTCTCCTGTTTGCGCTTTTTACAGCGATCGATGTGATCTTTAAGCTGTATTCTGACTTGTCTCTCTGTAGGTTGGTCCCGTATGAATGGATGTTTGAGAAGCTGTTCCGTGTAGGGTCTCTGGTGGTAATCCTTCACCAGCACTGTCTCGATGAATCCGTGAAATTTCTTGGCCCATTTTTTCGACTTGAGCCTCGGCGGTGGATTACGAGGAATCAGAAACAAAGCCTGTTCGATAAAAGAACGTATGGTATGGCGGCATATAATTTCATGTACAAGAGAACTGCACGATATAGCGTTATATGCGGTCGAAACAGTAATGATTACAATTACTGAAAAAACGCTTACTCTCATAGGATGAAGATCGCAGAGCGGAGGTTGTGATTCAGCCATTTCTAAAGCGGTAATTCCGAGCGACCAAAGGTCACTCCTATTGTCATAAGTCGCGTCTGGATTCTCATCGCAAGCTATAACTTCCGGAGCCATCCAGTACGGTGTGCCGATGAACGTATTTCTTCTACCTATCGTTCTATCCAATTGTGCGCTGACGCCGAAATCGACTGAAGAAACACAGCACGATTAATCGGAGTGCATGCAATATAAGATAAAATCTGAAAAAAGTACTACGCGATCGTTACTCGAGCTGATCTTACCGAGTTTGACTTCCGCATTATCAGTCAATAGGACGTTTTGTCCCTTAATGTCCCTGTGAATAACTTTATTGCTATGAAGATAACTAAGTCCCCTTAGTATTTCTCGCGAGATATAGGCTATCCATTCCTCCTTCAAACTCTGGCCCTTAGTTGACTTGACGAGGTCCGTAACGGAGCCAGCTCCGCAGTACTCCATAACCAGCCATAATTGATCGTCTTTGCCGGGTGATGACTTCTTCACGAAGGCACCGTAATATGTAGCTATATTTCTATGATTCGAGTACTGCAACGCACAAGAAAACTCATTTGCATTAATTCCTTCTGCCGGCGATTCAGCGGTCTATTTATATACACACTCACCCGCTTGAGTACATTTATTTCCAACTTTATCTCTTCCTCTTCGTCCTGCAACAATAAACAGCTTATTGAAATATATATGGCATGATTCTTCCACAATTATTTATTGCCTTTCCCACATATTGAGTGAATAACTACGTAGTACTCTTTTCACGTATCGTTTACTTCGTATCGGAGCTTTGTTTAAAGTTATCTATATCTGACTAGAAATTCACTTAACTCATAAAATCATATAGGTAGATCGTTATCGAATAATCATATCTCGAGCCGCATTGATATCGTAATTGTGAGAAGAAGATAAGTCTTATAAATACAATCGTTAGAACAAACTAATCGTACGTTTCATGAGGTGAAAAAAAGATCAGAATGTGAAAATTCCGTTTAGTTGTGGAAGGTTGTGAAAAGAGCAACCTAATGCTCGCTAAGTAGGTAAGTAGAGTCGAGACTTTACTCGCGCATTACACGAAAGGGAAGAAAAGAGGGGCATACGCAAGGGAGGGGGAGGAGGGAGAATGAGAGAGGAAGATATAGCGACGAAGATAGAGAAGCACGCGATCATAATCGTATCGCTGCATTCCGACGTATCTTCCTCACCGCTTTAGATCAACTTACAAAAAAAGGGCTGCAAACGCGGCTACGTGATATTATATTGACACACCATGATCTCTTTACATCAAACGAAAAAGTCTCGATGAGAATAAAGTAAAACAGAAAAAAAAAGCGATGATAAATTCAAGAAGTATATGTATGCGTGTTTGTAAATGGATTGAAAAATAAGTACAGGACAAGGACCTGTTTATTGGAGACGCGCGCGTCGATAGATGAATATCGGCGTGGTAATTTTCCATATCGTAACGGTACATAACGACCGCTCTTCACGAGTTAATGTAACGACAATGATGACACAAAGGAAACACGCTATTGCGCATCGTGTGCTAATAATTTATTCATATAATTTCGCGCGGCGAGAGTGTGCGTGAACCCCGTTGCAAAAGCGTACGTCTTTCCGGCCCGGTGACATAGCGCATTCTGAATTCTAGAAGCTGTCAGATGTATCAGACGACTCTGCCGTAGTCATTCGTGGAAACGTTCTTTGTCCCTCCACCACCGGGCGACGATACGCGTTAATGATTCTGGAATCGTTTCGTTATATATCGTGCAGCCTTCGCGTCTTTTGCTGATAAAACTTATCTATCTGCGGTCGGGACGCGCCGCCGGCATTACGTTTATTTTGTGGAATCGAAAGACGAGTCTTTCCTGCCGGCCAATAAAACTCGCTTCATACTGCCGAATTAATTGCATAGCCGAATAGACGACGAAATGCGGTCTTCTTCGGCTTCGTTGTCTCGCGCGCGTGCATTTACAAGAGACTCTTCTCCTCGTATTTCCGAAATGAAGCGTTCGCAGCTACAATTTCGACTCCGACGAATGAAGCGAAGCGAAGCGAAACCGAACGCGTCGCCGTCATATATTCGTAATCGAATCCACGTCGCGAGGAAGCAATTAAATCGCGAAATAGCCATCGCGAAATAGCCATTGTGAGACCGAATACTTGCCTCTGTGACGTCCATGACCTTGATGGCTGCCAGCTGACCGGTCTTGGTGTGCCGACCCTGCGAAATAGAAAAGCGGATTATCATTATCGTCCGTTACAGAGACATACGAAAATCCCTAAAACATACGAGTTGAACACGTCGCGATGCGCGCATACATTTCTAAACTTATCCCCCAAGGTTGACTGCCTCGAAATATCCTTTTACATGCGTGTTCTACGCGCAAGTTGGGTACCGACTACCCACTCTTGTCATCGTTTGCCCTTTCGGCCACCTGTACTGTATATGTGTGTGTATGTGTGTGTGTGTGTGTGTGGCTCCTCTCTCTCTTTCCCTTTATTGGTCAGGTATATTAAATAGATTATTAAAAGAAAATGACGCACATGTCGCGATCGACGGGGCCGAAACAAAACGCTTGCATATCCCCCCTGGTGCAAGCATCTCATTTTCTTCAGCCGCTAAGGGACAGACGGGGGTAAGAAGGAGGGGACAAGCAGACGGGGTGGCGCGCCGCGGCGGAAAAAGCGTTACGGTACCACACTTCATATATTCAGCCTTTTTCAACTAGTACAAAGCCGCGCGCATATGGCCAGACGATATACGCGACACAACCGTCTATCCTCTCTCAAAGAGAATCGACTACGGTCCCTATCGTTTCTCGTTCGCTCTTCAGTAAAAAACCGAGAAAGCGGGGAGGAGGGAGAGGGAGAGGGAGAGAGAGAGAGAGGCTCTCTGCTCACCTCAGCCTCTGAATCTCCTCCACCTACGTACATACGTGCAAACGTCACTCTTCTCTAGAAGCAAAAGTCGTCGATGCAGGACGAGAGACGATCAAACGCATGCGACCGTCGAGTGCGACGAGGTGGTTTGCGGAGAAATCGTTACAACGCGCGACACAAGTCGACGCAACTGAAGAAAAATACATATATGTATCCGATTTATCGCGTAGAGAAGATCGCATTTGACATAAATAATAATGTATTACCGACTTCTTCCTTTCCGTGCGGTGGCGATGAGAACTGGAAAAACTAGATACGCCAATGATGAAGTGGAAATTGCAATGCTAGAAATTGCTAATCCTTTTAATGCGCGCTGGACTCGAGCTTAATTCTTCTACTTTCGCGACGTTGCAATTTCCATTTTTATCAGCGCAATGATACTCGGGCAATTACTACAAGATATTACAGGATGAGAAAGAGACAGAGAAAACTAATTAATCGCTAGAGAAAACTGCCAACACTGCTGACCGGTGATTATTTAAACAGCAGTGCCCACCTATTTCTGCGAAACAGGTCAACGGAGGGTCGGCCGAACATTATTTACGAGGTGGTGAGAGAAGCAGGTAGTAAACCGGATATACAAAAGGTGACCGACGATCCCGAATACCAATTTGTCTTTCGCTCGGCTCGCCGATGCATTACGGACGACACTGTGGTGGAGAAAACGCGACTCCACTCTAAAATGCATCGTAAGTAAATCATCCTTCGATTAACGGTACGTCAGCGTGAACAGATAAATGCGCGACTGTGTAGAAAATCGAAGGCGCATCCGTCCGGTCGCGTATAGTGTTGACTAAGCGCGACAGCGGAGAATCGATTGCCCGGAAGTGACGTTTGAATTATAAAAAGCGCTCAACCGTATCGCCCACGTGGCTTCGCTCGTTCGACCGAGTCTGATGATCATCGTACGATATTTGTTAACGATACCCGCTTAATCCATACCACGCTGGATATTATATTACAATTCGCAAATTGTTCTATCTCGTTGCACTTCACTTGCGAGAGAATTCGTAGAGAGGCACTGAAGTGCGTTGACTCGTTATCGAAGAGAGACGTATCGTTTCCGATGTCGATACGTCGATTTCGTCTTTCGCGCTGCGATTAATAACGCGACATGAAACATCAGCGGATGATTCAACTAGGTTCTATCTCTCGAAAGTGTGACGACGACAACGACGACGACGACGGTGATGATGAAGGATACGTAAGAGATTAATCCTATGTTGAGGAACGAGTTTCTTTCAAATTTATCGAGTTTTATCGTCCTATTCCGATAAAAGCACGGAAGAAGATGCGATTCGCGAGGATAGCGCGCGCACTCGTCGCACGCGAGTTTTCACGCACACGCGTGCTCGTTCGGCTCATTCTGTGCCGTCATCGGCAGCGGGTCATCGCCCTCTTCCTCCTCGTCTCCTTCTCGTCCTCTCTATCTCCGCATAGCACGAAAGTAAAGCGTTTTAAAGAGCACGCGCCACGAGAAGGTGGAGAAGATTGCGGTGATGCGAACACCGACGCCAAAATTGCATCCCCTTCTCCTCTTTCCCCTTAGTTTTCAAACGATAAAAGAAACTCGGGTGGAAATTCACGCATATGGTCTTTTTCTCGAATCGCGAATCGCCCGAACGACTTCGCGGTGGTTTCGCACGAACTTCTCCCATTACGATTCGTCGTAAAGTGGGCCAATCGTTACGAATGAGGCGCGAACGAACGCGTGAAATGCAACGGCGGCATCGTCTGGGCACGGACACACATGAATTAATTGTGCCAGAACAACTTTCATTTTAATGTCGTTCACACGAGAGAGGGAACATGGGTACGCTGCCATCTCCCCTCCCTCCGGTAATATATATCTTTCTCATCGTGCCGTTTACCGTCTCTCTCTCTCTCTTCCTCTCTCTCTCTCTCTCTCTCCCTCCCCCCTCTCTCTTTTTCTCATTCTTTCTATTTCTGCCGTTGATATGGTAAAAATTCTTTCTCTCTCTGTATATTCGAATTATGTAATTAACGACACGAATCTTTCATAATCCTAGAAGACTAGTCCTATGAGATTTCACGTTTTCAACGATGCTCTCAAATGCCACTTACAAACTTTTCCCAAACTAGATTTTCTCTGATCGTTTTAGAGTTACGATATTTACCTGAAACATTTAAATAAGTGAGAAGTTGACTCGACGGGTGTCGCGCAATTTCTTTTCGCTTTACTCGAACGCACACGTCTCGGAGACAAAATTAGCGCTCTAGAATTAATTCCAATAACATCGAGACGCACGCGAGAGAGTTCCTTCGTTCCTTCATTTCTTCGATTATTCTACAATTCTATTCTAATAACGCGCGGCCCCAAGCTAATGACGTACATTTTACGATTCCCGCGTCCTTCCGGTCGAGAGTCTCGACCTCCCGGCCACCACGGCGCGTTTTCACATCGAGATATTCCCTCAAGGACGACCTCGTCAAGGAGAATTTTTTCAAGGTGAATCATCGTCTTTTTCGCTCGCCGCTGCAGGTGAGGAAGCAGTTCCCCGCCGCTGTCTACTACTCCCACACGAATCGACTACCGTAAACGTCTCGTCCCTCTGTATCCCGGCAGAAGTTTGCATTTTCGTTGCACACAAACGACGGCACGACTCCTCGGAACATATCTGTCGCTTTCACTTCAGTCCCGCGTGCGAACAGTCTGAACGATCCTACCCCGAAAGGAACAGGCGGCGGCTGGAAATTAGGAGCGTTGTCATTACAAAGGAGCGCAACGACGGTATATTATCGATCGCTTTAATATTTCAATACGCAGCGTGACGTCTCCGCACTGACAACGGATGCAGAAACGACTCGCAATCAAACGGAGAAAGGCGATATTTTTTCTCTTCTCTCTTTTTATTTCCCCGCAGCATTCCTGTTATGTGACTCACTCGCGTCGCTTCTCGACTCGCGCTGCCGATTCAATCGCAGCGGCGGGCCGGTTCAGCACTGAGATACAAAGGAGAAATCATTATCCTCCTTTTTTTCTTGACTCGACGGCAAGAAAACGTTTTATCCGGGCGCGTTAGCGCAAGGAGCCGCCACCTGCGGCGGAGGCACATGAAGAAACGGGTGCACGATTGCGCGTGTATGTGTGTATCGCGCGAGAATGCAACGCTACACGTCGTATCACCTTAAACGCGAAAGTTTCCCACGTGCGTAACGCGGTGCGCGAGCCACGAATTTAGATTTCTGTACGACAGCAGAGGGCGGGGAACGAAGGATAAACGGATACGGGGGATCCCGCGATAACGAATGCACACTCAAACAGAAAACATACATGATGTGCGGGGCGAGTGTAGTTTTAGGTCCTGACAGATAAGGATTACGGATTATCAGCAGGAAATATACGACGACTCATGGTACACGTATACGAAAATCGAATGCGCTTTCCAGCTGTGGAATTTTCTTGGGAACAAGAGATATTAGTAACAGCTATATTAGTCATTCTCTCTCGGTATCGTTAAGAATATCGTGAACATCAAAGTACACACATTCGCTTATCTAGGAATACGTCGAAACGCGATTTTGAGTCTCATTGCGACACACGGAAGACAATGATAATAGGTGTTATACGTGGAAACCTCGCGATACGCGGTACCGTTCGGCGAAGATCAAGTCCGCGTATCGTCCTATTCATTTTCTACTCCGTCATCCTGACACCCGTCTCGTTAACGCAATCTTTTTGCCGTGTTCCGTCGTCCTGCGCGGCGCCCACTCGTTAATTAAAATAACGTTCTCGGTTACACGTGGAAATCTCTCGGAGACGCGCTATTCCCCTCCGCGCCGAGATACGTTCAAGATATTGTCAACAACTTTTTCCTTCGCCTTTTTATTTTTCCCCCTTTTTTTCCTCCGTCACTTCGTCGCACCGACGCCTGCTCGTTAATACGTTGTTATTTCACCAAGTCGCCCTGACGCCTACGCGTTAATTTAAAATACCACAGTAAAGGTCGCCACGCCACACCACGTGAAATCGATAATTGACGAAACGCGTATGCGGACACACATACGAATAAAAGCGCGTAACTGGCGAATGCCAAATATCCGGGCGCAGTTATTCTCGCGCGACGGGTAATAATTACGCGCGAGATGCAGTCGCGCGAGCACCGTGAGCGAGAATAGAGGAATTCTTAGGATACTCACCTTGTAAACTTGGCCGTATGTTCCATTGCCGACCACTTCTATCAGCTCGAAGATTCCAGCAGGCTCCTGCGAAGCGAACATAAAGCAGTCAGAGTTATGCAACGCGAGAGAATATCGCAAACGAACAAATGGAAAGTGTTCATACGAGACATTTGCGATTTGCGATCAAATGTGTCAAAATTGTAACTTGTATTATACGATTATGCGCGATTTTCTAGCAATTATATAAGTCGCTTCGTGATTTTTTTACATCGCGACGATGAGATCGCGCTGCTTATCTCACAACGAGCCGACACGTCGACGCGATTTAATGCACTTTCTCCGTCGAGTAAACATAAGCACTTCGAGATCTCACGCGTAAACAAAGATCACAAGCGGATTGCAAGGTATAAAGTGGCTTTACTTCGGCTACAATTCGAGACGCGATGAACGCGTCAAAATCCGGCGGTCGGCCATTTTAAAAATGAACTTACGTGTGTGAAGTTAGTCGCAGACAAAAATCTCTAACAAGATGGAGCGCGATTATCACAAGTCGATAAGTCTCGAAAGAAAGGGCTGTTTTCGTTGTTTACGCGACAAACCCGAGTTATCCTATCTTCAATGACCGATTCTATGGCTGATTTTTCCCTCCGATAATTCAAGCTTCGATTATCTCGTCTAACTGAATATGCTGCGCTACGTGTTTACGTTTTTCGGGAAAAATGCATTAATCTCGGTGTCGAAAATAAAGCAGACAGACCGAATTTCTCCGTGCGTGCAATTCGCACATCCACGGCTACAAATAATAAAGAGAGAAGACGCGAACGAATGAGTCTACTACGTCCGACTATGACTAAGGAAATATTCAAAGTGACTTCGTCACGCGCGAAGTCCGTCGATACCTCGTGGAAAACTGTCAACAATGCTTTTGTTTGTCTTTCTTTTAGCAGAATTTTTCTCTACTGTCCCGTAATTGCGCTTCTTTCATCCAGTTTCACCCTAAATCCCGAACATACAAATATATATACATATCTGATTTATTTCAACTAGAATAATATACGATATAACAGCGGAGCGGTAAACGCGACCGAATGGAGCCTACATATGAATGCTACGACGATAGCATGAATGGCTCCAATGCGCCTCGCATTCACAAGACGACCTCGTGACACACGATTCGCCGATTCTCTTCATTCTTGCATAAAATGCAACCATGTCCAATCATGCAGCTCAATGCACACACAAACGGCAGGACATGTTACATAAATATTACATAGAAATCGACGTATGTCGAGTGTGGGGAAGGGGGCACTGGACCCATTTTTTTGTGTACGTTGCATGTACATGCGACGTCTCGCTCACGCGACGTAACGACGCGAGAAGGAGAGAGAGAGAGAAAGAGAGAGAGAGAGAGAGAGAGAGAGAGAGAGAGAGAGAGAGAGAGAGAGAGAAAGAGGAAACCAAGGAGGATACTTGCTCTTCCTTGTTCTCTCGCCGTTGTCGTTTCTCGCGAAGTTAATCATCACGTATAATAAGACGCGCGTGACAGCCAACACAGGCGGGTCCAGGCGGGTCCAGACGAGAGCCGGCGCGACCGGGTCGACGCGACGCGACACGCCGCGCCGCGCCGCGTCACGCAGGGCAGCGCTGCAACGACGCGCTGCACGCACACGATCGCTTTCGCTAACGAAACGTATAATTCGAATGTATTTACATACCTTCAAAGCGTTCAGGTCAATGTCGTCGAGCGAGCAGTTGACGCTCGGTGCCAAATTATGCGCCATCTTGATACGCCACTCGCGCTCCCTCTCGCGTTGTCTCTTTCTCTTTATCTCTCTCTCTCTCTCTCTCTTTCTTTCTCTCCCTCTCTTTCTCACCGCCTGGTTCGCTCGCTCTCTCTCTCTCTCTCGTCTGCTGACTGGAGAGTCGCGAAGCGTCGACACCAAACTCCGACGACCGAGTCTGCCGTCTAGCGACCCTCGTTCGTTCGCTCGTTCTTGCTCTCTTTTCAACTGCTACCTCCTCTTTCTTTCTCTTTCCCTCTCTCTCCCTCTTTCTATCTTCTTTCTTCGCTCGCGCTAACTTCTACGACTCGCTAATATGAGCCGGACAAAAATACAAGGGCGGATAGAGGAAAAAAGTCGCGGCTGCTTTTCGTTGTCACTCGTCGCACCAACACACCGATATACACGTAGACGTCGACGAGATGTACTGACGAGGCATCCGAAACGAAGAGGCACCACTCAGCCGCGAGACCGACCGACTTCTACGCGTTGGAGGCTACGCAACAAAACACTTAATCGACTGCGGCGACGATATAACACGCGAGGTCGACGACGACAATCCGCAGAGAGGAGACACACGCGGAGCGGGCGCGGTGACGGCGCGGCACATGGCCGCGCGCGAACACACCTACTGGGAAAGTCCCTGTGTCCAGCGCCGAGCCGAGGGAAATCCTCGAATACGCCGGAGGAGGGCCGTCTAGCGGTCAAACTCGCGGACTGCGGCGCGCCTCCATCGTCGTCGCGTCAACTCTATGGCCTTTTCCATGCGAACGCGAGAAGGGTGCGCCGAGTTGTGCGGGATAGCGCGTCGTCGTATTCTCGCTCGGTCTCTTTCTCGCCTTCTCCCTCTCTCCTTGCCGAGAAAAGAGACGATGCCCTGACGTGCAGCGCCTAGCGCTGGATCACTGTACCGTCATAACGGATGCGGGAAGGAATCGCGAGCCGAGTCGAGACAAGCCGAGCCGAGCCGAGCACACACGCCGCGATGTGTTTTATCCTATCACTCTTACCGCCGACGAGACTGCACCGCACCGACAGATTGTGCACCACTACCACGGGACGCGCATGCCTTCCTCTTTCTTTCTTTCTATCAATTCCTCTCTGTCACTGCTTTGATATACTCCAACTACTGTGCCTCTACTCACTCCCTCTCTTTTTCTCAAACCCACGTACTTCAAGTCCGACGTTCTGTCCACTGTTGTCTTCGTCCGTCTGACCTTTGTGTTCGTGTGTCGCGCGACTGCACACCATCATCTGACGTCATCCACTGTTGGGCTAAACCAAGATGGCGACGGCGCCCAATCAGATGTCTCGCTCGTGCCATCTTGCGAGTTAACCATTCACTACGCCAGTGTTGCGAATGCGGATTAGCGATCTACCGTTAGTAACTCCGACGGGCAATTTATCGCAAATACTCCAGCTTAGAATATTGAGTTACATTTTTGTTTTTGTAACCGAAAATTATGTTTGAGTCAATTTATCTTGATTATACATGTTCGTACATTTATCATAAGCATTGATCTAAAAAAAAAAATTAATATTTAAAAAGAGGAAATTATTATATTAATTTGTGTGTATGGTAATGTAAATTTAATAATTTCGTAATTATTTCTTGGTAAAATCTACCATAAAATGAAATTAGAAAGCAGGTTTTATCGTTAATTTTCCACTAACTCAATATCAGAATACAATACAAGAGCAAAGATTAATTAAAATTAAATTAAAATTTGTATTTTTTGTTTAATGATAACATTATTAATTATCATAAATTACAACTGAAATACAAGCTATTGCTAATTGCACTAGTCTCACTAATAACCATAATCATTAAATGGTTCCAAGCTCATTAAAATTATAATTATTAAATGGTAGAACCAAATTTCAATAATATACATGTTGCGTAATATATACTATATACCAATTATATATAATAATCTACCATACACACACACACACACACACACACGCACACACACACACACACACACGCACACGCACACGCACACACACACACACACACACACATTTTATATATATATATATCTTATATACATGTTTGAATATTCCAAATTTGATAGGTGTAATAATTTATTCTGTTTTAACATAACGCTGCCAATTTCCGGACTGTATTTAAATCACGTAATAACATCTGCACAGTTTGCTTAAGACGTGACTGCATATGTGGATTCGGAAGTTCTTCAAGTTCTTCCATATCCATAGCCTCCAGAGCTACATGGAAAATATATACAATAAATACCTAGATAAATTAGATAGACATATATTACTAAGAAGTTTTTGCAATACCGTCTCTCAGATACGGTAAACTTAAATTGTTATTCGCTCAGAAATAACACGCCAATAGCGTTCACGATTTATATTTACCGTATCTGAAAGACGGATTGCAAAAATTCCCCACTATCTAATTTTATTACCGCAAACTTGCGCATCTATAGACGACAATCTCGATTCGATGTGATTCTGAAAATGTTCGATGTGTTCTAATAATCTCATTCGACACTCTGCTGGATCGATTGGTGCTTCGGGTTCCGGTATGAAAGGTTGTAAAGGTGCGGTGACTTCGTCCTCAACTTGAACTATATTAGACTCTGGTTGGTCATCATTAATGAGCGAGTTTGAACTTAGATTTTCTGATATAGAATTATTCATCATATTTTTCTCAGCAAGCAAACCTATATATAATTGAGTTAAAAATGTAATATTCGAAGAACAACTCGGTTGTAATTTCTACTAGATCAATGTTACGAATTACTTGCTTTTAAGAAATTTTTGAAACTCCACTTTCTTTCACTTATTGCTGCCACTCATCTATCGAATCTCATGAGCGACAATCTCAAGACCATTAACTTCATAAGGCCTGTGAGACACTTTAATTTCTTGTATAATAATGTGTAAATTGCTTGTATAATAATGTGTGTGTGTGTGTGTGTGTGTGTGTGTGTGTGTGTGTGTGTGTGTGTGTGTGCGCGTGTGTAGTAGATTATTATATTTATATATAATCGATATATAGTATATTATACTATACACAAGTTTTATTGAAATTAATCCCCTGTATATGTTATATACACCTAACATTATCAGTATATTTATATTATAATTATAATTACAACAATAAAATATTAATTTCGATAAGAATTTTTCAGCGATTAGGGAAAGTCTCACATGTCTTGCAAAGCTGATGATCTTAAAACTAAACGTTGAAAGTATTATTTATATCTGCAAGTAATTCCGAGTATTGTTTTAAATTATTGCGCCTATACTCTTCAATAACGTACCTATATTCTCCGTTTTAATATCTGCATCAACATTCCTTTGTTTCATGTCGGAGTTGCTATTTGTCAATGCATCCAAAAGTATATGACTATCCTTTGAATTAATTAAGCCTTCTCTTTTACCGGTGACTCTGGACTCGTCAGAATGTGTGCTATCCTCTTCCAGTATTTTCATTAATTCCGAATCGGAGGCGATTGACTTCTCGTCTTGATCATCTTTCAAAGGTAATTTAATTTCTGTCTTTGGCTCAATACGTCGCAAATTCTCAACACCTGTGTCGATAAAATCCACTCCTGATTTCGTTATTTCCATTACTGGTACCGGTTCAAAATCTACTTTTGGTATATTCGTCTTCTCCCAATTCTTAGCCCAAAGATATAATTTGGGGTGGTCCTTCTGCCTATATATACATTTAAAAATTATTTGTTACCATACAAATATTTATTTTTGTTTTTTAATAAATAGATATATAATGCATACTGAGCAACATTGATCTTCACGCGCAAACTATGAAGAATTTGTTGTATTTGCAAGAGTGCACCAACTAAATCATACGACCGTTTCAACATCGCGGTTCTTTGATTTATCATATACTGATCCCGAGTACGATTGGGCAAGCTAAAAAAGTTCAATAATCAGTTAAACATTACATAACAGTAGTGTATCCTCTTAATATTAATAAATTACAAATTATGTAAAGTATACATTACATAAAAAAGTTTTTTTTTTAATTAATAAATTACCTTGGCAATTTTCCTTCCTTAATCCAGTCCTGATCATGAAAATACTTTCTCGATGATCTTTGCCGATACGGATGTTGACATATATAACAGATATATTTTTCAGGTACATCTTTCTCTCTTTCAATCGCATTACAGTGACCGTGTTGCCAGCAAAGACAGAGATCGCACTGTATCATTAGACCGTCCTCTTCCATAAAACCACATGTACAATTTATTATTTCTTCCCTTCGAAGTTGTTCCACTTTTACCATTTCACCATTGATCATCATCATTACTCCTTCACTCTCTGCGATAGTAAGTCATTAATATTCATATTCATGAAAAAAATGTATGTACATCTCGTAGAAATATATTTTTGATTATATATACATATACATATATGTGTGTATGTGTGTGTATGTTCGTTAACTATGTGTGAATATATAAAGTAAAATATAAATGCAAGAAAAATAAATATTATCTACATATAAAATTAGGAAGCAGTTAATAAAAGATAAAAAAATCAATCATGTACCTTCTGCATCATTATTAATATCAGTTTTGCTAGTATCCCCTTTTAAGGGATCGCCTTTTTCAATGCGAGAATCATTTAGTTGACCTAAAGAACAAGAACAAAAACAATACAAAGTATTACATAATATAATAAAATATTATAAATATATCAAGTATATTATAAAACATATTATTTAAAGAAAAATCTACGTATTTCTCAAACTGTATTGAATTAGAAAAAAAATATATCTAAACCAAAATAGTTGTAGTAAGAATGTATCATTATATACATATACGGCGAAATCTGTTGCACTTACTATTTTGACTATTTTCATCACTTTTGGAATCGGATTTTCTACGACTATATCTATACATGAGTGCTGTCGGTCCATCAACATCCAGAGCGCTGTCATCTAAATCGCCGAAACTATCGATGAGATCTGACATGTGCAACAACATACGGTATGTTAAACTGTATTTCATTAATCCATAAATTAGTAAAATCATAAAAAAGTTACATTAAAAGAATCAAGACTTTTATTTTGATATATTTTCTTGAGATTTCTTAAACACTTTAAAACTAAGCATATGCAATAATAAATATGAAGCAATAATATGAAAAATGTTTACCATGTCGTTTTTTTCCTTTAGCAGGTAAGTGCATGCTATATTCGGATTGCCTTTTCTTTGAATTTTTTGTACGTTCAATGTGCATTATCTCATCCACAGGTTTCGTCTTATCGATTTTTTGCGACTCGGATGTTGTGGATGGTCTCACAGGTAATAATGTCTTAATTCCAACTTGCGTTTTCTCTTCTTTAACTTTCATATCGAATAATGTAGTAGGAGACATGGCGCAAGCATTTTCTCTTTTCTTCTCAATGTCATCGTCTATTTCCATACTGTGATTAGACATGGGAGACATTGTTTCAATCTTTACATCGTCCTTCTGCAAGTCACTACATTTTTCCGATTGATCTATTTCCTCCTCTAATTCAGATATTAATGGAGCTGATATTGAAGGAGATGTAGGTTGCACAGGATTTAATACTGGTTGCAATAAATTGGAAGATAGTTTATCTGGAAGAGATTTCTTCTTTCCGATTTTATTGATTTTTTCTAAGAATGGCGTCGATTTCTTCGGAATAATGTCTTCTATAGATTCTCCGATTGTTCTTGCATAAGCCAAGTCTTCGACTTTTGGAGTAGATCCCAAAAACTTAGAATATTCAGGATGATAATGCTTAATATGCATTTGCAATAAATTTTCTTTTCGGAAATTCTTATTACATCCTTCCTTAGGACATTTATAAGCACTGTCTTCCATTTCCACACGAAGTCCACCAATAAAAACTGCTGTATCAAAAAGTAAATATTATCAGATATTATAAAATAATATTATAAAATAATCGTAAGACACTTTTATCTTAGTGTTGCTACATAAATGTATCAAGAAGAGAACAAATGACTAAGCTACATAATTATATAAAAATATATTATCTTTAAGTACTTACAATAGTTCATCTCTGATGAATTAGTGGAAGGTAAAAAATATATTGAAAGAATTAAGATGTGATATGACTTAAGATTTAATATTATATGGAAATCTTACCACTATCTGTAGCAGATGTAGTAGGCGTCGAGGCAGTAGGTGGAATATCGGGAGTACTCGCAATAAGAGATGTACTCTCAGGTGTGGCTAATGCTTTCGTTTTGGGCAATAAGGTTTTTATCTTTTTCGGTACTTCCGGTGTAATCTCTTGTTTAATACGATGCACGTTCCGTTTCTTACGATGTATGCAGAAATCGAATTTTTCAGGATCAAAATCCAACTGTCCTTGGTTTTCCATGAACACTCTGATATCGTTTCTAGATCTGAATTTCTTTCCAGTCTGCTTGCTTAAAAATAGAAATTTAATTGAGTATATATTATATGTTATAGTTAATCATAATTTAAAATAAAATATATCTTATATCATACTGTATAAACAGCACATCCCACTTTCCTGCTGATGTACCAGCTTTCCTTTGTGTAAAATGTTTTTCCCACCCAGGTGGCAATCTTTTATCTGATATTATTATAGATCGACGTGGTCCTAGAAATTAAATTTAATATGAAACATTAAAACAAGATGTAAAAAGCTGTAAGGGATGTAAGAAAGCACAAGGAAATATAAAAAAAAGAATATAATGTATTTCATTAATATCATATTAGAAACTATACAATTAGTAATTAATTACAATTAATATAACAACTCACCATCATTACCATCTACAATATAAGATTCTGTCCCTTGTGGTTCTCCATCAATCCACTCAGGACCAACATCTTCTTCATGATCTGTATCAATTTTGGGCAACTCTTTCTTGCTTTTCTTCGAATATGATTTGATCTTTGCGATGTTGGTATCAAACCCCTTTAACAAATTTGTGTCAGGCTCAAAACAAGGACCGTACATTGTACCATCCAATTCAATTTTGGTTTCTAAACTGCTTTCTCCACTTTCCTTAACAACAGTTTCCACTTTCTTTGGCGTTTTATCAGAGTCAGTTTTTATACGTTTTCTAGAGTTAGTATGAAACAACTCCATAATTGTATGTTTTCTTTTCTTGTCTCTCCTTTCTTGTTTACTACCGATATATCCTTCCAATTCACTCAATTGCTATTTAAATGGGACAAAACAAATAGTTTATAATGATAACATTAACAACATAGTTATGTCTTATGTGACATACATGTGGAAATTTCAGTTTAAAAATCTCATTCGCAACAGCTTGTTCTAAGTTTTCATTACAATATTAATTTTTATGACTTGTTCAGATAATAAGTTGAAGAATAATACTAAGTAATATTAAATATATGAAAAAAGTATCGTTTTATTCTACTAACTCATATAAGATTTTCTTAACTTACAGTTAAAGGTAAAGAAACAACAACATAACCTCAATCTATGACTCCCTACCTTAGTCGGGGTTGCGGCGATTTTGGTCATTTTTGACGATTTAACGATCTTCCCGTATCCATCATCGAACAATACATCGTATCTATCTGCGAAAAAGATTTACTTAGATCTACTTCCGAGGTACTTTAGCCTATTGAGATAAAAAAGCTAAACATATATATATCCCTCTCTCCTTAAGTGCAAACGTCAAACAGTTATCTACGAGATGTACTCCGTCTCTTTCCTGCTTACAGTTAAGGTTAGGTCCCTTACCATTACTTAAGACCGCATTCACTTTGGCTGGATATTTTCTACCGTCCGCCCACGTAGCGAGTATCCTTTCTCCCACTGAAAAGTCCCTCACTTTTGTTTCCCTGGAGGTGCGAAATCCACGCATTATGCGTAAATTGAATGTATTAGAATTAAATGAAATGTGAAAACCTCAAGAAAAAAACCTATGTCTCGCGTAATTCACTTTTTTGTTTAAATAACATCGACTCGTAGTTCGTTTGTTAAAACTGTGCAATCGCAATCTACAGAAATATACCAAACTGAATTTAGAGAATTGGTCCAGCGATGTTTCAGTGGGAAAATTATTCTACAAAATGTGACTTTACATAATAATAGTAGGTATATTAGTGAAAATAATTATACATTGCCTATTCCTGCTAATTTTCACATATATGATAATTCAATGTGCATTAGTTTCGCAAAACTTAAAAAAATTATAGAAAAACTTCTTGCATCTTTTATCTAAAATAATAATTTATATTTTTATTCTTACTATATAAGCACAGCACAAAAATAAGATTCAATGTAACAAAAACTGAATCTTTTATTTGCATTCCATCATTTGAAGTATTCAGCGGTGGACCAATATTTACTCTCATCTTCACTGATGTAATAAGCACAGAGTCTTAAGTAATCTTCATACTTAATAAAAATTAAAAATCACTCTCTTGTTAATCAGGTTGGAAAAGAAATACTACAAAATCATGAGTTTTTCTACCACTATGCAGGTACTGTAATTTTCACCTATTCACTAACACAATTTTCACTTACGGAGATGGCAGGATCCAAGTTTGTTCGCTTTAAAGAAAGACAAAACACTTTTATCAAGATAAAATCTTTAACTCTGGGAGTAATATGAAGATTTAAATAGCCTAGGTGCTAATCACTGATATATCACAGTATTTCTGATAATTACAATATCTACTTACTTTGGTGGAGTTTGTAATACACGAAGCCTGGAACTATCCATTGGTATCCACTCATCGAACCTTGAATTCCATTTGTCAAAATGTATTAGAACTTCCCTCTCATCCCAGTCTGTTTCTACCACTTTTGCAGAATACCTATAAGTATAATTTAATATATGTATTGATTCTATTCTAGTTAAAATTTAACTTTCAAATCTATTATTCATGTTTCACTTATAACTAATTTACATTTATTTAATTAAGTTTAATTTTATTTCACACAATAATCCATCACACTCTGCTTTAGCAGCTTGTTAACATTATTTTCAATAATACTTGCCACTTTTCACTAAAATCTTTAGCTTCTAATTTAGCACCAGGATAAAACTTTAATCCATCTTTGTTTAAAACTTTTGGTTTTATTTCTTCTGTTTTGTCAAATTCTTTGTCATCAGATAATTTAATGTCTTTTAATTCCTCCTTTATCATTAAATCTTTGGCAACAGTTTTTATTATTCCTGGTTCAACAATACCAAGTTGCATAGCTACTGTATTCACTTTACTATCTGAATTCTCCATCGACTTGTCTTTCATCATTGTCACAGTTTCTTCCTTTAGAGTTGTCATTTTGTATCCAGTATCTATTAATTCTGAATTATCTGGAGGATTTAACGAATCAGTAGAAGATTCAGGCCTGGAGTAACATTGCTCGCCACAACTGTCAGATTTAGGTGTTCTTGCTTCAGATAATAACGGTGAGACAGAATGTTCCAGATTTAATATTTCTGAATTGATCAGATCCAAATCTTCTTGCGCATATGATGTTGATGACTTTACTGATATAATTACAGGATCTGAAAAAAGAAAAAAGATCATTAATTTAGTTTGACACTAATGACATAGATAATGTGCATTTGGATACAATTTTTATTCACATTTCATGCTGTGTATTAAGTTCGATTAGAATAAAATCTAATAACTATATCTTAATAAATAGTAACATTTTAAATATCTTCTATAAAATGTATACAAGAAGTTAACTTTTAATTTCGCTGATATTACGCAACTGAAAGTTAATAAAAAATAACTACGTACAAATCGAATATAAATATGAAAAGTTGTAAACCGAAGAGAGGTCGCACTACTAAAAGAACAAAATAACACTTTGCCGCGCTATGTCTGTTATCGCTTACGCTGTTCTTATCGGCAAACAATCGAATGTCACAAGCGCGTGAACGTCACAAACTATTCGACACATTCTTGCAAGAATCTGCCAGCACTACCGGCAATGATCACATCGTTGTAGACACGTTCTCGTGAAAAAAATTATGGTACGTAAAAGCGACCGGCACGGCGCGCGCGGTACGCCATGACACAACTCGACGAATCGAGCCGGAGCATGCAGCGACGGAGGAGGGGAGAGGACACAGCGGGAATACATTGGAGAAGCGAAAGAAAGGAGAGAGAGAGAGAGAGAGAGAGAGAAAGAGGAGAGAGAGAGAGAGAGAGAACGAGAGAGAGAAAGAAAGAGAAAGGAAGATAGTGTGAGACAAGGGAGGTAAGAGGTGCAGGAGGTGCAAAGAGGCGGAAGAGAAACAGAAAAAGAAAGAGAAGGATGCGCGAAACTACGTTGTGCTCCACGCCTGTGACAACGTCCATTTCCCTCTCGTGACATGAGGCGGTCAGTTGATTGTCGGCGCGTTAATCGCGTGCACGTACCTGGATGATTGTCATAATCCGCAAAGACCGAGGGAACGCTGCCTCGCTTCAGCAGGAACTTGTGGCCTCGCGCAGCGGCTTCGTAATCGGCGCGTTTGAAATGCCGATGGCAAACTACCTGGCCCGGCGTCGGCTTGAAGCTCTTCTCGAATCCACCACTGGCCAACCACCTGTCCTTCAATACGGCGTCCTTGGGGAACTTGTGAAGAGGCAGTCCTTTAGCGCGCGCCTCCCGCACGTCCGCCTCGCAGCTACGCACGCAGCATTTGCGCGCCATTCCCATCGCCCCCGCGGCCGCCACCGCTGCTACCGCCGCCGCCGCGGTTACAGCGGACGGCGCTCTTCTCCTCCCCTCGGCACGCGAGCGCGCTATACGCCGCCGCTGCTTCATTTACAAACCGGCGCTACATAGCAGCGTGTTGACGAACAGTACGGACGCCGAACGGAAACTGCACCGAACGGTACGACGCTCGTCTCCACGAGTGATCACGCACGTCCCGTGCAAGTCGAGGCGCTCTTCCGCTTCGTCGGAAACTCGAACCGTTCTCTCCCCGCGTACCAGCAGTATCCACGTACAACTTCGCTCGACTATCGACTGCGACTCTCGCAATGCGCGGTCTGCCGCCGCCGCACAGTCACTACTACTGACGAAACACCCGACCTCTTGGCTACACGCGCGACACTGATCAACCGATCGATAGGGCAGCATCGAGCACCGGAATCCAGCTGGATATCCTCCATCGTCATCGCGCCAACTCGATCGATACGACGCCAGCGTCGCCACAGCATCGATAAGAAGGTCCATTTCGGCTGCACTCCCGGTATACCTACTCCATTTTTTCTCTCTGCTTCTCTTTTCGTTATACTTTAAATGTATATAGCTATCTTACTCGAAGTACAGAAAGTGTACAGGGTGGTGCAATATGAAAGTATAAACGAAAATATACGCTAGATGGAGACACTCGAACACGTTCGACTATCTAAGTTTCAAATGATTAATGCTGAACGACTAAATACAATATGTGGTTCCTCCTCCTCCTCCTTCTTCTCTTTCGCCGATACTTATCGCTACATAGTCTACTTAGCTATATTGTTTAAATATGGTAAAGTTTATTTAATAACATCACAGATACAATAATTATGTACATAATTGTCTGAGAAAGCGCCAGCTGTGTTCCGACTGTACACTTTCATCTACCCCACTTGTCAACACTGTAAGCACTGATAAAGAACTAAGTTTCGGAAAAAGGTGCTTTGTTTCATTTAAGGGCGGATATTCGACGACTTCGCGACAAGGATCTTGTGATCTTCTCGCTCCGAGTTTCGAAATCGTATTTATACGTGGTCTAAAATCACCCAGTTCTGTCCAGACACGCCCGCGCGCTTACTTCGAACTGAAAATTTGGCTAACCACCTTTCCTCCTTTTCCTCTTCATTCTCAACGCGATTAACGGCCGTCACGCCGTTTCTTCATGGTATGTGTGTATATGTGTGTTGTGTATTATAGGTTGTCCTCGGACGAGGACAACTTGTCGAATACATAAAGTTTTAGTTGAGCGTCGTGCCTCTGCGGCGGTGCGGCGGAATCGGGCTTCGCCAGCTGCTGCGAGGCACATGGAGGATCTATGGTACGGGGTAACAGAGTGCGATTGAGCTCGGGCATCGAGGCAGTCGGGTCCTTCAAGGGTAACGTCACCTCTCTCAGAGAATCCGTAGGTGAAGGAGGAAGCACCACTTTTTCAGGAGCATTTTGAATAAATATTACTCTGAAACAAACATAAACAATGAAGTTGAGACGTCAAAGTGCAACTTCCACCCACAATATCCAAAAAGAAATTTTTGTTTTCTAAGTAGAAAAGTAATCGTTGCTGTAAGACACCGTACGCAGCGTGTCTCTCGCTTTAGCGCACCTATTAAACGCTCGCCACTTCCTGCACAATGTAATGTACGCTTTGCATTGAATGTACATAAAAACTAATCCGCCGGTGGAGCCGATCACGACGACTATCAGTTTCGTCCAGAAGGACCAGTCGACGAAGCCGCGTCGAGCCTCCTCCACCGAACGCTCAACCAGCACGTACAACGACCACGCCACGCAGAGCGCGGCCACGGCGTGAAAAGCGACGGCGCACCATAATTTTCTCACCTCCAGCGCGGACATCTCCAGCTTCTCCCACTGCAAGTGTCATCGTACACCGTTTATTCGCGTAATCGGAAGTACGATGAAATTAGGACACTTGGCAATCTTTCCGTTCTCGAAAGAATTTTTCCGAGCAAGGAGAATAAATTACCTCGCAAAACGGTTTTGTCTTGGCATTCATAATGAATGTGAATTTGCATAATTCGCAAGCGCGCGTATCCGAAGCCTTTATCCATTGCTGAAGACATGCTTGATGTACATAGCGCAGGCTACCGCTACAATAACAAGGTGCCAACAAAGGAGCACCTTCTTCGCCTTCACAATGGCAAATCCTATTTATAAGCAAATTTGTTTACAAACAAATTTTTACACTTTTATATTGAAATAGAAATTGCAAATTTTATCATTATTTTAACATATTTTAGTTATTACGAATATCTTAAGTATGATATAGATATATAAGTATATGATTTAGATACATTTACCTGCAAATATCATGGTTGCTCGAAGACAATGTGCTTACTGACGAATGACAATGATCTGGTATAATAGTGACTACTGTGGCATAACCTGATTCCTGAAATAACCATATCTTTATAAATCATTTATAAAGAAAACGAGAAGTTTATCATTAAAGAATCATTATCTTCTATATAATTTATATTCTTTGATAATATTACAATGTAATAATTGCCAAAATAGAGTTATATATAAAAACAAAATATTGTGAGATTAAAGTGTTTTCATGATATTCTTTTCATAATTCTGCTGCGATCAAATGGTTGTATTCACATATAAAATGAAGTTTATGCTTATATTTCTTAAGGAAGTTAAAGATGATCATAGTTTATCTCAATCTCACCCGTGGTGTCCATTCTGGTAAACCTTCCCCGCCAGCGGGGCTAGTGTTGCTGGAAGGTCCAAGTGACAAAGGTGGTTGCCAGTCAGGCGGATTAACATTGATCTGATGAACCGGCATCACTCTCTAACCTCAGCAAACATATAATCACTAATGAGTAAATTTGATTAAATGCATCTTGGATGTTCAATTATCATCCTCCCAATAACGTCCGTGATGCCAATCGGGATACCATATAACTTCGTTTGAATTTTATAAGTGTTATTCGGCACTTGGTACCAAAATACATATAGCCTGCAATCATATACAACCGCTGTGTTTATAAATAGATATATACAGATTTATTGTGTTTGTGTGTATATATATATATAGAAGTTATATACATGTATATTTAGAGCTAAGATATTTTATCCCAACTTCTTATGTGTAGATAATTATGTAATATATAATGTGCTAACTTCTGCTTGCAACAGCAGCACTCATGCTATAAAACACACACACACACACATACACACACACATACACATGTATATGCATACATGCAGATATATGTAATATTTGTTTCATTACAAATACTCCAGCCATAAACATCGAAATCTTCGACGTCTATGTTCAATCAATGAATTATTAGCTGATTAAAGGCAATTTGTGACAATATATGAACTTGAAAATATGCTAAAAATTAAAGTCGATTATATGGAAAATGTATTCGCGCGAAGTAACTGATAACATTTCAAAACAAATAAAAAATAGGACTGATAATGAACATTTTTGTCTATAAACAGCTTCTGAAATTCATATAAATCGAGCGATATTAAACAAATCGCTTTTGTAAACAATTATGAAAGCCCTGACAGTGATAATAAGCATACACGTAGCACTGCGTCATATTTGTGATTATCTCGTCTATCAATGATCGTTAACGTTCATTCGCTTTGTGCGATGTAAATTTAGTGCAACTGCAAAAGAAAGAAAACAATGCACACTGACATTGTCATCGTCGTTGTCGTTGTCGTTGTCGTCGTTGTCGTCATCGTTATCGTTCGTCATCGTCCATGGTCGTTGTCACATATACCTATTCTTACTTTTATGTTCTCACCCGCGCGAGTCGTGTCTCCTCACAAGACGATGTCTGCAAATGTCATGCAAGATTGTTGTATGTCGAAACGTTGCTCGTGAGAGCGTTTAAATATTACATATCGTGAAAAAAAACGGATCCACACACCATTTTGACACTTCGTCCTAAGTCAATGACACGACACAACGATACTCTGTCAATCTTCTCGATACGCAAGATTGCATAGACGCTCTATTCGCTCGTCCCGGCACACATAACGTTCGCACGATATCGTTCACCACGAGAAAACGCCGTGACACTCGCCTCGAAACGCGAAACAACAAAACCAACGGTAGCCTTCATCGTATAGCGAACAGTCCTTCCTTCCTCCATAACAGGCTGTGTATGTCATTTTTCTGCTACGCCGCCATAACATAAACGTAGGCGTGGCCTGGACGCGCTCGACGAATAAGAAACGTGAAACGGCTCACTTAACAACGCGATAGACATCCGATTGCCAATCAACGCTCCGGTATGTATCCATTATTTCTGTAAAACCGACACGTCGATTGGTGCTGCTGGATCCGTTCCCTATCGTTGCGCTTCTTGCAGGTGAAAGCTACAAACTCGGTTGAATGATTCGTCGACAATCTCGTTTACAATCGCGCGTAGAATTTCGAATTTCAAACTGCAAACCAAAGATTAAATATTGCTTCATATCATTTGTCTCGAATAAAGGATTTATTCATAAGCTTTACGATATCGAATTTATAGAGATGATGAGAATTAATTCCTGAAAAGAAATCTAATAAGGAAAAAATAAAAATTTAATAAGGAAAAAAAGTGTTTTAATATAGATTTAGGAAATTTTTTGTTTTTTATTAAAAACTCTGCTTGTCAATACAAATTCTGATATTTAAAAATAACGATTTACACATACACAAATATTATAAATTAATTTTATATAAAAAATTGTTAGATATACGTATAAATAAAAATATTGATTTTTTTTTTTATATCTGGTAAATTTGAGTTTAATACTACATATCATTTGTAAAATTATATTCTTGTTTACATTTATATTGTGTTTAAACAAGATTAGTTAAGGAAATATATATCTGTGAATTTCTTTTATCTTGTTTATGACCTAACAAATGAAATTTTTGTTTTGTTCACTATAATCACAATACTTAACATACACATATGCGCATGCATGTAAGTTAAAATCGCACAACATATTTATTTCTATTAGTAACCTTGTCAGTGGTATTCACATCTTTTATTATCGTTTTATCAAAACATTTTTTGTTTACTGAAATGCCTATTATCATCATTCATATTATTGACTATTATTAAACTAAAGTTTGACTATTTATTTAAAAAAAATACAATATAGTTACTTAATAATATAACAATATTTAAAATATAGCTGTAAACAATATCACATTTAAAATAACTTGTTTGCGATAATATAAAAAGAACTTTTATAAATTAGTAGATTCAAATACTTCATCCTGTTGAAAAAACAATATATGAAAATCCAACTAAAGCATGTATTTCTGTCATGATAAAAAATAAATTACATTGGAAGATAATTCTAATTAAATTTTATTGAAAAATAATTCTTATAATTTGTTTATTTATTATTTTTACAGCAAAACCAAAGACAATATATAGTTTTATTTATGTGGACAAATATATTTGAAGATATCAATTAATACATATACATATACATATATACACACACACGCACACATACACACACATACTTAATTTATTATATATTTATTTAATTACACTTATATCTTAGTTATTAACTTAATTACACATATATCTTAGTTGTATTTCATTATATATTAAGTTTATAATACAGAATTTTATCACCATATACTATACTTAGTTTACAAATAACAAAATAAATAATTTTTTTCTTCTAAAAATGAAATTATCATTAGTGAAAGCAAATAATCTTCCTATTACAATATGATTGTATTATGTTCTAAATTATAAAATGTAAATTACATATTATTAAACAATAAACTTTTCAGGTATAATATTGAAATATAAGATGCTTTTTAATTTCTATATATCTTTTAAATTATTTCCTAAAATATATATTAAAAATATTAAATACTATAATGGGCATTTGAAATATTGCAAATTTATTTAATGTTTTTATATTTTTTTATAATAAAAAAATAGCATTATTAGAAGAAGAAATGTCAAAATCATACATTCAAATAGAATTATTATATTATACTCAATGCATAATGAAAATAGAATTAGAATATGAAATATAAATTATAAATTAAAATTAGAATAAATTAAAATTAGAATTAAATTAAATTAGAATTAAAATTAGAATTAAATTAAAATTAGAATCAATATATAACTTCTATAAATTTAAATTTTATTTTATATAAAGGATACTTATGAATATTTATGAAACAAACATTTATAAAAATAATCTGGTACAAGATTTTAATGTTATAGTACTTTGGCATGTTGGACATTTTTTAGATGTACAAAAATGTGTTTCCAAGCATTGTGCACAAAATATATGTCCACAACGAGTAGTAGTAGGTTTTAATTTAGAAGATAACAGTTCAAAACATATTGGACATATTAACCGCACTGATTCTCCATTATCTGATCCAACCACATAGTATTTATCATCATCTGGGATACAGATTGTATCATCGAGAGTTATAATTTCCTCCATGTTTTTAATGTTGTTCAGTTTTGGCTTTCTACTAGCAGATACAGAAAAGTCTTAACTCAGATAATTATATATGGTTAGTTGAAAAATAAACCATATATATATATTCCCATTTTGTTAAAAAAAAATAAAACAAAATTAGTATGTACAAACCTTCTATTGCTGCATGAAGCACTTGTTTTATGTGTAGAAGTAAGGTTTAAGTCTATAACAGTATTATTACCTATTTCTTCTACATTTGCCAAATGTCTGTCATGTGATTGTGCGATTCCAATTGATGATTCATGTGTCAAATCAATAATATCAACTGGAGAGAATAATGAACCATTTGTAATATTGTTTTCTTGATTGTCATCCATGATAATCATCTGAAAAGTTCATATATTTAAATTAGTTTTAATCTGTTCTCTTTTCTAATTATGTAAAAAATATTATATTATGATATAATTATGTAGAAATCAATTTTTTTAATGTCATTGTTTATCTTATATTTTAAAAAGGAATATTGTTCAAAATAATGATAAAAACAGTATGCATTGTACAGTTATTATAGGAAAGACAATCACAATACAATATAGTCTTTATAAAACGCAAATTTTATGAAACAAATTTTTATTTTATATATAGGATTCTTATTCTCGATAACGAATTATAAGGAAAAATCTCACAATTGTGACTCTTCTATTTATTACTGAGAACGGTTGTTAGGAAAAATTAATTCAACTTTGTAATCTTACTTAAATAAAGAAATATATTCTTAATCTACTACACGACTGAAATTATTAAACGACTTAACAGCTAAATGGTTTAACGGAAAGTATCAACGGCGCTCTTGCACATTGCGCTCATCACATCGACTTTCCTCTCTCTCTGCGCATCTTAACCTCTATCTATATAAATGGTCATTGGCTAACATTAGCCCTTTATGGCTTTCTAGATATAATATCTTATACATCTAATTAATTGTCATTAGCATATACTAATTAATTTTTTTAAAGCTGTCAATTACCTGCAATTCTCTTTTGTCCATTGAAAAAATCTTGATGATCAAAATCGACCATTAATCGATATATAGTAAAGCCATTAAGTTTATGCAAAAGTTCAAAATATTACTATTTTCAGAAAAATATATAAATTATTTATATAATATGTATATATACATGTATGTATATTTTATAAAACGAAAATTTAACTTATTCAACAGCTACATTAAAAAAACAAAACGCCCTATAAGCGATCAGTGATTATTGGTTTTTATTGGCTGCGTTCCCATATTCACTACCAGCACTGAAATTATATAGCATACGTGACACAAACTATGTATTTACAGTATTGGCAGTGATTTTCGGGACGCAGCCATTTGGTCTGTTCTTTTTAGCTCTACTGCTGAACTAGTGCAATAAGTTAGAGTGAGATAACTATATTTTTTCTTATTCTAAAGCCAGCGGCACACGATGCTTGTTTTCGTGCTGGATTGCTTGCTGAATGAAAATACTGCGTTCTGATTGATACATTTTCGAAGATGGATGGAAATGCACCAATCAGAACGCAGTATTTTTATCCAGCAAGCAATCCAGCACGAAAACAAGTACCGTGTGCCGCTGGCTTTACTTATTGCACCAGTTTAGCAGTGCAGCTAAAAAGAACAGATCCACTGTTAAGTGGTAAGTAAGATTGAAGGAGAAGAGATTGATGATATAAACGTAACAAAGTAGTCGCGAATTTTATGATCGCACTTTAAAATGGGCGCTTCTTTCGCCGGTGATAAAGACAAGAACAAATCAGAGCCTACTGCCGGTGAGGTCGTAAAATTCGCATGGATTTTCCTTCCGCACCTGCTCCCGCGGCTGCTTAATCCGCAGTACGAGCATTTTTGCGGATAACTACAGGGAAAGTAACCTTCGACATCTCCTAAACGGCTCAAGATACAGGAATGCGCTTTTACCACAATATAGTCCTATATCAACCCTAGTCAGACCAAAAAGTTCGACTCTCAATACCTAGTTGAAACGGGGTTAGTAACAGTACAACATTCAACAATTAACAGTTAAAATATTCAACCTTCGATATCTCCTAAACGGTTTAAGATACAGGAACGCGCCTTTGTTTCCTAAACGGCTCAAGATACAGGCATGCTTCTTGCTCACAATATAGTCATATATCAACCCTACCCTCAACACAAAACTCGACACTCAATTCCCAGTAGAAGCAGAGATATTAACAGTAAAAGTTGAAAAAGTTTAACCTCCGATATCTCCTAAACGGCCCAAGATACATGCACGTCTTTTTGCCACAATATAGTCCTGTATCAACCCTAACCTCAACATAAATTTCGACTCTTAATTCCCAGTAGAGGCGGAGATATCAACAGTACAAGTTGGAAAACTTTAACTTTCGATATCTCCTAAACGGCTAGAGATACAGGCCTGTTTTTTTCACCAAAATATAGCCCTGTAAAAACCCCATTTCTCACCATTAATTTCGACTCTCAGTTCCCAGTAGAAGCGGAGATATCAACGGTACAAGTTGGAAAACTTTAACCTACGATATCTCCTAAACGGCTAGAGATACAGGCCTCATTTTTCTACCAAAACATAGCCCTGCAAAAACCCCATTTCTCACTATAAATTTCGACTCTCAATTTCCAGTAGAAGCGGAGATGTCAACGGTTCAAGTTGGAAAACATTAACCTTCGATATCTCCTAAACGGCTAAAGATACAGGCCTGTTTCTTGCACCAAAACATAGTCCTCTGAAAACCCTACATTTCACCATTAATTACGACTCTCAACTCCCAGTAGAAGCGGAGATATCAACGGAAAAAGGTTGGAAAACTTTAACCTTCGATATCTCCTAAACGGCTAGAGATACAGGCATGTTTCTTGCACCAAAATATAGTCCTCTAAAAACTCTACATTTGTCCATAAATTACGACTCTCAACTCTCAGTAGAAGCGGAGATATCAACGGAAAAAGGTTTGAAAAATGTAACCTTCGATATCTCCTAAACGGCTAGAGATACAGGCCTGTTTTTTGCATCAAAATATAATCCTCTAAAAACCCTACATTTCACCATTAATTACGACTCTCAACTCCCAGTAGAAGCGGAGATATCAACGGAAAATGTTGGAAAACTTTAACCTTCGATATCTCCTAAACGGCTAGAGATACATGCCTCTTTCTTGCACCAAAATATAGTCCTCTAAAAACCCAACATTTCTCCATTAATTACGACTCTCAACTCCCAGTAGAAGCGGAGATATCAACGGAAAAAGGTTGGAAAACTTTAATCTTCGATATCTCCTAAACGGCTAGAGATACAGGCCTGTTTTTTTTTGCCGAAACATAGTTCTGTTTCAGCCCTATTTTCGCCATAAATTTCGACTCTCAACTCCCAGTAAAAACGGAGATATCAGCGGTACATGTGCATATACTATTGCTTTTAACCATCGTTTTAGCTTTAAACTCCGTTTAAAACAAGTTGTGGAACTGGGCTTAAGTAGTGTGGGCTGCGTTCCGAAGTTCACTGCCAGTACTAAAAATAAATAGTTTGTGTCACGTATACTATAGATTTTCAGTGCTGTCAGTGAATATTGGAATGAAGTCGTGGTTTATCAGTGAATTGTCGTGCATAAGCTAGGTTAAAGGTGTACAAACAACTTCACTTGTCATCAGTTTATTATAAAAGTATTGATCAATAAATCCATGTAACGCAAATAAATAATTAAGCTCAACGTAAAGTTAACTTCTTACATCAACAAAATAATTAAAAAAGATGTCAACTAGTAAAGAGAAGGATGAAGAAAAACCTGTAGTAGCGAAAACGGCCGTAGATCTGCAAAGGTTAAAACTTGTAAAATTAATGAAAAACATAGTAAGTATTAAATTCTTGGTCGTTCTTTTTTAGCCTTTTTTAAAAATATTTTTATCTTATTTAAGAATGATCTCGTTTAAGATATAATTAAAATAATATATATTTTAATTCTTTACAGGATAAGCCAATAATACTACCAGAACGCCCTAAAGCGAAAAATACACCATCTGTGCCAGAATTTGTTCGTAATGTTATGGGTAGTAGTGCTGGAGCTGGCAGTGGAGAGTTTCACGTGTATAGACATTTACGACGCAAGGAATATGCACGGCAAAAATTTATTCAAGAGAAAGCGCACAAGGTAATGTGCAAAAACTACAAGTATATACAAGATTGTGTACATATATATGTATATTTATATATAAATATCTTTACATATATTATAAGATTAGATATGATTAGACACCTAAGATATTTTTAAAGATTTTTATATAATAAAAATTATAGGAGTTGTTAGATGTTGAATATCATCAGAAATTGGAGAAAAATAAGAAATTGGCAGAAGAAGCAACAGCAAAAAAACGTGCTAAGAGATTAAAGAAAAAGCAAGGACGTAGGCAAAAGAAACAAGTGAAAACTACGAAAGAAGATAACACTGTTGCAAGTGAAGGAAACAGTGAAGATGATAGTTCAGATGAGAATGAAGAAACTAGGATTGCAGAAACTAGTAAAGAATATAAAAATAATAAAGGAAATATTCAGAATTGTCTTGAAGATATGTCTACTGTTGAAGATGAATTGAAGGTAACAAATGAGAGTCAAGAAATCATACCAAAAATATCTGTTAAAGTAACAAGTAAAAACAGTCAATGTGAAAATGGAACATGACAATGCATATTAATATTTTTGTTTGTTAGGTTTAAAATTTCAGAATATATGTATTACTAGTATATATGTATAACTAGTAAATTTGATTTTACAAGCAAATCTATTGTATCATATGCTAGTATGTATATACAATATACTGTCCAAAAGTTCCTGGACTAAGGTAATAAAAATTAAAAAAAGAAGGCGAGTATTTTTTTCTGTTTATTTATTCAAAACAGGATCCATCATATGTAATACACAGTTTAGTACATGTTTCCAACTTCTTCATGGCATTAGAAAAGTCTCCTGCGGGGATCTTGTTTAGTTGATTATGGCTTTCTGAAGCCACTTAAAAATTGTTCGATTTAGTGCATTACCGTAAGCTTTCTGAATTAGTCTTTGTATCCAAAAAATCGACTTTACAACAAAATTTAACCGCTATATATTGTTCCTCCTAAACACCTATCTCATGATATATGGAGTAATGACACAATTAGTGCGAGACATTCTGCCTTAATAACTGCAACTATATTAACGCCAATTTGCATTCTTGTGAGAAACAGTTTGAACTATGTAGTTCAATCATGGCTTAGTAAATGACGTTGGTAGGAGAGTGTTAAAAAACTTAGTCCAAGAACTTTTGGACCATATTGTATATAATACATATTTTATTTAACATTTTACAAATTAGTAAATAAAATAATATATTAAAATTATTTTTATTTTGAATGAATTAAAAATGACTGTTACTATAAATTTATATCTATTTTTCCAATAGAATCATGAATAATTTGTACAAAAAATGCTTGTCAAGAAATATTTTTAATTTCTTTTTACTATTGGTTCTTATAAATTTATATTGTAGGTGTGACATCTAAATTGTCATAGTGATTAGTTCTCTCAAATATATTTGCTAAGAATTGAGCGATTTGACGATTTTCGATGTATCGCGCATTTTTTGCATGATGTTCCAGTTGAGCTCTTGCTTTAATTAAATCCCCTAGTTTTTCAGGCAACACAGTTTCCTGCAACAGAATAGTTGATATATCTATTTTATAAAAGAATTTAACAATAATTTTTTTGTAATACACACACTCTTTATGTTATATATGTTATACCTGGAACTGTTTCATAAAATTAGAAATTTCCTCCACATGATCGCCAATTTCCTCCCAAAGATTTTGCAGTTCGGATTCTTCTGTACAAGCGGCAACACGACTGAGAGTAAGGCATAACTAAAAGATACATTTCGAGTTTGATTGATTGATAAGCGATAACGAGATCAAGATGATGTCAGCAAACATACTCACTTGTTGAATCAATGCATCTTGATGTGAATATTCCATATAGCTCGGGACATGTTGAGCATTTTCAAAGGCTAAAATAATATTTTTCCATAACATCACAGTATATTCACCATAATGATTACAAGACGATAGTGCCCATGCGGCATTAGTGCGGACTTTAAAATTAGGACTGTGACATATCAAATTAGCGAGCACTGGAAATACTTGAACCTATAAAAATATCTTTTTTTATATCTTAATAAAGAGAATATCATTCGTTGGTAATTTAAAGTATGTACGTACTTTCCAAGAAGATGGCAATATTGCGTCTGGATTATGACCTAAAACTAATCCTAAAGCTCGACAAGCATTCCATCGTACCTAATAACATAAATGTAAGATTCATCTTTTACAAATATATGTTAAGCAAGGAATATTTATTTACTGCAGTGAGGCACCAACATATAAATACCAAATCAGCACTGATATCAAACAGCTTTAATTGTAAATAAATTGAAACTCGTGATAGATTAGAATTATATTAAAACTTACTTTCATATCATTTCCTAAAACTGCACAATTAATAAGCGCATCTAGTCCTAATGCCGTATCGGAAAGTATGTGCTTCTCTGGACATAGATACAATATGGTTCCAATTGCTCTAACAGCATTGCACTTCACTTTATCGTTATCCTTTGCAGCCTTTACACACACTTGATACAATTGAGGTAATAGGACCTCCAAAGGCAATGGTTCTCTGTCTTCGTGTTGCCTGAAAAAAATATATGTACATAAATAGAGCATATATTGCAAAAAAAGGAAGATACATATTCATATCAAATGAAAAAAGGCATAAACAAACTTCTGTCTAGAGAGGCAATCACACAGGTTTGCCAATGCCCAAGCACTTTTTACACGAACACCAAGATTCTTGTCATCGGAGGTCAAGTAAACTATGTCAGCCAGATCCATGAGGAAACCGGTATCATCTTCTAACGCTGACAAAGTTACTAACATTCCTAATGCACGTAATCCGGCTGCCCTCACAGCGCTCTCTTCATCGCGAACTGCTCCGAACAATATCGTTATTACTAATATAACTCTTTGCCTCTGAAAATGTAAATCAAAATAATTATATTTTAATGTATCATATGAGCATATTTCAACAAGAAAATGTATAATCTTTATGTAAAAATATATTAATTTTAATGCAAAATAAATTAAAATCTCAACCAATTACGTACACTTCTCACCAATACTCACCGATAATTGTGTAAGTATATTTCCATTGATGCTACCCAGACAATCGCAAGCAGCTTCTCGCAGTATAGTCTGCGATGTTTGAGCAAGTGATATCATAGATTCAAATATAGTATTCCAAAATAGTGTACCGTTGTTATGATAGGCCTCAGTGTTTGCGAGGCAACCAGATATAATCTCTAAGACTCGACACGCATGTAATACCACTTGACTCTCCGCCTCTCCCATAACTGAGACCAGTGTTGTGGTCACTTTCTCTAAATGAGGAAACACGAGGTTGCCCGTATTGAATGCCAATCTTCCTATGAGTTTTAAAGATTGAAGTCGTACAGGTGTACTGATTGTCTGAAATGAAAAGAATATTATATTAGTAAAGAATATACATTGTATATATTGTTAATTTGATTGTTAACTTCCTTGATTGTAGACTTTTAGCTTTAAATATAAATCATGATACCTTATTAGATATATTTTCTAAACAGACGCGAACTAGCACACTAATTTTCTCATCTTTAGATATTTTAACTTCATTAGAACTGTTCACCGAATTATCAATATCTTCTATATCTATTTCTTCTTCTTCCTCCGTTCCGATATCGTTAGTAAGACTAGCATTGAACTGTAGTCTTTCTGACTCTGCATCATTCATAGATTGCTTAGCTAACATGTTCGATATCTCTGGAGTAATAGGTTCGCTCGAGGCGAATGCTTCGAAAACAGACAATGCTGCAACTCGCACAGTCGGATCTGTAAAAATGTTATAACACTTCACAACGATATAATAAATTAAAAATCATATAGAATAAGTAATAATGCTGTACCTTTATGAAATATGTGTGGCCTACAATTTCTAACTAATTTGTTGACCAAACCAGATTTTAAACGTTCATACGGTGTACCTTGTACGAGAGCCGCCGTGCATTTCAATGCATGAGTCAAAACAGCCACGTTTTTCTCAGTAAATAAAACCAATGATAATGTAAAATGCAATTCTTTGACCATCAAACAAACTATGCCAAAAAATGTGATGAAGGAAGTATAATTGGTATCCTCCGCGTGTTTCAAGAATGGTCTGGCACCCGTCAATAATTCTGTTAATGTACTTAATACATTTAGTCTAACTTTCGACACGGGTTCTACCAATATGCTTCTTGTTAACACTCGTGCGTCATTCCGTGAGCCAGTAGCAACAATTTGTGGCCAATATCCGAAAATCTCTCTACTTTGAGTGAACTCTGTGAGAACTTGCAATAAACATACAGCTCCCAATCTCACTTTGAAATCGACATGGACAGAATTGTTGCCTTCTGTGTCCGATGTGTCTGAATCGCTAGAATATTTGGAAGTTCCACTATGTTCTGAAAGAGTATTATTTCTTGTATCAGACATAATCTTTTTAGCAGCTGTTTTTTTCGGCCTTGCTTTGTGGTTCTTAAGATTCTTGCATTTTGGTATTACATGGACACGTTCTGGTAAATTCATTGCCGCAGGACGGAGTAATTGCGGCTTTGTAGTTGGATAATCTTTAATACCATGAAATAAAAATGCCTGTATCACTCCTAATATTTCCCCAATAAAATCTGGGGTATTAGGAATCATTTTCTTCGACACCATAAAATGCAAGATGTGTAGACACAAACGTATAACCTGTAAGTATACAAATTGTTGAATATATATTTTACATATTATATAACATGTTACATTTTATATATTATATAATAAAAATTACATACCTTACTGTAATAAAGTTTATCATCCTCCCAATATGGTAATAGTGTAAGAATCTTGAAAATAATATCTTTTATCAAAAATATAAATTCATCTGACAAATAATTACTGTTGTTTTTGTTTACCACAATCTCTTGTAAACACTCAAGAGCGTGAAAATTTATTTCAGACCATGGACCATATAATGGATTTAAATGTCTTATCAATAAATCTTTATCTCTCAGTAACAAACGTGCATACTGAAATATATGATGTTTAATTTTAAGAAATTGATATATTTACTTGATAGCAATTTAAGTTATAAGATAACATACTATACACTGACATGATTGATATCACTGAAATATCCAACATATAAGAAGCTCTTTATAGTAATCAATACATCGATTTGTGCCAATGGTTCAGAGAATTCCAATGCTTCTAAGATCCATCGTTTACAAGCAACAAATGTCCGACCATGAAGTTTAATATTACTTTGTGTTAAATTGTACAGAAATTTACAGGCATTCTGGACTAAGAATGTTTCTGCAGGTAAAATATTTGTGCAAAGTTGATTCACTAACAATAGTACAGCCTGAAAAATAAATCAGAATTTAATTTATATTTAATCTTATAACAATTGTTATATAAATACAAATTGTTGTACAAATTATACAAAATGTAGCTGTGGATATGATCATTATCACAAAATGTTTACTCTTATCATTTAATATAAATATAAATATGTTTCTTACATCATTATTTATAACATCAAGCCATCTATAATCCAGTTCATTAAGATCACTCAGGCATACATTAATTTGCTTTTTATCACTGAGTTTAGTACTAGTTAATGATAATAATCTATCAATTATTGATAAAAATTGCGTTGTAGTATCACTAATCACTGCATGATTTATATGTGACGAAGTCATGATTATAATTTAATGTGCGTTATAATATAGTTTTATTATATCAAAGAATATAAATAATTTTCATGATTAGCTTCCAATTTATATCAACCACATTACTATATGTTACTCGATTATAAAAAATTATGAAACGATGTCTATTGCAGTTAGTGAACACGTGAAACTTGTTTTGATTATCTTAGCTACGTTGGATTACAGAAGCTCTAGTTTACCGACTCTGTTTCTTCTTTATCATATTATGATTAAAAAGAATATCCAACTTGTGAAACTATTTTATCGATAACATCCTTTTTTAAGGACATCCTCCACGCGACAGCCGATAAATTTCTCACAATCACAAAAGTAATTTATGTTTTGTCGCCAAATACGACTCAGAGATGAGGCTGCTTTATAATTTCAGAATTTTGGTGACATTATGCAAGAACTCTCCCCTCCCTTCCCGTGGATATTAAAGTGATAACAAATCCGCGCGTCCGAATCACAATTTGTTCTCGACCGTGACGGTTGAGATGCGCGAATGTATTGGAGGGAGTGGAACAAAAACATAATTTCGATGTCTAGAATGGTAGTGAGTCATTGTGAAAGTGTGACATCACCTTAGAATAGAACGGATCACCTTAGAATAGAACGGATCAACCACGAAAACGAGGAAACGGGAAAGCAGGAATCATGGAAGTGCTGGATCCCAGCGTCTCCAGAGACGATCAGCCTCTTTGTGTCAACGTTTCCTTGGAACGAGGTCTGTCCGTGAGATTATCAGTAACATCCTGCATTCCTGCAACACCCACCGTTTGCGTAATTACACTTTCTCTCCTCGCGTATGACAGTGTTTATTTCCGCCAAAATAATGTGGCGCATTGTTTGGAAACAAGGAAATAATTATAGCGATATGAACGACGCGAGTAGAGCATTATTATCTAAAAACAATTTTCTTTTATTTGAATGTTGCAAAAAGAGAATTTACGCGGTATTTAACTGATAACAGTCAATGACATCAGTCGATGACAAGTTAAATGTGTCAGATGTCCTTTAGTTTTACATATAGGAGATCTCAATTGATACGTTCAAATGTTTTAAATTATTTAAATTTGTTTTATATTTTATCACTTAATAAAATATTAACATTTTAAAAAGACTAATTACTAATTACAAGACTAGTTTTATATATCATTAAAGAATCTTAACAAGAAAATGAAATTATGCCTTTAGATTGTTATCATTAATAATCAAATGCAGATAACAATTCATGTTCTTTGTTGTTATTATGTATTTATAGTAATATTCTTTCAGTTAATTCATCACAAATACCAACTGATACGAAATCATGTGTAAAAGCACGCCATACATTGGGTTTTCTGGGTTTCCTTGGTTTTGCTCTAGTATATGCTATGAGAGTCAACTTATCAGTAGCTATTGTTTCCATGGTTAATCAAACAGCAATACCGCATACTGAAGACAATGATACTAGCGATGTTTGCCATAAAATGAAGCCAATAAATGGAACCTTCATACCGGTAAAATTATTATTATTTTATATTTTAAGCTTTTATGGTAAAATACTTGATTTAGCTTTTAGATTGGTGCTATATTTTTCACAGACTTGAAAATAAATCAAATTTATTTCCAAATTCATGAAGAATAGATTGAAAAATAAATCTGAAATGAAGAACTTGTTACTAATCTAAAAGATCAAATATTATTCTTATAAATTACAGATCAAATAATTATTATTTTTATAAATATTATTATTTCAATATGTCTCTATATTGTATTGTATTTAAATTTTATGATTTATGAATATGAATGAGTGATTTTATGAATATGAATGTTTTATTCCATTGTGCCATTTGATATTACTTATTACTTAATATTATATGTTCACAGACTTATCTTGTTTAACATATGATTAAGCATGTGAATATATACATTTATATGCTTGTATACTGTGTAAAGATAATATTCTTTTCTATATCAATATAAATTATCTTTTTTTATTATTTTATTATACTCATTCATTTTGTAATCTTTTTATATTATTTCTATTATTGAGAATAAACTTATATTTTTCAGAGTGCAGGAGAATTTGCATGGAATGAGAAGACTCAAGGTATCATATTAGGTGCTTTTTTTCTTGGCTATGTAACTACAAATGTTCCAGGTGGTAGGATGGCTGAAAAAATGGGTGGCAAGTTAATTTATGGTCTCGGGGTGTTTTTGACAGCTGTGTTGACTGTAGTAAGTCCTTTTGCCGCATATTGGGGTCTGATACCGTTTCTAGTTGTGCGAGTTGCAGAAGGATTTACCGAGGTAAACATTTGCTTCTGCTTCTGAAATATATAAAATCGTCGCTAATATCTCATCAACATATTATATGTAGGGTGTAACATTCCCTGCAATGCATAGTATGCTAGCGCATTGGGTACCTCCATTAGAGAGAAGTAAATTTGCTGCTATAGTTTATGCAGGTAATTTGTCAGTTTTTTTCCATTAAATATAAATTATTCAGAGATATTTATTATTTAGATAAATCATTGTTAGATGTTTAAAGACTCACAATTTTCAGGTGCAAATTTTGGTACTGTTGTGTCGCTACCAGTGAGTGGCTGGCTATGTTCTTTAGAATTATGGGGCGGTTGGCCCCTCGCATTTTACTTGTTTGGTGGACTTGGTATCTTGTGGTATGTATTCTGGTTAACATTTATATATGATACTCCAGCACAACATGCAAGGATCGATCCTTCTGAGAAAGCCTATATCGAAGCCAGTGTTGAAAAAAAAGATGAGGTCGGTGTCATTCTTAATATATTAACACTCAAATAAAAGATCGTGTTAATAGATCTGACTTAATAATAATAAGTAAGAAATTCTTATGATAGGATGACGATCCGGGAGTACCTTGGCTATCCGTTTTCATGTCTCTACCTATGTGGGCTATCACTATCACGCAATGTGGGCAATCTTGGGCCTTCTACACTCTCTTGACCGAACTACCAACGTACATGGATAAGATCTTGCGTTTGAATGTGCAACAGAACGCCTATTTATCGGCGCTGCCTTATCTGAGCGCTTGGTTGGTGGGTCTTGGTATCTCAAGCTTCGCGGATGCTCTCCTTGCTCGTCGTATGATATCACCATTGGCTTCGTTTAAGCTGTGGAACACTGTAGCCTCATTAGGTCCCAGTCTTAGTTTTGTCGGTGCTATCTGGGCTGGTTGCGATCGTATGACAGTGATGCTAATGCTCGCCGGATTAGGTTCTCTTCAAGGGGCGGTGTACGCTGGAAATCAGATGAATCATATTGCGTTAGCTCCGCGTTATGCTGGTACTCTGTACGGATTAACCAATGCCGCGGCAAACACGTGCGGTTTCTTGGCGCCATATGTAATTGGCAGTATAGTTGAAGGACATGTTAGTACATTTTATGTACTTTAGTTGTAAACAAAAAAGTTGATTCGTTTCAAACATCCTCCGTGATATATGTATATGTGCATTTTCTTTATGATCTTTTTATATTATCACAGGAGACTCTCGCGCGCTGGCATACGGTTTTCTGGATGGCAGCAGGAATAAATATGGCTACTAATTGCTTTTACCTAATGTTCGCTTCTGCCACGGAACAACCATGGAGCAAGGGTGGCAGTTGATGACAATGTCACATTAGACATGCGATATTGAACGTGGAAAATAACATATTCTTCAATCATGTTGCACACAGTACGTTTTAACTCAGCTTTAAAGGTCATGACAGCTCACTTCATGTGATTCGGTATACAGGTATCACCGAAATTATTAAAATAATTTAACATTCCGATTCCTTTACTTTAAGTTTTTTGTCTGGTCACATGCATCGTTCAGCGAGATATGATACAAATAGATCAAATTTCAATTATCAATTCGTGCTAATATAGTATATGACGTAAATACACACTGCTGAATGTGATATTTACGCTAAATATTGGAAATGAAAAGCATGTACTTTCCTCCTAGTTGTTTTATTGTCCTAATGATTCAATTACGTCGATTATTATGTGATGTGTAGGTAAATGAAGAAAAAAGTCTATTATTGGAAATTAATTAGGTAACTAAATAATCAGCATCATATGTGCGATACTATTCCTTAAATCGGGAATTATAAGATTTTCAACTTTATGTATATGCTCGATTTTCGAACGTATGTATATACATATAAGAAAATTCTTGATCTAGGAAAAAGTACAGTATACATGATGTTGACAGAATAAACTGTGATATTGATACAACGTGATACATATGAAGAAATAATATTTGATTCTCGCATATTTAATTTTAAACATATCTCGCTACCATGTAACAGACAAAAACTTTAACAATTGAAAACTGTAATATATGTGTCTTTCATTATATTTTATATATGCGAATTCTGTACTGGTGACAGAAGTTTAAAAAGAAAGAATTAAAATTTAATGTTATTGAGAATTATATTTATGTATATTAATATATTTTCTTATTTATATAATTTAAAAAAAAGATATGTTGCCACGTCAATCTTATCTTGGCATATAAATGTATTTCTTTGAAAAAATGGTATTACTTATTTATAATGCCAAAGGATAAAGTAAGATAAATAGCTTCTATATATACATGAAGCTTACTTTAACCATGTCGATGTATTATTAACGTATATATTTCTGATAGTAAAATAACATGCGAATTCGAGTAAACGATTTTATCGTTAAGAAAAATTATATATACATAATTATTTGTAGAAATTTTATTCTACGTATTTGTGAGATAAAGCAAAGATTATAAGCAATCGTATTTAGTTATAATGGAAGCGTAACATAGACGCATTAAAGTATTAGTTTTAGCCATTGGCAAAAACACTATCGCTACTCTTAATGGTATATTGCATGCGTATTATACATTTTTAATCTATTTAATGGTATTTTAAGAAGTAAAAATTTTTGCATAATCAAGTACAGAATAACTGTACTTGAGTTTTAATTTATGAGAAGAAATGTAAAAATAGTCTTACACAGATAATTATACAAAAGTTCTTTCCGAATGTAACGATCACGTTTGATGTGCAATGACCAAAAAATGTACAATAATAATAGTCAATATTGTTTATATACAATTTTTCATAACATTTGTACCTCCTATTCCTTTAATAAATCTTTCAGTTAAAGTTGCATCGTGCTGTTTTTATAGAAAGCTAAATTTATCAAGATACAATTATCAAAATGTTTATTATATTATATTGATAGAAATTTTAAAATGATTGAATATAAAATAGTTAAATATGTAAATATATGTAAAAATTCAAAAGGGAAAAAAGAAGATAAAATTGCATTTACCAATTTATATACGCATTTATCACGTACACTAGTAAAAGTCCTAAAGTAAAAAGGATGTTAGCTTGAATTTAAATCATCTTTCTTCTTAGCGGTAAGCTCGAAGATCATATCTCGCATGCGGCTTAAGTCAGTCAATTCTGCTTTCATTCTTTGTATATTCCCTTCTTTTTCCGATATGGTCTGCTCGTACGTGTGCAACATTTGCGTCATTTGTTGAAGCTCTTGCTTAAGCGCAGATATATCTCTCTGATTCGTTTCAATCTCTGCTTTTTTCTTCTCTAAAATCTGCAAAAATAAGACAAAATATTGAAATTTTATATTTTTTGTTTCCAATGTGAAAAGATTTTCGTACATGTTCTTTCTTGCTGAGAGAATCCTTCATTTTTTGTAGAGCTTTGTTTAATTCACGATTCATATTGCTCATATCCGTAGCTTTCGTTTCAGCAGTTACGCGTTCATTTTCTGATTCCTGGACTTTCCTATTTAATGTATCAATTTTATTATTACTGACTTCTAGTTCCTTCGTACGTTGCGTTAGTTTCTCGTTCAAGTATTCTATATTCGCTGTTTTCTCCATCACAATTTTTTTCAAAGATTCGATTTCCTGTACAAAATACAAAAGTCGTAATTATGAAAACATTCGTGGCAATTGTGTGATTCGCACAATTGTAATAGTATATATTAACTTTTTTCTTGATCAAAAGCACTTTCTTGGATTGATCCTCCATCTCACTGAGCTTTCCTGTTAATATAATTTTTTCAGCTTTTGTTCCTTCTAAACATTGCTGGGTATCGAATAGTAGTTGATGTAATCTACAAGATTCAGCTACCACTTGTGCTACTCTATGCTGAAGACTGGTGGAATGATTATTCGCCGCTTCTAAGCTCGATTGCATCGCCCTTTCGGAATGCCTCATTGCTGCTAACTTTAAAAAAGTTAGATACGATATATACAAATATAGGTATGATATAGAATAGAATATGCGAGAAAATTGTACCTTATACTCGTATAATTCCATTACCGCGGATGTCGGAATATCTGCTATCTGATTTGATTCGAAAGCCGATTGTAATCTGGTCAAAAACGCATCAAGACGCTCCTCTTGTGCGATCGAGAATAAAGGTGCCATTTCGTTTCCGGTATAATTCAAAGGTGTCTTGTTTGTAATATTTCTCAATATATCACTGTTAGTACTTTGCACTAGTACCAATGGTTCTAATTCTTTCATGCAAAGTGCCACTGCGACAACACTTATCGAACAGAAACATCATATTGCACAATTATTTTACAATGAGTCAAAGTGAACATTTTGTTATACGACCACACTTACCATTCCTGTGGAAACCCAACCGAGGATGTTAACTGCAAGACTTTCTGCTTCACCTCGCTGTCACCAGTGAATAATGCTAATGCCATTGTCATTTGCACTTGTTTTCTACTGAGCAATTCGGAGTACAATGTTAACCAATTGGAATGATTCGCTGCCAAGTCCGCCGTTAAAACTAACGCGTGAATATAAAGATTGATAGAAGTATTCTGCAATATTGGAAATAGATTTAGTATATTTCTAACTTTTACTACATATTTAAGCTTAAGGAATAATACCTGGATGAAATTCCCAGTCCAATCTCCAGCAGCAGAAAATTCATTATCTAGCATATGGCTGAATAAAATACGCATCTCGTGTTCACTAAACGACTGCATGATCTTCTTTCTGAGTGGAATGCTCTTGATCATTTCTTGAAACAGTTGCATTAATTCAGCTTGTCTAGTTTCTGTCTCCGCGTTCCTACTTCTATTTTGGTCATTAATTTCATCTCCTGAATTCGTTATGAGCATAAGAACAGATGGATCTAGTTCTGTTAGAACGTCAGTGGAAGTTTTGGTGCGTCGTGAATCAATAATTACAGTTCGTATAAGTGCTAAAGCTTTAGAGCACACCTACAACCGACAGAAGAACTATGATTAAATTATTAATTAACTCTTCCTTCTTGTATAAATTCCTGTTATTATATATCAAATTATAGTATTTATAAAAGATATAGTTATCAATATTAAAGAAAATGATAATGTAGATATAGTTATTTATATTATAGATATAGTTATGTTTACATACTTGTTCCACAGGTACCCATGTCATAGCTGATTTTATACAAGCAGGATATAAAGGAATTAAGGCAGGTAACTTCAACTTCACTAATGATAATAAAAATTCCATTATAAGAGCAACACATTCTGGATCTGTTTCCTCTTCCAATGTAGCCAGTGTATTATCAACATCTTTCTGGTAACTAGACAATACCAAAAATATGTCCTGTATTACTTGCATTATGCAAAAATCTTTAATGTAATTGACTTACTTTGAATATGTAAGCAGCACATTTCGAGAATGTTCATTTTGTCCAACATCATTGAAGAAATCGATAATATGTCTTAATAATAAAATATCCTTTTGTCTCATTGCTGTCCTGAGATTGACAAAAGTCAGTGATGCAAAGTCCAAGATATATTTCTCAGAAATGTTTGTATTAGTTGGTTCAAGTATAATTAAGAGTTTACAACATTGCACACTAGTACTGAGATGATCTTGAAGCTTCAGTAATGTTCGAATGAACTCTTTAGTTTTGATAGTTCTCATCAATGTGTATACTGCTGGAAGATTTTTATAACATAGATTTACCAGCACTCCTAAAGAAAGAGCAATAATTTCTTCTTCTTTTGATTGTTCAATCCATTGAGTCAAGATAGAAATTAAATATGGAAGATGAGCTTCTTGCCATGATATTTTAATTCCATATGTTAATTCTTGAAGTAATTTCAAAACTCTTATCCTCTTTTCAGTCGTCAAATTTGCCTATGTATAAAAGAAAACAAATATTTTTTAATCTTTTGTTTAATTATAAAACAAATTCTATTCTAAATAATATTTTTAATAAACATTTCTTTTCCAAGTTTGTTGTAATGATTATAAAACATCAATGTTTCTTACTTCTAGTAACCTTGCCAATATTGGGGCAAATTTGTATGTATGAATAAGTGCTTGTCTAGCAGGAACATTTCGGCAAACATTTTGTAAAACATCTATGGTGCTCCAGATCAAAGTAGATCGAGATCCCAAAGAGTTCATAAGCTCATACAAGCTCACATAAAATTCTGCAGCTATACTGGTGCCAGGATCAAATATACTGAGATCCAATGATGCACTTATTACCTGAGAAGCAAATTTATTGCACAAAATGCTACATTTCATTCACGATCATTTTATAAGATGTAACTGTATATACAATGTCATATAAATATTGTTTCATATTTACCCCGAGATTCCTTTGTATATCGGACGTAGCGTTTTCATTGGGATGCTTGTTATAATCTACAGCCACCGAAATGAATGCTTTCATTTGCTGGTATTTTTCCATTCCTTCTTACATTCAAGTATTTTGTGAGGAGAAAATTTGACAGTTTTTCCACACGTCTAACAAATGTGCAGCCGGAAAACTTTGAAAAATTAACTACGAATAGATACGATAAACCACGCGTTGGTATTTAACACAAAATAAGGATAATTCTATCTCGAAATTAATATCAGAAATCGCAGTTCAAAGAATGGTGCATATCGTTACTAGCAACATACACGTTTTCACGTCGTAAACACAAGTCTGTCAAACGGAAAGTTGTAACTCTGAACAGCCACCATTTTTAAAGACGATTCAAACCGACCAATTGCGTATTGATTATCATGCGAACCAATCAGAGGAACAACATTCAACCTTATTTCTATGTGATTATAGTTCTGTGATTATAGTTTATATTTCGTCCTCCTATGTCAATTCCTATTGGTCAAATCAGTGGTATAATAGATAGTGTTTTAGGTACGTTGCGTTATAGGTACGCCGCATAATAAATCATCATGTTCAAATTGCTTCCTATTTATCCGTAGTGGTTGGTACGTATACACTTGTGAGTCGTGAAGAAAAAACGGTGTCGGGACGAGAGTCTCCTACAAGTAGTATCCGCCGAGATTCGCGTTCCGAACATCGTCGTTCGAGTTCCGTCTAATTCGCGACGTCAATCGAGTAGTCGCACTGCATCGCTGCGACCTTCGGAAACGAAGCAGAACGAACAGCGAAAAGTGACGCAGCACCGTATGCACCGCGCGTGTCGGTAATCTCTTTCCCTTTCTCTCTTTCCCCCTCTTCCTCTCTTTTCTTTCTGTCTCTCCCTCTCTAACGCGGTGTGTTAAAGTTCCGACTGCTACTCCTCGTTCTCGTCGTCTTCGTCGTTATCATTATCATCATCGTCGTCGTCGTCGTCTTCGTCGTCGTCGTCGTCGTCGTCGTCGTCGTCGTCGTCGTCGTCGTCGTCGTCGTCATCGTCGTCGTCGTTGTCGCCGTCGTTGTCGCCGTCGTCGGTATCTGGTGGTATCATCGATATAGGTTACAAGAGAGAAGAGACGAATGCTCAGGCTGCTGCATCAGATGGAAGTGTAACGAAAACGCGACAAATACATCTTTTGAACGTACGCTTCCGTTACATGCAAACGAAGAATCAAACGGCATCGAGCGAGAGCGAAAAGACGAAGTGCAAATATTAATCTTCTGGATCGTGGTGAACCATACTTAAGAGGAGCGGCTCGGAATTATTGCTGTTATTGCCGTGTGTCGTTCTCGTATAACGTCGACCAACAGAGCTGTCCTAAATGTACACATTCTACGTCGATTGCGCGATCTATGCTCTGTCAGCAGCGGGCCAATCTACCGGAGACAGTGAGTGATCGTGCTTGACGCGCGGTAGTGAACCGACGTGAATCATCGTCGCGCGACGGTGTTACGCGCCTGTCGTCGTCGTCGTCTTCACGCGTCGTCGTTCCACGAGTCAACAGCCAGCGTACAGCGTTCCTATTTAACGACGAACTTCCTGACGCAAGCAGGTTAAGCATATTCTAACACCCATGATTTCCAACTTGACAGGTGTTCGTCACCCGTCGTTCGAATGAGAACGTGTGCGAGCAAGCGAAATAAGAAACAAATTGTTAAATTATCCCGAGAAAAATGAGATCGCTCACGTGTAAGAAGAAAATATAACAGGATGTTTACACATCCGGACGGGGAACGAAAGCGCGTGCATTATCATTTGGACGCGTTTTCCTGGAGAAAACAACATGCTCTAGTTTTTAAAGGGAGTTTGATATTTCGGATTTCCTTGCTGACGTTTCACGGGCGGTGACAAGTGCTCAGGGCTGTAACAATTGTGGTGCATCGTTCACTCCCTTTATTCATCTCTTCTCTCTCTCTCTATCTATCTCTCTCTCTCTATCTCTATCTCTCTATCTCTATCTCTTACTCGCTCGCGCGCTTGCTGCTTTCTCCCTCGCACTCCCTCCGTTTCCTCACGATCTTTTTCCGCTATCTCATATCTCCGTCTCTCTCTCTCTTATTTGCACACATACACGATGCGCGCTTGCGCGAGTATACATACGTGCGCATATACGTACGTGCGCCATGATGTGTACGCACGACATACACGATCAGGCTCTCTCTCTCTCTCTCCCCCCTCTCTCTCTGTCTCTGTCTCCCTTTTTCTCTCTCTCTCTCTCTCTCTCTTTCTCTTTCTCTCCTTGTTCCTTCTTCGCGTTGCATTGATGCACCGTTTTTGAACGGTTTCTCATGATTTTTCGATAATAGCTGTTTCAGCCAAGGTTACTACGAGGTGTTACCGATGACGTAGGTAATCATTCCACGAATTTTTCTATCGTCGCACAGTAGCTCGTAACTAAACGGAGCAGCCACATAGAGCGCGCGCGAGCGAGCGGAGCTTGTCGGTCCTTTTCACGAGCGTCGCACGAATCTCGTGATTTGTCGTAAAAGCCGTCAAGTTGTGAGTGCATTGCTCTGCTCGCAAGCGTTGTTCCCGTATTCACTCTTTCCTTCTGGCCCATTTACGGAACGGCCGTTTCAGTACTGTCAGCGATATCGCACTGAGAGAAAAGAGTAATGCGAGAAAGACGCATTTGGTTGCGCTAACGGAGACTAATTGGATAATATAATTAACAGTGCTGAACCTTAATGGGTTAAAAAGAATCTACTCTGTTTCCCAAATAGTTAGCTACTTTATCGAAGCAGTAAATTCGTAAGTAATCGCCGATTCTGTCGCGACTCCAGTCCCGATTACCAGAATTTCATTAATCACTGTGCAATTCTTTTACAAACGCGAATTTTTTATTTAGTTCATTTGCAGATCTCTGTCCGGCCGTATTCGGTCGCTTTTATAATTCTTGTATTTCAACAACTTTTATTTTAATGCTACTTTTGTCCTGCAATCTGTATTTTTCTGGATATCCTTATCTTATCACACGCACTCATATTTTGTGAAAGTATCTTCTCCCGAGAAGTAATTCTGCTCCTTGTATATTTTTTATAACATCTACTTTTAATTATGCCTATTTGTGACATCCATTTTATCTGTTTTATATTATGTATCTAATTGAAATTTGACACGAAGCACTTTGTGATTTAATGACATTAGAATTGCCTAATTACAGTGTACACGAAATGTCTTATCTGCCATATGAAGTTCCAGTATAAATAGACATTTATCTGTTAAATTGAGTTCTAGAAAACAGACAACTGCAATTGAAAATTATAAAATCTCATTGTAATATGGTTATTATCCATATAAGATTCATTTTAATGCAGAGATAATGCAGAGAAAATATATTTGTTTCTTACTTTGCAACAAGAATATTGATTAATGAACAAGTTTTATTTGTTTTATGTTTAGATATTGAAATGTTTCATTACAAAATATTTGTTTTTATATAATAAGTGTATTATAGTTACATATAAAAAGATATAAGATATTTCTATTAAAATATGTTGTATTTATCCATAATTAGTGAGTATTGTAAGATAAATTAATTTTAAGATAATAAATAAATTTTCTTTATAGGTGATCATGGCGAATCGAGGTACAGCTCAAAGGCCAAATGGATCGACGCAAGGGAAAATCTGTCAGTTTAAATTAGTTTTACTCGGTGAATCAGCAGTTGGAAAATCGAGCCTTGTTTTAAGGTTTGTCAAAGGACAATTTCACGAATACCAGGAGAGTACAATTGGTGGTAAGGATATTCACAATCATTTTTTACTTTTTTGTATTTAGTAAAAGCACAAACAAATTTACCTTTTTGAGTTTTTCAATAAAGCCATAGCTGTTGAAATATATATCTCTCTTAATTTAAAAGCTGAAAGTTCATATCTCATATAGTAGATTACATTGTCTATATGGCAAAAAGATTTATACATGTCCTTTTTGCATATTTATTTTTGTATTGTGCATTTAATTATTTTTATTTATTATCTTCCTCTTTACCAATTATTTTCACTATATTTCAAATATTATTTCCAGCTGCATTTTTAACACAAACTGTATGCTTGGACGATACAACTGTAAAATTTGAAATTTGGGACACTGCGGGGCAAGAACGTTATCACAGTCTCGCGCCAATGTATTATCGTGGTGCACAAGCAGCCATTGTTGTGTATGATATAACAAACCAAGTAAGTAATTTGTTAACACGTTATGTAAGTATCTACAAATATAATTAATTTTGAAGAAACTATTATTCTTTTAATTAGATTTTTACAATCAGTTTAACGTAAAAAGGTCATGAATGTTCAAAAATATAATAGGTCACAACATAGAAATAAATCAATAAATACATAGCTAAATACTTGGATTTACTTTTACTATATACTTATATTTTATAGGATACATTCTCGCGTGCCCAGACATGGGTGAAGGAATTGCAGCGCCAAGCCAGTCCAAGCATAGTAATAGCATTAGCTGGTAATAAGGCGGATTTAGCGAATAAAAGAGTGGTGGAATATGATGAAGCTCAAACGTACGCAGATGAAAATGGCCTCCTCTTCATGGAAACATCTGCTAAGACGGCGATGAACGTCAATGATATATTCCTTGCAATTGGTAAGCTATTTGTATTTTCCTAACACTTCGTGAAACTAACGTTTACTTTCTTAAATCACAGTATACTGGTTATTTTTAAGAGATCTCAATTGAATCGTTTGTCCTTTTTATTTGTAAAATGTACATTTTGTGCTTGATAATGTACGTATCAGAAACGTTACCCTGTTTTCTGTTACGTGCTATCGTTAAATGCTTGGTAATGGTAATTCTATATCCACTGATAGTATGTTACATTGAACAGCAAGAGAATAATTTTTGGCAAAACAGTATCGAGATATATTTATGTAGTTATTCATCGCAGGAAAATTATTTTCCCTTTTTTACAGCTAAAAAACTTCCGAAGAACGAACAATCGGGAAATGCAAGTACGAGTGGTCAAGGCCGTCGATTAGTCGAGTCGGATGGGCAAAAGGCAGCAACCAGCAATTGTTGCAAGTGATTATCTAAATCCGTATGTGTCTCACAATATATTCGTATATCTATTTTTACATTATTTGAATATACTATCTTTCAAATTTATTAAATTAAAATGAAAGAGAGAGAAATAGACATTATTCCATTCTGAGGAGCCCAGAAAACATTTGATATGCCTAATGAATGTGTTATGAATCAAACACATTCAGTGTAACATGTAATAACATGTTCACGTATTTTTATAATATTAAATATATACAAAGAAACGAAAGAGCGACTCAATAAAAAAAAAGGGAACGGGGAAAATATCAATTTGATATTCTGTAGTATAGACATTTGCACTTTAAAATGCTTTTAGTGGATTTTTATATTAGTGTCGTAAAATGGGATATATAATTTGAGTAGTTATACACAGTTCAGTAGATTATATTTCTTGTTATGTTTAATACTTTTTATAGCATATATTCAACTCGGCTCTTTTGCCTTCTTTATATTTATTGGAATACGAAGAAAATAGACCGAAACAGCAGGCTGGAAGTAAAATAAGATGAAAAGCGCAGATTGAAAGTAAGATCTAATAATTAATAGTGTATCATGACGTGCAATGACATAATCAATTCTATATGAATAAAAAAAAAGTAAGATACAAGAACATATATTGATACGCAATACTGTCGAGGAATGACGTGCGCTAGTATATAGTAATTCACATGTATATGACCATTAAATTTATAATCCACAAGATACAAATATACCTATAATGTTTTGCTGTACAATATTTAGCTAGCATTGGCAATCTCTTGTAATTAAAAAGAGGTTTACGTAAAATGTATATGTGAAGAGAAAAACATTCTTTTTTAAATTTGTGATATTTCCATCTCAATGATGTATCTATACTCTTATTTGTTCGTAAATTTTTCTTTTGCATTATTAAATCTGTTTAAATTTGTTCAATATATTAACTTTTAATATAGTAGTCCTTCATATATGTAATTAAATGATTTTTTACAGTAACTAAATCTATAATAGTATGATATTTCTTTGATATTTGCTGTATTTAATAATGTTATACAGTATCCCTGTTAAATCATCCCTTTGCTCCTTGAGTAGCAATCCTTTCGTATTCTTCTGATATATATTTGTATTAGATTTAAATATAATATTGACGTTACTGCGACATCTTTGTTAAAATCAGAGTTATTGTTTGTGCATAAAAACTGTAGTCTATGTGACACAATTTGTGTGTCTAAAAGCATATTATTTTTTACTAGTATTTTCTCTTCTATTTTATTATATATTTATTAACGATTAATAGATGCATTATTCAAAGATCTGAGATGAAAAGAAAATTATCTAAGCACTAAATATGCCTTAATTGTAGGCATATCGTAGTATTCATACATATATAATACTACACACACATGTTTGTAGATATTACAAACTTGTAAAAATCCTTTTTCGATGGACTATTGTTTCCGACTGACAAAGGTGCTATATGAGAATACATGTGCATGATGCATTATGCAAGCTTGTGAAAATGTTTTTTGTAACTTATAGTAATATTCCTATCCTGTGCAATGATTCTTATATTCGGATTATATTTGAAAAGTATATTAAAGCAACATAACAATAGAGGAAAAGAAGTAAAGTTGTTTAAAATTACAAGAAAATTCTCAGGGTATAATCTTTCTCCTCGATATATATATATATATCTTATATATATTTAATCTTATTTCTACATAATAATATATACATACATATATATTCTATTAAAAATGATATAGATTCTATATTATTGTACAGAAAAGTTTTTAATATTTGCCAAGCAAAAAAAATGTTTTACGGTAATTACTTCTTATGCATTGTAGGTATTCAATAACTGTAATACAGTATATGATGGAATTGTATATTTAGATTTATTTTCCTTTATCGTCGTTATACGTGTATATACGTAACTGGAAAGACTTATTTCTTATGCATATATTTGTAAACGGTATATTTGCATTATGTGTTTGAACTATCAACAATACTTTAGTTAAATACACACTTATTCGTTCACAAAAATCGTTTTATTTTTGTTGAGAAATTAGTTATTTTTCAGAGATTTCCCGATTAAATTAGGTAAGTTTGAAGAAAATTGTAAATAGTATAAATGCATTATTTGTGTGTATTGTTCGCAAGAATTTATGTTGTAACGTATCGATGAAATTTTACACTGTCAATATGGGAAACTTGTCGATGTGTTATTTATAATCACATTACGTAAATTACTTGCTTTCATGCATATTTAGAGTAATACTGCAGTAGACGCACTATCTATTTCTGATTACAGATATGTACTATAATCTACAAAAATAGGTACACCATAAGTGTGCTACAATGAATTTGGGAGGAAGATATACACTCCTGAAGGGAAAAACATTATACAGAATGGGAAGTGAACTGTGCCCACGGGACATTCGCAAACATTTGCTTGAGTGATTGACTAAAAGCCTGCGTCTCAATGTAATCGACGATATATCATCTATTTTGAGTATCAGATCTTTAAGAGGTGGTAAAAGAAATAAAAAACTCCCATTTGTAATTCTAGTAGTATAATGTGGGCGGTGTTCGTTATAAATATATAAATATATATATATAAATATAAATACACATTATATATTATAAATCATATAGGTAAATATGATTTATGTAATAAGTAATGTGCTTTAATGATAATAAATAATAATAATAATAATTAATAATAATAACGTTAATATTATACCATAAATACTGATAATAACAGTACGTCTAAAATATGCAACATCTAATGAATTTTTGGCACGCAAAAATCTTGTAAGATAGGAGAGGCTATTCTTGCTGCTATTACTATGTATTTTCTTTCTTAGTTTGTAATACATAATATTTCTTGCTCTAAAATATACTGTATATTAATTTTATTGACAACTCGTAATGAATTATAAATGATTACACAGCAAAAAAAATAAAGTTGTGAATATTGAGATGACTTTTCATGATTGCCTATTTATTCGACCAGGATTATATTTGTAGAAAGATGGTTTACTTGTACAAATTTGATAATTTATTGTTTTACGTACATTAATATGTATATGTTTGTATGTCCGTTTATGTAAAGTACTAATAAGTTTCAAAAAGATATTAAAAGGTTTTGTTGATACGTCGTCTACTTATATATTCACTTGGTATATATATATATATATATATATATATATATATATAATCAAATTTTAATTAATATACTTCTGTATTCACAGTAAATATGTTACGTAGAATCATCTGTTTAACCACGTTATGAAATGTCTAAATACAATATAGAAATGAACGACGTATTTAACAAGTTTGATAAAACGAATGCGATAATAGATATAAAACGCAGCTTTCTATCTGAGCGCACAATACCAGATGATAAAGCGATTTTACTCAGGAAATTACTTTCTGAGCCTAAATTCGAAAGCAATGTGAGTTACGATGATATATGCGGACCTTGGAAATTTGACAATGTATCGTTGCAATATCAACGCGGTTACATATCCTCGACTTTATATGTTTCCAAATTGATAATGCCCGAAGATGTAACTTATATGAAAAAACAGCAAGATAAGAAATTGATTTCGCTATTTCTCGGTAAACGTGCACTTTACTCGAATTGTTAAAATCGCCAATAACTCTTAAAGTGTGATGGAAAAATTACATCCTTTATAAGCAGTTAACATACGAATAAAATGTCTGTTGTAATTTATTGTACTTGTATTGTACCTACCAATCTATTGTGCATATTTACAGAAAGAAAAATTTTGCGCAATGTATTGTATAAAGATGGAAATCAAGATATACTCGTGAAACTTTTATGGCAAACTTTTACATTTTTCAAGTACAAATATATGAAATATTTCATGTTCTTACATATACATATATCATATATTACTACGTAATATATGATAAATAATAGTGTAAAATTATATTTTTATTCAGATATGTAATGTACGTGATAATTTAGGATCTATAGATACCAATATAAAATTTTTTAAATCCATATTTCAGAGAAAAACTATTCACCGATCATCAAATTTCAACAGTCCTAGAATTAGTGCTCTCAACTCATCGTTTTTATCTCGCAAACTATTGGAATACAGCTGAGCAAATATACAAATATTTTGTTGAGCAAATTCTTTCATGTACCGTTATGGTAATTATATATTATTTTTGAATGCGCACAAGTATATTAGAAATGAATACAGACATACAATATTTATTCACAATAATTTTAGGATCCACCAAAATGTACAGAAATATTCACACCAAATGAAACTGGAACAATACTTGAATTTTTTCGCGAAATATATCTGGAAAATCTTGTACTGTTACATCTCGTTTACATGATTCATTACCGTATTGTTATGCAATTTGATGACCAGCCACGATAAATATATTCGTACGGTATAAATCAGATCTTGGCAAAAAACTATTTTTATTTAAAAAGAGCATACATTCAATGATACGAAATATAAAATAATCTCACGCAAAAGAAATAAGCCAAGACACTAACAAAATAAGTCAAGGCAAACTAACAAAAATCGAGTTATAAATCTTTACGATCGACAATATTCAATATCAAACTTCACTCGTATTATTTTTTCAGTCATAATCAAAGTCGAATTAAATTTCTTCTGGTTCTTCATTTACTTGTAGAAGACTGATAACCGTAATCCCGGCTTTCCTCTAACGAAGTGTCAGATTCTGTTTCGTTATTAAAATTTTGATTCCACCGTTGATTATTTTTCCGCATTTCGTGTGTTAGATCCTCCATTTTGGGAAACCATGAATCACCAGATGTTGATGTAGATCGATTTGTTCTAATCGTTTCTCTGAAAAATTTCTGAAGAACGAGATATATTATTTTAACGTTAAGTAAAATTTAACTATTATATGTAATATATTATATCAACATTTCCTACAAGTATTCCAACCTTGCATAAATCTGTGTAACTTGAACATGGAGTTAGATCCATGTCTGCATTTTGTACATCCGATGGTGAGATGTAACCATTGATAGATACTTTCTTAAAACTCCTACTATTCAGTTGTTTATGAGTTCTTCTCCGTTTTGTCAATAAATTAATTCTTTTTAATTTTTTGATCTTACGTAACAGAGTTCTAAAAATTAAGTTCCGTTTAAGTAAATGGTTGTATATAAAATGAAACATACGCAAAATTATATTTAAGATAAATAAATAAATTAATTACTTGTTGTCAAATACAAGTTGCATTATATATCGTTGCTTGTTTTTCAAATTTTTAGTTAAGTTTTCAATGTATTTCTTTTGCTGATCCATATAATCGCGAATGCATGAAACTATATGTTGAGATTCCTTACAAAGTTCCGACCTGCTCACAGCTACTTCAGTTAAGTCAGCTGACATGTACATTAAAGATCGGTCTTTTAAATAACATTCTTTTTCCAGCTGAAGCAGAGACTTACGCATACCTTGTAACTGTAATGAATATAATAATTTAATATTGAATTCCAATAATTGTGATAAATCATTTAAAGTCGAAAAGTTTACACCTACCGCGTATGTCAACGTGTGATAACAATTAATAAAATATCTAAGAATAGAATAGAGAATAATAATAATATGTACCTCAGTTATATATGTGGAATTATTTTCTTTAAGTGAAACGTTTTGTTGGCCAAGGTGGTAGTTTTCGTTTATGTATGCCTGTAACTGTTGATTCAAGCCACAATTTGTATTTTCAGCCCTAGCTAGTTTCTCTTTTTCTTTCACAAGCTAAAATTATCAATATATATTTGTAATTCTCTTAATATATCTAGTATATTTATTATTAGATGGTATACATACCTCTTGACATATAACATCTAATTGATTGGTGGAATCTTTGTATTTATCTTGCATTTGAAGAAACGTGATATTCTTCGACGTAAGTTCCTTTTTGATCTTTTCTAACTCTTCGTTTAGATTATTTGTTAAATCACGAAGATTAATTGTCTCATTTTCTATACTTGCAATTTTAGAGCAATAATTCTCCTCCTAAAAAAAGATGTATAATTTTAAAAACTAATGCATACACACAGTAATGCATACGCACGTGCATACACACTGTAATATCGTGTTTAAAAAAATATATATACGTGTGTGTGCGCGCACACACGCACACATATTTCTAAGACATGATATCTCTATTATATAAGAACATTAATACCATAATCCTTAATGATTTTTGCAAGTCAGCATCTCCTGTCGTTGCTAATAACAGTTTATCTTGAACTTTATTGAAATCTTCAGTTACTCGTTGATAATTATCTTCCGTCTGACGTACTTTCAAATACATTCTTTTGAGCTAAACGAGAGTTTTAGAGAAGTTAATTATAAAGTATATTTACTCTAATGAAAGTAATACTTTTAACAAATTATGTATCATATATACATTACCTCTATCTTTAACTATTTAAATTTTTTTTACTATTTACAACTATTTATATATTTACATTACCTTTTCCTTTAACTGGCTGATATCATCTTTAGTTTGATTCTCAATAATACTATTCTGATTTTTTAATATAGAATTCTCGTTCTGAAATATAGAAATGCGATTAATAAATATTGTTCTCTATTAGTGTGATTAAACATTACATACTACAATTAATGGTATACCTCAAGTAACTTATAATCAGCTTCCAATTTAACCATATAATCGGATTTTTCTTGAAGTAAAGTTTTCAAAGAATATATTCGATCGCATAAAATACCCAGCATTTCGTGTTCCGATGCATTCAAGTCGGATAGGTCTTCTTCTACTTGTTGATTCTTTATAAGAAATTTGTTTCGAAGCGCTTCAAGTTCGTGAGATTGATCTTTAATTATTTCTTCCTTATTAGTAATTTGATCACTTAAATTCTCAATCTACAAATTTTGAATAATATTAATAAATAACAAAATTAAAATATGCGATATTTAAATATATAATCACCTCTCTCTCTCCATTTTCTAATTGCAGTATAAGTTCTTTATATTTAGTTTCCTTCTGTTTAATATATTCCAGTTTTTTTATCAAATCTTCAGTTTTTGATATGTTATGTTGCAGATCGGTTTTGAGTTGTTGATTTTCGCATCTTAAATCGCATTCAATATCTTTTATTTTCTGCAATTCTACTTTTAATCGTTGAACTTGAGAGATATTCTCCATCTCCACTTCTTTATCTAATATGCCAATGTTTGAATTATATTAGTATTATAAAATTTCTATTCATTTTATAGATCTTACCTGAATATCTCTCCCCGTGTGATGTACAGTTGCATGAAAAATATTTTAGATTTCCAGTGTCATAGATCTTGTCTTTAGGATATATCGCACACAAACAAGTACAACTGAAAAATTTACCTCAATATATAATTATAAAATATGGAGAAAGTTAAAGCAAAGGAGATACATTACTTAAACTGTTTTAACTTCTGCTCCATGCACTGCTTGGACATCTTTGTGTTTTCGTATTCACATTTAGAAATATTCTTTGTCTGCATGAAATATTCCATCTATAACAAAATATACTTCAAAATTGAAACATTCTATCATTATGGATAAAATTAAATAATGCAAAATGAAATTTCTACATACTTTACATTTCAGTGTTTGAAAATCCTTTATATGATAATGTATTTGTTCCTGAAAAAAAAATTTCGATAATATAGTATAAAAAATTGGTCTCGCTTGTTTTTAACATAAAAACATATAGTTAGAAATATTATCATTATTGTAAAAAACATGATATTTGTTCATTTTTTTATTGAAAATATACAGCTTTTAACTATCATAATCATTATTTATGTGATATACTTAAAACTGTTCAAATTAAAGATTCTATACTATACCTGTATTATATTTAAAATCGAATAATACATTGTATGCAATATAGTAGTACTCAAATATTTATCATACTCTAAAGAACGAATTTTTTTATGCAAACTGTCAATAGCATCTCGTTGCAGATCCAGCAACAAATCCTGGTTAGTTGCCTTTGCAGAATACAAGAATCCAATTAACATTTAGCAATATGTCAAATGTGTTCATATTAACTATTTTATAATCTAAAAATTTTTTACGTGTGATTTTATGTAAAATAATTCCCACATAATTTTTACCTCTGTAAAACATTCGTTGTACTGCTCTTGTGTTTCATCAACGTACATCACTAGTTGACGAATCGTTTCGTCTTTCTCGTAGAGCTGCAAAAATACTCAAATTGCACTTATGATATACTTATCTTTTAAATCCATAAGCAGACAACACTCACGTACAATATGCTCTATATTATCGTGTTAATCGTATAATATAACGGCCACAACTTGATCATCCAGGGCACTTGTTAATCCAAACAGCACGTTGCATTTGTACATAGCACAATATTGTCACTTTGCAAGTAGGATAAACAAATATGACCAGTGTCACAAAAGCCTCAAACATTTCAACGTCAATTTAACACGAAAAAAAGATTAAATGAGCATACGTCATGCATAGTACTCGTTACATTCGTTATATTTGCAATGTAGCAATAATAAAATGATCAAAAGGCAAAACAATGTAATAATGATAATAATCCGTATTTTTTTTTGACGAATTATATTTTTAATAATCACTAATTAGTATTATTTACAGTTTTAAAGTTGTCGCGATCAATATATTCTAGAGCAAAAGCTAAATAGCACTTTTAGGCTATTCATAATTCACATTTAAACGTCATGCACGTTTCTACGACTGAAAGTTGATGATATCGTGGGCCTCAATTCACTCACATCACTCATTGTCTTGTGTCCCATTTGATCTAAATTTCTCTTGGCTTCAACAACAGCATTTTGTAGGTGCCCGATTGTTTGAATTTGAAGTTCATTCTACAAAATATGTGATGTAGAATATAAATCTTATTATCATTAAATAGGGGAATGATAAAAAACAACAAACCTGTTTCAGCAACTCGTTTTTTTCTCTCTCGTATTGTGCAATAGTAAGGCTTTGCTTATCAATCTGTAACGAGGTCTTATTTCATATTTCTAATAATGATATTAAAGAAAAGGATACATACCTTGGATTTTTATTCTTGATAAGTATATAGAATTTGTTATACTTGCATTCATAACTCACGTATTATTTGAAAAATTGCAACGTAAGATGTTAATTTGCATTGCTCATATTTAAAAACGCGCGTTATATGATGTATGTATTTAATATTTAAAAATTTAATTAAAAATTAGAGAAAGCTATACATACATATGATAGAGTAATAAAAAAATCATTTCTATAACTACTTAAATTAATATAATTTACTATCGTGAGATTTTTTATGTATGCTATTTAAAATTATTTAACTTACTTTTTCTTGTAGTTTTTGATGCAAATCTTTTATTTCGGCTTGGCTCATTTTTAAAGAATCTTGTTGTATTTGTATGACCTTTTCTAGGTTTTCTAACTGCATCAAGTATTATGACCGTTAAGTCACGCTTCCAAATTGATATAATTATGTAAATAACAATAGAAAAAACTCACAAGTTTTTCTTTAGAATACACAGCACTTTCCAGCTTGCTTAACTCGTCAGAACAGAGAGTGTCCAATCTTTTCCTGCACTTTTCCAATGTCTCTATCAATGTTACATCAGATCTTGTCGAAACAGAGGATTGAGACAATTCATTGCGTATCTGTAAATACATGTTCATGTAAGATTCATAATAATAGAAAAGACAGTAAAAGAACAATGATATGTACAAACCAAGTGTTTAAGTTCACTTTCTAAGCCCTGAACTACCAATTTTGCAGACTGTACTGCATCTTGCAACGTTTTCAACCAATGAGATATATTCTGCAGCAAATGAGAAAGGGAGGAGAATACAAATAAATATTAAGATCTTATTTATAAAAATGTATAGATAAATGTTTATAATTGTAATTAAGAATTAAAAATTAAATAATATTGATTGAATTTATGTATTTAACAGTCACCTCATATTTAGATGGATAGTCGCAACGTAAAATTATCGTTTCTGTACCATGATCCATGCACTTTTCAATAAAAATAATATTGGAGATTTTATTATTACATTAAAGCAAAAACGTATAAACAGAGAGAAAATATATATTTACACGATTGCTATAAATTAATATTACTTACGAAAGAATTTGGAATTTCTGTGGAATTCTTAACTTTTGATTCATTATTTAGACTATTTAAGCTTTCTTGCAAATCACTCTCTATTTTTTTCTGTGTTTTGATCTAAAAACCGGATTATGATATTACTGTAAATACGTAGCCGATCTTTAAAATATATGAAAAATATATGAAATGAAAAGATAATACTTACGATATCCTCCAGTTCTATTATTTTCTTCTTTAATTCCATATTATCTTTGTTTTGGCACTGCCTATAATTTTCCGCTTTTGCTTGTATACTTATCAGTTCTTTCTCTTTAGACTCGATGCTATTTTTCAACAAATTATTTACTTCTTGTTTGCATTTTATCTATTATAGAGAAGAATTATGTAGTTCAAGAAATAAAATATGTAGCAAATCAAATAATATGATAATTACCTCATGTTGCAATACTTTAATTTGATCTTCCAAATCAGTTACACAATTTTCCCACTTACGTAGTCTCTCATCATACTTTATCTGACATGCTTGCTACAAATGTATATATATATACACATATACACACGTACATATATACACGCGCGCGCACGTGATATATAACTGACGCGATAATAACGCGCATACCTGATATATAACTTATTAATAAATAATTTATATTAAATATATATTATATACAATTATATCTAATGTTATAAAAACAAATCAAAGAATCTATATATACTGCTCAAAAGAATTATGGCATAGATAATTTATTGCCGAAAATTTGCCAATTTTGACTGGTGATTACTTCGCGAAAAATTATTGTAGACTAATGATTTTTTTTTTCAAAATGAAGCTTGGAGTCTCTTCTACTTTAAGAATATATTTCCACTTTTTGTATGCGATGGAGAATGGAGTCGCTACAATTTTTTTTCACAAAGTTACAGCCCTTTAAAAATATCGTTGTTTTTGGCCTTCGGGCCAAGTGTGCACGCATGTGTGTCCGTGACAGAAGAGATAAGGACCCTGTGGTTCGTCACTTTCATAGTAATTATTGACTCCGAATCCTCCATTCTGTCCATGTGGATGCGCGCGCGCGCGCTTGTGTGTGTGTGTGTGCGTGTAGGTGCGTCTTCAATATCTCGTGTTTCCTCCACAACGATATTTTTAAAGGGCTGTAACTTAGTGGGTAAAAAATTGTAGCGACTCCATTTTCTTTTTCAAATTGAAGGGGAAGATTTGAACTTTATGACGATGCAAACGGCGTCCCCGAAAAAAAATTATCCACGTCCGTGCATTCCGTCAAACTTTGCAATTTTCAGTATACTAAACATGCCCTCAGATGTCAGGGGTTACAGGTGTAAGGGTGCATCACATGCAAAAAGTGGAGATACATTCTTAAAGTAGAGACTCCAAGCTTTATTTTGGGGGAAAAAAAAAAAAAAAAAAAAAACTTAGTCTACAAAAATTTTTCGCGAAGTAATCACCAGTCAAAGTTGGCAAATTTTCGGCAATAAATTATCTATGCCATAATTCTTTTGAGCAGTATATTTATATACCTGTGCCATATGAAGTTTCAAGTCATCACATTCCTTTTTTAATTTATGTAAATCTTCTTTCGTTTTTATTATATCATTTATCTCCTGCGAAATGATCTACATATAATTTTATATCAATAGTGTCCTTCATATCACGTATTAAAAGATAAAAAAATAAGTTCTTGTAATAATCGTGCTACTTAATACCTGATTATTAAAGCAAGAGGACTGTTCCTATAATATAATAATATTCACCATGTTACTAATTATACATCAGTCTATATATTTATTAACCTTTTGCACTCCAAGAGTCTCTCGCACGCAAAAGGTTAAATTTATAAACATAATCAATATGAGTAATAACCTTTTCTTCTTGTCTCACGGAAAGGAATATTTCTAATACATCGTGCATTTTTGTATGCGTGCAGTCGATTTCCTCTTCTAATCTAGCTAACCTGTTCTCTCTCTCGCAGAATGTAATATTCGCAGCTTCGTTGTTTAACACCTGCATGGAAAATTATGTGATTGAAAAATATAGATGATATTTCCTAACTTAACTTGATACAAACATGATGTTCCTTCTAATATACTTACCACGTCACCTGTCTTCAACTGTAAATCTTTTAAAGAACAATCCATGGTACATAGCTGATTTTTTAATTCTTTTAGTATCGACGTTATATAACCACCCTAATAGATAATATTTGCATCATATATGTCTTAGAAAGATATATTGCAGAATAATATAGATCATTTTCTGGATTTGTGTTACCTGAGTTTGAAAGAACTGCAAATTAGTTAATATTTGTTCCACTTCTTCCGTTATGACAGTTAATAAGTTATTACTGATAGACGCTTTCATATGTTCGAATTCGTTACATTCCTGAAATTTATTTTAAAAAAAGTTATGCAATGCAAATTGATTAATATAATTATTTATGAAATGTACTGACAAACCTGTTTTTCTCGCACATTATTAATACAACGGAATAACTCTGATTGACCGAGATTAATTTGATCTTTTATATCTTTCAGTTTAATTTTGCCATTCGCAATTCTTTCACTGCGTCTCAATCTCTCTTCTTCCTGATAATGATAAAGATACATTTTCAAATTATGAATAACAAAGACTTGAATCAATTTTTACTTTAATTTAAGATAATGCTGTTTTATTTTAGTATCACACACAAAAACATATGTTTTAATGTATATTCTATCTTCGTTAATATCTTCATTACTTGTAATTCTAATCTACTGATAGCTTCTATTAGTCCTTCTCGTGTTTTTGCTAAGTAACTTTGTACACTAATGACCATCTTGCTCAAGTCTTCATACTGAAAATATGAATAGTATAAGTCTAATTATATATATTAAGAGGCACGGCAATGCCTCGTGCAAATACAATACATAAATTTTTCTTTTCTCTTCATAAATTGATATTAATTGTTCATATAAACATTTAAATCAATTTATCAATGTAAACATACATTTTGATGTCGCGAATTAAATGTCGAAACAATAGTGCTTATCTCTTCACGAATATCTTCTGTTGCTGCTTGAACTTCTACAGTGCATATTCTGAATTCTTCCATCAGCTTAAATTGTCGTGCGTCATTCACATTTAACTGTGAATAAAAAAATTAATTTTGTAGTATAACATTCAAAATGGTATATAATCGTATATATACACAAAATATTTAAAAAACATTATTTTACTTTAATATCATTAGAATCGCCGCATCCACAATGACATTGATTTTCTTCTTTCTTTATCTAAAGATAAAAAAAGTAACTCATTATTCAAGATGCAATATAACTAAACTATAATTAAAACGAGACGAGAATAATACGTTCATGAAATATTTAATAAATAGCTTTCTTTGATTTTGTACACATACCATGCAATCATAAAGTGTAATTTCTTTTTCTCTTTCCGAGTACATTTTGGTAATAATTTCAATACAGCTGCTTAGTTTATCTGACATATTGCTTATGCAAAGTTTATTTTCATTTGTACAACTGTCAGATATAATGCAATCATTCGCCTGAAAAATATATTCTTTTGAGAACAATTTTATAAATAATATAATAAGTTCGTATAGAATAACCAATTAATATCTTAATTTTTTGTAAAGATATACTTTCTTTTCATTGTATTGTAATTTTAGAGGTACTATATTATCATACCTCAGCAGTTTTATCAATCAATTTTTCTACAAATTTCTTCAGTTCCAGTTTTAAATCAGACAAAATCTCACACTCTTTCTGTATATGTACTTTTGTACTATTCAGGAACGATATAAATTCATCCTGAAAATATAAAAAAAAAATGATTAAAAAATATAATACTGTACTAATATATATATATACACTTTGTATAGTATATATTCAAGATACAAATAAAATTTTTTAACCAACCTTTTTAGAATAATATGTAGGATCTGTTGAAGGCACAGAATATATCTGCAAACAGAATATATCATAATTCAATATCATATTACATAATGCATTAATATTTATACATATTTATATTGAATTAATAACTTACTTCTGGACAATTACTTGTATCAATACGAACTTTTCGAGATGTATCCTAAAAAAATTATGTAAAAAAGTATATATTTACGAAATTCTAACATGTAAATTAAATGATTGTATTCACCATAACATAAAATAATATTTTATTTCAAATTTATATTAATTTTAAAATTTTAAAGTGAGACAATCATGTTGATACGCGCACAATATTTTGATTTTTACCAATATCATGAAACAAGTTTATGATTATCTCAAGTGCATTAATAATATTATATAAGTCATTAATTACACATATGATTGTAGATTCATGGATTTATTTACCAATGATATGAATGCCTAATATAAAAATTTAGATTATTTTGAGATTGTATATATATGATTAGCGTTATTATCTTTTAAAAGTCTAATGCAGTCGATTCTAGTTTACAACAAACTATTATCTTTACATGGTGGAGACAACTTCCTAATGGCTCGCAAAATTTTCTTGTCACTATTCTTTGGATATTTAAATCGACAGGCTCGAATAGCTGCTTCGTTCTGAGAATTACTAAATGGCCTGTCCTGTGACGTTGTATTGATTGTCGATAAACTTTTTGGCGATTTCTTGTAATTTAATTTACACTTAAGAGCGTCTCGCTGCGTATTTATATGAAGAAAAGTTTAACATACATGATAACAAAGAAAGATTGAGAATGTTATCTTTGTAATATTAATGGAATAAAATCGTATTTCTAAGAACGAAATACCGGGTAATAGTTTTTATAAATAAAAAATTAGTGACGTAAGACGATGTAAAAATTTATCATATACCTCTAGAGTTGTTTTCTTTAATTCTTTACATATTTCTTTAATCACATCATTCCTCAGACTATTTCCTATATTTGCATGACAGTTTTCATTCTTAAGTGTAACAATTTTTGCCATTACATTCCGTGTTCCTGCAACCTCCTGAAACCAATAATAATATTAAAATATAGCATATAAATTATAAAATAGAAATTTTAATGTCTTGAACCAACCTCTTCCAAACGAGTTACTTCCGTCTGCAACTGTTGTACCTTTTTACATTCCTCTTCAAGCTGTCTTTGCAGATTATTTGCTTCAATATTACTTTTGTGAGTGTGCACCATAAATTTTGATTCGACTTCTTGGAGTTGTCGATACAAATTTTTATTCTCTGTATCTTTAGCAATTAACACACTTTCCAGAATATCAGGTGTTAACATAATCTGAACAGTAACATGAATTATACAAGAATCTTTTGGTTTTCAATATTAAGAAATGTGACCTCTATATTTTTCTAATAAAATATGATTAAACAGTTTGCATTAAGTCAATAATAAAAGCAATATGTATAATAACAATAAAGCCGCTTTAATTCTTATTTATATCACAACATGATTTGCCTCCAACTTACTCTATAGAAATCAATATTTAGATATTGAAACTCATCAAAATAAGTTCCTATTCACACAATAATTAAAGAAAGTGAACTTACATCACAATCCTGATCAGAAATAATGGTCAATGGATAATTAATAACTTGACTTGTCTGTTTAGAGTGCTCTCTAAGTTTTTCACAAAAACTCTGAAGTCTAGAAACATATCTTTTTAAAGTCTCATCCTTCACTGATGATTTTGTTTTAAGATCTTCTATCTTTCCCTCCAATTCCACTTTAGTTCTGTGAAATATTCATTCATGTAAAAATGCATATATTTATGTAATAATATACATTAAATATATGAAGGAATAATCTATTACGAATCCATTATAAATGTATAATAGCAGATTATCAATTTAGAGATATATATATATATATATATATATATATATGTATATAATATTGATATCAAAACAGATTTATCATAGATACTTATTATGTTTTATACCTAATCATTTTTTTCTCATTTTCCTGAAGTCGTTCTATTTCCAAATTCAAGGATTTTACTTGTTCATGCTCTATCTGTTCCTAATTTGAAGATATATTAAGTTATATTAAAGATATATAAAATATAATATTGGGAGATAATACACTAAAATATTCCACTTACTCAGCAATATATTAAAAAGTTACTAATGCTATATAGATATAGTAACTGTTTAAAAGTGCAGTAAACTCCAATATTATCATTAATTATTTATTCAATATAGATATATATGCACATGTGTGTATTTGATAATTAATTTAATAAAGGATGCAGGGAATAGGGAAAGCTTGCATGTTAAACATACAGTAGAAGTATTGTATCACACATCTCTGCTTATCTTGTTATTTTCTATGCTCTACATCTAAAATAAGTCTGAGCTTCTTGGTTGTATTTATACACATATTTACCTGGTTACAGATACAGCTGTAATAATAATAACACAAATGATACTATTAAATATCTTGTAAAATACATAAAATGACTTTTTATTATATAATGTTAAGCTTACTCCAGTGATTGAAGTGGAATATCCTTAGGTTGAATTTCAAAAAATGTTATACCCTCAAGACTCCAAATATTTTGGCAACATGCACGACGGATTAACTCCAACAATCCTCTAATGTCACTTTGTAGACATTCTATTTTTCTAACTAGAAACTTTTCATCTTTTTGCAACTTGTCAACACGATTTGAAAGAATATTTAGAGCCTATAATAAAAAAATCAGATAAATGACTGCGCATATGGAAATATGCTTATATCTTATCTATCACAAAAGTGCTAGAACAATTTAACAAAATTTCATTTCTCTTTTTCTTACCTCTTCAGAATGATTTGATCCTATCAGATTGTCTTCAACTATTTGCGAAGACTTTTTTAATTTTTCTTCCAATAACTTAACTCTACTACAAGCTGCTTGTTCTAAATCTTGCACTGTTTGTACTAACATAGTATTTTGGTCTCCTAAATCTTTAATCCAATCACTCATTATCTGTAGTTTCGCCTATAAAACATAGTTTTCAGTCAATACTTTAAATAAATCCAGTTAATATTTTCAATCTATAAACCTGTAAACCTGAAAAATTATACTACTTCATTGTATAATATAAGTATATAGAATAAGGAATCATGCAATATATTTTTTTACAATGAAAATAAATAGTGCTTACAGAAACTCGGTCAAACTCGCCGCGAGACTCCCCATCGATTTTCTTGATACGACTCTCGTATAATTTACGAAATTCATCGAGAATACGTAAACCTTCAGTTTCGCCACATAGTTCACCAGTACTGTTGATCGCTTTGTAGTTTTGATCTTGTTTGACTAATGTCGAAACGTCCATGTCAGTAGAATCTGACAAACTGGCACTAATGGAGTCCATTGCTCCATATAAAATCTTGTAATTATAGATGTGTGCTAACAAACTGATAGTCTCCCTACACCCGTTTCGACGAAAAGGCACTTAAAGTAAACGCATCATCTCGCCATTTTTGTGATTAGTACGTCATAGTAATACTGGATCCACCGCAGAATTGAGGTTAGAGATGATCAATGTTAAGACTGATAGGTCGATGTTCGATTTTTTTATTAAAAATAAATTTTATTAAAAATAAATTGTCTTTTCAATATCTTATAATTTTATTCTTATGCTGTTAGTTTTTTTAATTTGATGTTATTAAATTTCATTATTATCCAACGTTACCGTTGGTAAATAAAAAAATTGGCTGATTGGTCAAATCCTATTTAAAAATAAACAACTTCTATCTTATTGTCTTTTATCTTGTCATTACGATTATTACAGTTATTACGATTTTAATTTGTCAGTAGAAATATTGACGGCTTGTAACAAAAATTTTATAATCAAAAGAAACAACAACCGAAACTCAAATCTTATTTAAACAAAATTCATATATAATGAGAGTAGACCGCGTATTAGGTTCGAGACCTGAGAATCAGGTAAAAATTGGTTGCGTTCAGAAAACAAAGCGCTCACTGAGCGCTTAGTAACTATTGGTCCTTACTGTTCCTTATCCTTAAGGTTCGTCTACATTAGCTGTAAGAGTAAGGCTGTAAAGTTGTAAAACACGAAATGAAATATTTTCATTCGCTGACAGCTTACGTTACAGCCTTACAGCCTTACTCTTACAATTAATGTAGACGAGCCTTAACATTCAACCAATAACGTTGACGAATTACTCAACTGTTGTGTTTTCTGAACGCAGCCATTTGTTTCCGTCTATAAACAAAAAATTTAAATGAAAGAGAGATAGAGAGAAAGAAACAGAAACCAAAGAGCATATAGTAGATAAGGTTTTAGAGATAATAAGTTTTTTCATGATAACACTATATAACTTGAGACAATTCATCCAGTTACGTTCGAAAGGATCTAACTAATTGGCTCTTACTAATTACAAAAATTGTGCTATGATTAATATGATCCACTAGACGCTGCAAATGCTTTGACCAGAGAGTAACCTGAGAGCGGCCAATACGACATTTTCTGCGACACCGACTTTCCGCACTGGGAAAGGACGCCATCTGCATCCATTTTGAGAGGGGAACTACGATAGTACATCCACTTTCAGGTCTCGGTGGTAAAATCTGCATGTGGTGGAAGTCCATGCTACATCCACTTTCAGGCGGTTTATGTCCGTGCTGCAATGACAGTTGCCATCTCTATGCCAGACTATGCCCGGTGGTCTACAAAGAGCAGGGGAGAGGGGGGGAGGAGCAGAAAAAATAAAAGTATTAAATGTTAAATCTTCGAATATATATTGCCGTATCAAAGTCTTTTCTATAATAAACAATTTGACATGTATGGAGACGCATGATGTATCGTTGTCCGCGTCCCGTTCACTTCGTCTTGTTTTTTAATTCAGCATCCCGTCCGCTCCGGACATTCGCTCGTGGCACTGACAGTGGCCGTCGGTGAGCATTCGATCCGCTCGGAGGAGCACGTGTTATTCACGTAATTAACGTGACGAGACTTCGATTATAAATATCCCGCGAGTCGACGAAATATTTGAACTTTTAAAAAAAGTATCAAAGAAAATCACATTAATGTTGTCATGGGTAAAATCTCACCCCGGTATATATTTTCTTATTTTCGAAATAAAAAAAGCCAAACGAATGCAATTAAATGTTATTTATCATCATTGAATATTAAATGAAAAGTAGAAGAGTTATTGTCCGCAGCGGATAATCTCCCTGTATAAAATGTCGAACTGAAACATATTAAAAAGTATTGACATTTTGAATACGTCTGAATTCTGCTTTCTGATCCGAAGAAAGGGAAAATAAAAAGTATTAGTTCCCATTAAATTTCACCGCGCTAAATACGAGATGGCAGTAGTGAATGCTTCGCATTAACAAGGATTCAATTCGTTTCAAATATGCCTTGTATTCAATCGCAATCGATAATTTTTAAATGCGAACTTTCGTATTGAAAAATATTCACTTCTTCTCCTAATCGTTTTCGGATTCAGAGGCATACAAGATTTTCACGTTCTATTCCCCGTCGCATTAAAAAGTATTCACCCGCGATCCAATCTGAGAGCAGAATTCACGACAAAATCTCGTGAATGCGAAACAATACTTTTAAATACGACATTTTATACAGGACTAATATTTAATAAGAGCGCGATTAAATTCGCATAGGATAAAATTCCATTCTTTAACGCTACCATGATCTTTAATTATTCTCTGGAAACGGCGTCACAACAACTTACACTCTGTACAATTAGTTGCTAACACATTTTCTAATCGTATACATTCCTCTTTAATTAACATAAAGCTAACAAATGTCCGATGCTTCGACAGAGTGATTTTCTTTATTTTCAGTAATCAATAAATAGAGTGCATCAATGTCGCGTACAGTTGAAAGGCCTCCTCGCATTCCCCTCGTCGTTCCGAAACCTTCGAGAAAACAAGAGACGCTCAAAGGCAAGTCTCTCTTGCTTCAACCGCCGCCGAGGCCCGCAATGTTTACATCGCGCCGATTGTGTTGATCGGCTCGCGAGCAACGACACTTTTTGCCTTTCGTATTATAATACTCGCGCACCTCATGTATTCGACCTCGTTCCATCAGCAGCAGCCGTGCGCGACGCTCTCGTCACTTCCGTCTCGTGTAATTAAAAGAAATATATCTCGTCGGTCCTCGAGATACTCAATCGGCATCGCGTCGGCATCTCATTCATTAACTGCACGGTCGAATCGCGAGTATCAGCATTAGAAGCATGAGCGAGTGAAATCCGGAGGACTTCAGCAGTCGAGAAGCAGAACGCCGGCAGCGATACGTCACGTTTCCAGGTATGTGGAATCATTTATTACGCGGGAGGTCTCCGATAACGAGAGCGTATGTTTGACGAATTTTCCGGGAATAAGAAGTCGGAATTTCGCGCTCGGCATTCACAATCCGTCATCATCCGACTAGTAATCATCATTTTATGAATTTGCAATTACTCTCGTCAATCTCTGTCTGTCTATCTATTTATTGCGTTGTTGTATACAAAAGATATTGATCCAGACAGAGACGGATAACGGTCTATGGACGTGGAATTCATCATGTTCTCAATCAAACATTCTGAATCATTCCCAATTCCTGTGTGAGAATATTGGTCTTGTGTAGAATATTCAACGTCATATCCCTTCTTAGACTGCGACCTTTTTTGTTTTCGGTCAGCGCTTCTTTCAAGTTTGTTTACTCTTGTTACGGGATCTGAATTTAAATGTCCATCCGTAAAAGAATATTTTCGAGAGCACACAACTGTTGTCTCCGCTTGTTATTGTCATTTTCTTTCGTCAGCTCTTTCAAGAGCTCCTATCTAGACATTCAATGTCAATAAAGAAAAAAAATCGTAGCGAATATTCTCCACTCATCCCGACCAACCATTTTTTCTCTACCGCAGCTTACCAACCAAGAACGCTAAATTTTTGTTCCAGACGTTGCGGAAAGCAAGTCCGGCGGACGCGGATGCCGCACCGGAGGATCCGATTCGGGCGAAGCAGAGTCGGCTTGAAGGTAAGTTTACAAGTTTACTATAGTCCTCTGTTTGACCCTTGGCGATCTAGAGCTGGGATATAATTTCCGGCTCGACTTGAATTACGATCGCAGAGGGTAAACTACTCTTTTACTCGCCCGCACTCGTTGGTCAAATCTGATGAGCAAATGTGAATTTTTTGTTACAGAGTTGAAGCGGAACGTGGCCGGCTCTGACTGCAAGTCGTTTCGGTGAGTCAAAATGAAAAGAGAAATAAAATTCTGAATGACGGATGTGGGACTAAAAAATATCGTTCGAGTCAATGCGAATTGCAAATAGATTCTTGCATGTGTGTATATGTGACGTTGAATAAAATACATTGCTCGAAACAATCAGGGGTTACTCGATAGCCTGCATTACATACGAGATTTAAAATAATGAATGATTTTCTTTTGATGTTCAGTCATCTGAATAAGAGATATTCATATGTACAAACGCGATACCATCATTAGTTGCTTTATTTTTATTTTTCAAGCGAGCCGCAGAATTATTTAACGATTTAATTATTTGACAATATTCAGTTTCCCGTGTAAAATATATTCATACGCATAAATGCCGATATCGTTGGCTCCTTTTCTTTTATTTGCAAAACAGGCTGTAGAATTATTTGGCAATATTGTCCATTCATCACGATCCCTATTATCTCGAGTAGCGTATAATGCGCGCAGAAATTGCGCTAGCGCACGCCGAGCTTGAGGTATCCTCGCTCGCGTGCCTTTGAATATCACGACTGCGGTTATCAAAATAGGCGTTTTTACTCGTGCTGCTAACAAAGAAGGCTTAAATTCTCATTTCGCCAAAGTATCGCGAACGTAAGCTTCGTCATGACGGAGCTATCATGCGTGAAAACTTTGCCCCGCTCCTCTCTCTTTGCGCTCCCTAGGGGCGACCGGTTTCTGATTGTCTAATCTTTCCTCGCGTGCATTCGCGTCGCGAATATTTCACTCGTAGATATCGATACTCCCACATTTTCGCGACTTTTTAGACGCAATCGCGAAAAGCGCCGTAAAAATCCGTTGAACGAGTCAATAAATTTTCACACGGTTCTTGCTCCTCGACGATCGAGTTTATAGAGTCCGTTTCGCAGCGTGCAAAAAGTTTCCACCGCTGGCGAGTAAAACGTTCATTAATTTACGCAAATATCGCCGTTATAATACCGCGTATCGACCGCGTCGCGGAAATGTGATGAAAGTGTAGCAATCAACGTGGGACGCGCTGCAAGATGGATGTTGCGCGACATGGAGAGCGGCAGCGGACATGGGCGGATCATTGGTGGATCTGATTGGATGCAACAGGACATCATCAATATCATCATCGGTGAGTGTCTGACTCAATGCTCGCAAAAGGCCCTTTTATTATTATGTTGTGCATGCCGCAAATTTGCATTGACTCTTGTAACGAAAAATATATTCCATGAATTATTGTCATATATTATTGCCATATATTGTTGCCGTATATTGTTGATGTATATTATTACCATATATTATTGCCTACAATGCCATGTATTCTCGCCATATATTATGGCTACTTGAAATCGCGCGAGCAATCGAGAAAACTGAATTTACCGGTAATCGCAAAGGCGCGGCAGACGTCACAGATGAATGCTGGCAGCCCGTCTCAGGGTTGCCCGATAACAATACTGATGCTGCAATTTAACCTTAAATAACAGCGGTCTCCGATCGCAAGAAACTTTCTATTGCGGACTAACCCTTCGAACGGAATGTCCCCGAGAAGCGCTCTAGAGATAAATGCTAGTTATAAGCGAATTTGATCGATAGCAAATTTAACCTACGATATCTCCTAAACGGCGTACGATACAGGCACTTTTTTACCACAATATAGTCCTATATCAACCACATTCTCACCATAAAGTTCGACTCCCAATTCACAGTAGAAACGGAGATATTAACAGTAAAGTTAAAAATTTTAACCTTCGATATCTCCTAAACGGCTCACGATACAGGCACGTTTTTTTGCAACAATAGTCCTGTATCAACCCTATTCTCACCCTAAATCTCGACTCTCAATTCCCAGTAGAAGCGGAGATATTGACGGTACAATTTGAAAAATTTTAACCTGCGATATCTCCTAAACGGCTCACGATACAGGCACGTTTTTTTGCAACAATATAGTCCTGTATCAACCCTATTCTCACCCTAAATCTCGACTTCCAATTCCCAGTAGAAGCGGAGATATTTGACGAAATAAGTTGAAAAACTTTAACCTTCGATATGTCCTAAACGGCTCAAGATACAGGCACGTTTTCTTGCAACAATATAGTCCTGTATCAACCCTATTCTTACCCTAAATCTCGACTTTCAATTCCCAGTAGAAGCGGAGATATTGACGGTACAATTTGAAAAATTTTAACCTGCGATATCTCCTAAACGACTCAAGATACAGGCACGTTTTTTTGCAACAATATAATCCTGTATCAACTTTATTCTCACCCTAAATCTCGACTCCCAATTCCCAGTAGAAGCGCAGATATTGACGGTACAAGTTGAAAAACTTTAACCTTCGATATCTCCTAAACGGCTCAAGATACAGGCACGTTTTTTTGCAACAATATAATCCTGTATCAACCCTATCCTCACCCTAAATCTCGACTCCCAATTCCCAGTAGAAACGCAGATATTGACGGTACAAGTTGAAAAACTTTAACCTTCGATATCTCCTAAACGATTAAAGATACTGGTACGGGCCTTTGTCGCCTAAACGGCTCAAGATACAGAAACACGCTTTGGCCACAATATAGTCCTATATCTATCCTATTCTGACCATAATGCTCTACTTTCAATTCCCAATAGAAACGGAGATATTAACAATGTGCGAGACCGTGCTTGTCAAGTACGCTATTGTGGTTGTAGCACAGACATAAACCGCCTGAAAGTGGATGTAGCATGGACTTCCAGTACATGTAGGTTTTACCACCGAAACCTAAAAGTAGACGTAGCATCATAGTTCCTCTCTCAAAATGGATGCAGATGGCGTCCTTTCCCAGTGCGGAAAGTCGGTGTCGCAGAAAATGTCGTATTGGCCGCTGTCATGTTCCTCTCTGCTTTGCAACGATTCAAGTATAATAATTGAGATATGACAATTATTAGTCATTATTATTAGTTCCTCAGTTTGATATTTTGAATATTAAAAATTTTCGAGCAGTTTGCGTAAAATTTATGTCGGAAGCTGTTGATGAAGAAATAAAATAACTATGATCGAGACTCGTTTCGAGGTATCGAGTGCACTGATGCTTCGAGAATCGCAACCGTTGCTCTTTAGTCATTTGGTGGAAGGGATCGCGGCGCGACAATCCAAGGAAGCAACTCCGTATTTCCTGAGATGTCAGTTCGTCCGATTGTAAGTTTTACATGTATATTATCGTCGGGAGTGTCAGAAGTAAGTTTCGTAACAAAATATCATTAAAGTGCTGCCGAAAATCGGGTATTCTATGGCTATGTTGTGTATAATATCACATGCTCGCAAGGTTAAATCCAGTTGAGATCCGAATCGTTGCATTGTGTGTTTTCGATCTGCCAAATAATAATTTGCATGAGAATTATGATTAGCAGCACTGAAAAGTAAGTCACACATTCTTATTTAGTAAAATATCATTGAAATGCCGGTAAAAATGCATGTCACGGGCGAGGCGTCCTTTGTATCGAGTGAAGTTAACGCTTTTCATACTTTGAGAATCGCAGCCGTCGCAATGTATGATTGCCGACTTCACTCGTCAGGATGCAATCGCTGAAAACGAATATTCATGGACATATACATTCGAATGAGACTGTTTGTTTTGAATGAATTTAATGTTGTTGCCGCTTTATTATGTTATATTGTGCATTTATACGGTCTACATATTGACATAACATTGAATATTATTTTTACATAGTCGGTAATGTCAATGCTGTTTAATTATCATTTATGAATAAAAAATCTCTTATCTAGAGTCGATGTTCTTTAACCCGTGCACTCAGATGTCTCCTCTGAGGGGACATCGTAAGTGTCCGCGAGATGGCTCCGAGTGCAAAGGGTTAACATTTTGATGGATAGTCATATGTGACTTTATTTCACTAGCACTTACCCTCTACCAAAATATTGACAGAATTTTGTCTAATATGCGTTTTCTCGAAAAAATCATTTATACTGGCTTTAATTAATTTATGTTTATTGGTAATACCTTTTTCAGATAATAGATTTATGAATATAATATTATGAATCGATAAAGAAATTTTAAATTATGAGACTGTATCTCTTATTCATATGCAGTAATACACTAACAAGTTCTCACATTCAAAAATTTTCCATAACGTTTTTTATACTTGTTAGATGTTTGTATATTATTTTAAAACATATATTTTTCGGATTATAATATATATATATGCGACATTTTAATTCTTTTTGATCGCAACGATTCGTTATAATAATGCATGTACAATTATTAGTTTGTGAAAAATAGCGCAAAAAATTTTTATATATGAAAAGGAAATGAATGTTCACAGTTAAATTATATTTTTTGAGCAAATCATAATGATACATGTCGATATTCTATTTTAAGAAATCTTTACACGAAGTAAACCCAAATGTTTTTCAACTTAGTCAAAACAATAAGATTTTTCATCAATTTTGGCATGGTAAAATATAAAAGGTTAATGTTGGGACTCGGTAGTGCATATTATCTGATAATTGATATTAGAAGTATGTAAACATGGAAAGAAAATGGAGGCGATGACACTGCAATCAATATAAATGACAAGAAATCACTCTTCATGTGTGAAAAGAAATTTTATTGATAACGTAGAGACGCGCTCGAGTACGTATATAAATTGTGTGTATAAAAGTATAAAAAATAAATAGCGACAGCGTCGTCATTTTGTGAATCTTAGGGACAACGAATCGATCGTGATGCGCACTCTCGACAACGGAGCTCTGTTAATTAGGCTTCTTATATTATCATTACGAATGTAAAGTATAATACAAACGAGTCAAACACACTGTGACTCGGTGACAGAGAATGTAAAACGTTAACAAAGCTGCAGTTGCCGTTAAATATTCTCCGCAAGATGACGTAGAAACTTAAAGTATCTCTCCTGCCTCCCCCTCTCATTCTCTCTATTTTTCGTTCCACAAGTTCACTCTTATCAAGATCAGAGTATCATTGGGCAAAATAGAATTATTATTGTTTACTCGTCTATATTTTCGCTCGGGTGTTTCTCGCTCACGGTGCCGAGGAATAGTACCGTACGTTTTAGCAGATTATTTCGACGATGAACCGTCGAATCGCAATATCGACCGATGCTTTTCGTCAACGTGTTGCGTGCTATCGAAATTCACTTGCGTCAGAGACGAATCTCTCCGCTCGCTCCGGCTATGAGAGATCGCGCGAAGGCTCCGGCTGTGATTACGCTCGCAGAATTGCGCTCCGCTAATTAGCGCGCAATTGGTCGCCGCAAGCTCTATATCGCGTCGGTGCCCGTCTCTATTATCGCGCGCGAGTGCGCTATTTGTCTCGCGGTGCGCATGCGCGCGCGCGCGCGCGCAAACACGCTCGCGCCATTATCTTAAATTACTTTTACGCGACCTCGTTCGCGGGGAGACCACTCCTCGCGACAGTCGATTTATAATCTACGCTAATCGTCCTTAATTGACAGAGAGTCGGTAGGCGAATAGGGCCAATCGCATGCGATGGTATCGCGTATAATTCTCGAAAGATTCTCACAGTTGGCTCGTAATACTATACACTTCGCCCGACGATCGTAGGATGACGTTGAGGACGATTTCTGTTTGAACGATTGAATGACGATCTCTCGAAGTTGTCGCGCGCGCGCAGAGAGATCGATTGAATAGAGACAAAATCTGACTCGCCATGTGTGTATGAATTATTATTTTTTTCAATTGCGATATAAACTCGGAAATCGATGCGCGGGTCTCTGCTGTCTCGTCTCGCGTGGCAGTGATCAGCCAAATTATTTATCCGACGTACTTGTTAAATATTCGCCGTACATCCTTGCGCACATCCTTGTCATTTCGATATTCCGTTTAACGAAATATATCATCAGCGTGCGAGACATCCGTTCTTGGGATATATTTCCAGAGTGAAATCTAAGAACATGTCCTCGCGGTGCGGCAGGCGAGACAGTTTGAACGTGATCCTAGGATTACGAGTTACAAAGCTTCCGCGTCGATTGTGCCAGTCGAATTGGTTCGCCATTTCGCGTGGTCCGATCGAGTTAATTATTGCTCTCTACAATCGGCACAATGGGCCCTTCTCCGAGTCCTTGCTAGATCCAAGTCGGCTCCAGAAACTCGCGGACTTGTCTGCGATTATAAAACCGCTCCACTTTCGCGTATCAACCTCTCATAAATTATCCCGCAGAATACACACACACATACATATACACGACACGCGTACATTTGAGTATTCGGTACGAATACTCGACGTGTCATTGTCGTTTCGATCGACATCCCCACACAGACGTTGACACAGATTTCTCTGACGTCGTCAGTCGTCTTCCGACTTTGCCACAAAGTCCAAACGGAACATCGGCAATAATCATTCCGTGAACACAATCGCACAGAAGATTATCATCTTTCCGGGGTGATAGATACAAAAGCAGTTCCCTATTTTCGCGTATCGAGAAGCTACCTTCCATTGACACGTTCTTCTCACGAGTTCTTCTCTCGTCATCACTTCTTCGTGGACGCAGAACCGACGTCTGCGATTACTCCGCCGCGAATCGGGCACTTAAGGACGTCTCCTTCTCGCTCTCCCTTCCTCTATCTCATTCTCCCTTCGTGAGAATACGAATAATGACTCACGCGTAATCCGAAATGATACAATGTTTCGAGGAATCGCCTGTAGCCTGAGTTATCTCGGGCGCCAAGTATGATATCCCGCGAGGTGATAGCTCGCAGTTGCCTCTTCGATAATGTCGTGCGAGCAACGGACGAGCATTTGCGCCGCCGTACATTTCTCGAGTAGCGCTGTACTTATTTTCCGGTTGTCAAACCGAGTTTGTTGAGCATCGCTTGCGGCTCGGCTTGCGTCCGCGGATCCGATGATTCTCGCTGAGCGGGTCGGAGCAGGAGCAGCTCTACGCTGGCGCCTGCACCACCGGCCGGTGCGTCGGCACCGAGATCACGTAGATGTCGAGCTTCTCGCCGGACGTCTTGTTCACGATGTCGGCGTAGTTGACGGAGTCGTACGGTGGCGGCGCGAACAGGTGATAAGGCGGCGGCGGGCTCTCCGCGACCCCGCGCGAGCTCACCTCGGCGGGCTGCGCGTACGGTATCGTGAGGGGTCGCGCGGCCCGTCGGCAGCACCACTCGGAGCAGCTGACGATGAGGAAGAACGCCACCAGGCCGCCGAACGAGCCGATGTACCAGACTATCGACCACGGGTCTAACGGGTTCTGCGGGTCGCTCTTGACTATAACAAAGTAGGAACCTGTGAGGGAGCCGTTTGTTAATAATAATAGTCATAGCAGCGACAGCAATAATCGCGTCGGATTTCGTCGGAGAGTTGGGCTCGTGCGAGATAATCGCACGAACGACGCGATTTCCGCGCTTTCGCGCCGCGATCTTGTCGTCGTCGTGTCTCGCTCGTGTTATCGCTCGCCATCTTACATTAATGAGCAATGAATCTGTTTATGAAAAAGTTGGGTGTATCTCTATGAGGAGACAAATGGAGAGGGAGGGGGCGTGGAGATATGAGAGAAAATCGAAAGATGTGTGGCGGGAGGGGCGATACTTAATTAAATATCGCGCCTTCCGAGGATCGTTCCACGCTGATTAAGGATTGCTAAAGAATCCCCGGGAGGGCATGGGAAATTAAATCCGTCGGTGATTTTCCGACGGAATCACGCGACTTGTTGTTGCAGACGATATATCCAAACTCGAGGCAAAAACTACCTGCCGGACACCGCTCTCGGATCGTGAGACGCGCAAACAGACGCGGTTCTACTTGCGCGAGCCGCGTGCTCCTTTGTTTGCGCGTCTCGCGATGTCGTGTCCGCGGTAGAAATACGACGCGACGCGACGAACCGTGAATCCAAAGTCATCTCGGTGCCGAGTTGCGTTATCCGCCGCGAGAACTCATCGGCGGGACATTAAAAGAGCGCGGCGTTGGGCTTGTTTCGAAAAATGATTTATAAGATTGGCAGGCCTAACTCAGATGCGTTTGCTAATTAATCAGCTGTTCAATCATCAGGATAACACGTAATCACAAATCTCCGTATCCGTATCTCGATCTAATAATAGCTGAAACAAAGTCTATAAACACAGAAACAGTACACGGCCGTGTGACGTCCAAGTGTGATCAGCTGATCAATTACGCAACGTATCTAAATCAGTTTAAGGCCTTACCAACCTTACGACAGAAAGCAGAATTTCCGAGACCGATCTCGAAGCAGGCCTGTTATATCTCTTTGTTTCCCGACGCCCGTGGCGTCTGGAGTTCGCGGGCACGCGCGTGTGTATTATGCTCGCAAGTCGATTGCAAGTCGATTCGAAAATTCGTCGCTGACGAGCCGCGAGATGAATTTTGACGATCGGCACGCTCGCGGCGTGACGACGATTCCGCACGCTCGGCACGATCGAAGCGCGTTCAGCGGGATCGTTCTCGATACGGCAGCGGCATAAATATCGCGCGGAAAGTCTTCGAAACCACGCCTCCGGTCTTTTTGTTTCCTTTTTTTTCTTTCGACCGACCGCGGGCGCGGGGGACGTAACACGTGAGACTCATGCACTCACGGCGCGACACGACGCTCCGCCGATCGCGGCCGTTAATGCGTGACGCGTACGACGCGACGCGACGACGCGACGAGCCCGTGGCTCGATGTAAATGAAGATGAAGAACGGCTGCGCATCTGCATAAATCCTTGACGCGTGTGACACTGTCTCTCCGGGAGTTTGTTCTCCGCGCGGCCGGGATTTTAACGGGAAACGCGCGCCGGGCAGATCGCGAGCTTCGTTTTATGGATCTCGTTTCTACGTCCCGCCTCGCTCGACCTTGTTCAATTAGACGATAAATTCCATCATTCCCAAGGTAATGAAACTTTAATACGATCTCTTTCGTCGTGTGTACTCGCGTCCTCTTAGATTTATTCCCAGCATCGTCACGGCGGGGACCATGGACACGTCTGAATGTATCTAATCGTCCGATTTTCGATCGTCACGACAATTGATAACTCATCGCTTCGATATGTCGCGTACAACAGAGAAATCCAATGAGACTTCCCGTCGTGATTGTTAAGTTGTGCCGGTCTTCCGGTTTCAAGGCTAATTTCACATTCGCCACATACTTACTTAACGCCCACAAGCGCAGTTGTTTACCGCGTGAGCATCGTTCGCGGAGAACCGAGTCGAGCTGGCAAAAAGCAGTCGCAGCAAAAATTGAGTATGGTTCTGTCGAAACACGTAATTGTTGTATAATGGCGCGGGTAACGATCACCCGCGATCGATGTGTATTTTCAGACCCGACGATTAGATTCACGTTCTGCGCAAGCGGAAAGCCGCTCGACTCGCTGCTCTCGCGCTCGCCTTAACGCGAACGGATACGGTATACACGCGCTTCACGGTCGATTGACTCGAACTTGACAATGCCGCGCGCGGGAAGAAATCCCGGGGAGGTCAAGAGTGCAACGTGATATCGCGGGAGCAAAGAGGCGGCGAATATATACACGCAATCGCTAATGCATCCCGGCAGAAGGCCGAGTGGCGCGGCTCGGTGAAAAGTAATTATGCGCTTTTCATGATTTTCCGGCGACGTATTGAGCCGCGGGCCGAGCGGTAAGAAATTGACGCGGGGTCACGGCCCCGCGAGAGGGGGGAGAAAAACGGGAAAAACGGCGACGTTTTGTGCGAATTGGGATAACGGGAGCGATCCCGGCACGTCATGCGCGATGATTCATAATTGAGCGCGGAGGATCGACGTGACACGTCGGTGTTCTCTCTCAAGTGGGGACTTTTGTAAGCGTGCACAAGTGAGATACACGCGTCCTTACCATCTGGGTTTCTTCCTTTCTCCAATCCGTTCTTGCGGTTCTCCTCGTTGTACTCGATCACGTAGACCGCCTCCTCGTCGTCGTCATCGTCGTCATCGTCGTCGTCGTCGTCGGCGGCGGCGACGGCGGCGAATTTCGAGATGATCGAGTGGCGATTGTCGTTCACGCCGTGCGTCACTTTATTGTCCTCCATTCGTCGATCAACTCCGATGTTGTAGCTAGTTACCGTGTGAGCTGCAATAAAACAATCTTGTTAGTCGCGCTTAATTATGCCGCGCGAATGCACGTGTTGTCTCGCCCTCCCTCGCGTGTGGCTTAAAATTGCATTCCCCGCTCGTACCTAAAATTGCTCCGAAGTGTTTCACGATTAACTGTACCGGTTTACTTCAACAGCGTATCTCGGAGTCTAATCGAGGTCGAAAATCTTGGTGCGAAAACGACGGAAGGATGGTTTATTTCGCTCGAAAGCGCGACAAATGTAGACGCGAGATGCGCGAGAAACTCACGCGCGATACACGTGTTTGTAAATGTCAGAGCGAGAGTTTTGCGGAAAAAATATCACGTTCGTGAATTTTCGAACGGTGAAAACGGGGCGACGACGCGACGGGAGAGTCGAGAGTCTCGTTATTCTTAGATTGACTTGTTGTCCGGATATTCGCGCCGATTATCTGAAAACATTGCGAAAATAACGGGACTGTAGAGCGAAGAAATAATTGCTGCTTGTAGGACGAGCCGCGCTGCGCACGTCGACGTCGGCATTGTCACGGTGTATATATTTTATCGTTCTTAAGAAGCATCGCGTATCCACTTTACGTCGCTCCGCGCTGATAAACTCTTCGCGCGAACTTTTGAACTTTAAAACGGAAGTCTGTTTAAAGTCGCCGCGTGCAGGCGGCTTCTCGTGAAAACGACTCCCTCTGTCGCGTGGGCGTTGTTTGTGGAGTTCTACCTGGCACTTGGGAAAACGGCTGAGGTACATCATGTTTACGGGAGACACCGGCTTGATCGAAATATTCACGAGATTCCGGTCGGCGACGGAATCGAGATAAATCGCTGGCGGGACGCGACGGTAACGACGAATAATGTCGTCTAGCGACGACGCCGAGTCGATGCTCATTGTCGCGAGGCGCTAAGCTCACATTGCTAGGTAAAAAAAGGAAGGGTTAATCGGAAGAGTTCAATCACTCTCAAATACACGACCCTCTGAGCTGATTCTCTCGAAGTCGATCCTGCCGGAAATGCCGACGCGTTGGTACTTTTTGGATCGGTCGTTTTTGGCTCGAGAAGACGAGAGACTTTCGGCGAATGAAGTTTCAGAGCTGAGCTGCATAATAAAACGTGATTTTGCGTTCAATTTTGCGCTGGCTTCGCGGCCACAAGTGCGCAATAATCTAGGACAAAGACGTGACGAAAAGTCGATTACCGTATTTTCGCTTGTTTTCCGTCCGTGAAGAACGCGTCGCGCGCGACGCGACGTTTGGTTATGCATCTACACGCGCGCGTGTTATCGGAAGGTACACACGCGTAGCTCACGTCGAGCTTTAGCGCGGGACATTTTAACGATCGCGCAGATCCGAGATACCGATAATTCATTGATTCATGAAACTACAGCTCTCTCATGGCGCGATATAAAAGACGCGGCTTTTCGTACGCATTCTCGTACGACGAATAAATCCGACGAATCTAATAAAGAAAAAATAAGTAACGGCAGAAAATTTGCTTTTCAGAGCTTCTGCGCCAAAGGCACGTTGACGCGATGCAGTGGAGGCGGCGGAGGCGGCGGCCGGTGAGTCGATTTTTAGTACAATAATTGCGTTTTTAGAAACGTATCTTTTGTCGCGTAGCGTGTGAATTCTCTGACTGATCAAACTATTACAAAATTATCAAACCATCTAAATGATGATTATAAATTGTTAACATATTGTTATATACTATTATTGATTTATATTAGAAGTTATGGCAAAAGTCTATAACTGTAAATTTGTTTGCGATACATAAAGATGTCAGCGATATTTTTAGACAAACTGTTTTATTCTTGGTTACCACACGAGTGAAAAATGTAATTGGACGAGTCGCAGGTCAATCGGCTTTTTAATCGGCTTTTTAATCGGCTTTTTAATTCGACCAACTCAAGGCGTTTGAACCCCTGCGTTAAGACGTTAAGATTATTCGAAAATGCTCGAATCTGCAATTCGGTAAAGCGCAAATCGACCATTACATCGCACAGATTCCAAATGCACCTCGTCCCGTCCGTGATTAATTGATAATCGAAAGGTGACGCTGAAGGTGAATGCGTTAATCGTCGGGGAAATTACGTCGGGGGTGATTCAATTGATTAAACGACGAACAAACGCACGGCTCTAATTAACTGCGCGTTCTGCAATGTCGCGGCCGTCCTACGCGTTTTTTAATGCTGCATCGACTTCGAACGGCACTATCGTCCTGATAACGCGTTGTTTGCCCCGTCAATAATTAACCGGGGCTTTTACATAACTGAATAGCCGAATAATTAGCATCGACGCTTTGATATTGCCGTCCGCGGCGTCTATCGACATTATTCCATTCGAGCGCGACGTATTATTAATACGCGCTGCGTCGGCGCTACTCGACAAGAACGAGGAACAGAAGCGGGGAAAGCGAGCGAAGGTACGTTTGATGCGAAGAAAGGCCGCGTTTACATCAGACGTCGTCGGGGCTCTTGTTTCTTCCCCAATCGTATTGAATTGCAAAGCCGTAATATATCCCAACACACACACACACACACACACAAAGTCTCACCGTTACAGAGAATGCAACGCGAGCTACGCTCGAGATACACTCTGAACCTTTCGGAAACATGGCGGCGAGCGCGGCAAACTTGACGATAAGCGGCTGATAGAATCTCACGCGCGAGGCGCCCGGTATTTGTTCACCGATGGTAATTAGATGATCCGACGATGCAGCCGGCGGGGTGACGTAATGCATCGCGATAAACGAGCCGGTCGCGCCATCGCGCGAAATCGCAGTCTTTCGGAACATCTCGGCATACTTCCGACGTTACACTCCTCCGCGACGACCTTCGGCGTATCGGAATCACTCGACGCGTTCGCGACCTTCGAGTACGCTCGTTCAAGTTCGCGCTTACTCCAGCCTCTCTCGTGCTCGTTCGCCGACACTCGATCGGCACGTTCTTGGTGGTCGCTTCGAGCCGCTCGTGGAGTCCGCTCTTGCCTCATTAACCGAGGCCGAGCCTTTTCCCTTTGCTCGTGAAAACGCTGAGAATCTGCGCGGGGATGCGCAGATCGAGTCGACCGATACCGGACGATCGTTGATGTTGTTCCTAAAGACCGAAGAAGAGGCGCGATCGACGAGCCGAATGACGCACCTGTTATCGCGCATTTCGCCGAAATCGCATGCGGAATACTGCTTCCTGTCCTGTCCACGTCGTCATCGTCATCGTCGTCGCGTACTTTCCCACTTGGCGAATATTAAATGTCTCGTTTTACCTCACGTCCCGCGTTGATAGGGATAAAGCAAGATTTACGGGGACGGATCTCCGGAGTTGCTTTGGCTCGCGCCGAGTTTCTCATGCTAAAAAATCACCTGCCGCTTCGCGGTCCCACTCGACGACCCGGCTGAAGCAACCCGGCTAGCTGACCCGCGCGATGCACGTAGGAAGTGTGCCTAATAGTCGCCGCGAGCACGCGAAATCATTCGAAAGCGGCAAGTTCTCGTTTGAAAAAGACTTGCACTTTGCGCCCAAGTCCGTCGCTCTGGCGTCGCTCCAAGTTCGCCGTGTGTGTTGTTATCGAAAGTATTGTTAGCTGGCTCGGGGAGCGAGCATACGTGTCGGTCGCGTATACGTTATCTCTCTTTTGTTCATCTGCTCTGGCTCCGGCGATAAAAAAAGAAGTGGAGCTCTCTCCGCCAATATGAAAGTCAAGTGTGCGCAAGTCGCCGACGTCGTCCGAGCCGTGCATGCAGCCGGGCGGCTGTCGTAAAAATTGCTTGGGAGAGGAAAGAAGAGCGCGCGACGGTGATGCGGCTCGACGTGTGTGATAACAATTAACGACGGTGCGAATGAGTTTGCACCGCAGAGTCTCGGTTTTTCCTCGGAGCAGAGGCGAGCGGGAAACTTGCGGCCTCGGGATGTCTTTGTCGAATGTAGGAAGTTTCGTCGTAATTGTACGTTAAGTACTGCAGGATGTATCCGAGGTTGTATACACATACACACATACACACACATCTATGTAACGGTTCCTAGTCTTTCTCGTACATGTATATTTAGCAACGGCGATTACATGTTCGTACATCCGTTAAATGGCGGCTGCTTACTCAATCGGCTGGATTCGAAAGACACATTAGATAAGGGGCGCCTGAGCGCTGGGCCGTTTCAGAGCGTGAAAACTCGAGTCGTGGCTGCACTTTGGCCACGTTGTTCCGCATGACACCGCGGCCAGTTTAATCCTAATGGACGGTTTTCTCGGCAAGAGTCACAGATCGCTCGGTGTCGATACATCGACGATTACGGCGAGTCGAGAGATAATTGTTTAATGACGATACCAGCGTCGTCAGCGCCGGCAGCGGCGGTCCCGCAAAATTCGCGCGAGTCGCCCCGATTGAATCTTCGCGTGGAAATTATGTCGCGAGACGGGAATGGCACCGCGTCGCTCGGCTGAACGGGGTTTAGATTATTTAGAAGCTGGCTATCGAAAAAGCCACATCGACACCGCTCAGACGCCGTTGAATTATTACGACTTGCTCTCATTAATAAAGCAACGGCGCGACGCGCGACACAGCTTGGCGTCCCGGCCGGCTTATAAAATTCCGCGGAGGAAACTTTATCTTCTCCAAGTGAGAGACCATGCCGCTATCATTGAGTAAACTGCGCGTTCAATTAAAGCGCGTGTTCGATTAACGCAGCGCGCCGCGTATTTTCTCGAAGATACGTAACAGGCGCCGCTCGCTCGTCTTGCTTCGCCACGTCGCCTTGCGCCGCGTCCCATTTAGACGCGACGAATTATTCGCTGTGATAATATTTTGCGTTTCGACACGTTGCGTGTCAACATACATATTGCTCAAAATGAATGAGTAAGAAAGAAAAAGGAGAACAATGCGCGCGAGCTCCTCGCAATCGGCTACTGTTCGATGACTCCTTGTGGCGAGAATCACACATCGATTCATTGACGCGTTGTCCTTATCGATCTTTCTCCTTGATCGCGCGAAAATTCGGCTTCGGTTTCCATTACTGCAGAAATTGGAATTGGCTCAGCTTCCGGTTTCGACCAAAATTCAAAGCGAGTTTCGGTTACGCAGTCGAAATCGATCAAATTTCCATTTTTAATTTTATTCTAGTAATTAAATGATGTTTACGAAGAAAAAGTACATACGCACGCGTACATATATATGACCTTCTTAGGACCTCCACGAGAGTTTCGATTTCCGGTCGATTTCTGCTGTCGACCGAAGTCGACACACAATCGACTATTTGTTTCAAGTGTCGGGCGGAATAAAAAGAAAAATTTGTCTCGCGTTCGGACTTTAAGGGGACTGGAGAATCAGATTGCTGAAAAATCGTGCTTGTTTTTGATAATATTTTGTGACGAACTGAATAAATGTGCAAGAATGAGAATTTTAGGTATATTTATATAACATATGAAGAGTAGACAAATTTTGTTTATTAACAAATATTCATATAAATATATACGATATATATAGCTGAAATATAATCTCCTTTTTCTTTTCAAGTTGTCGTTTTTGCAGTAATATCTCGGCTCTCGATGGTCCGATCAAAGCGAATTTTAGCTAGAAATCTTGAGGAGGCTTATCATGATCCGGTGAACTACTACAAAAAAAATCGAACAAAATTAAGAAAATGGCGGCTATTATTAGGAAAAAATCCAAATTTTTCAGTTCTTTTACAATAAAAATAATTAATATTTGGAAATGAAATATTTTGACGTAATTGTCCATGGTTCACCTGAGAGCCAGATAAACAAACATTATTACTTTAAAATTTCAAGTCGATACGAAGCTCAGTTTCGGAGAAATCATTGCAATAAAATTTCGAGAAAAGCGCGTTTAAAATTTAAGTGAACGTATATTTATATGAGTATTTATTAATAAACAAAATGTTTCTACTCTTCATATGTTATACAAATATATCTAAAATTTTCATTCTTGCACATTTATTCAGTTCGTCACAAAATATTATCAAAAACAAGCACGATTTTTCAGCAATCTGAGGGACCTCCAGTCCTCTTAACGACAATCGAAAGCGCAACTTTCTACTCGCTCAGCAACCTACCGTCAACCGCCTAAAGACACGTCGGCCGGGTAAAAAAATTGGCCGCGCGACAAGGCGGAGGGGTCAAGTGTCCGGTGCAGCCGCTTGATAGCATGCTTATTGATTATCCGGGATATTTTTCATGTGGAACAACGCGCGCGCGGCGAGAGACACGGAGAGGAGGCGCAGAGCGCCGGACCGTTAGCTGCCGCTAATCGGCCGGACGATCGAAAGTTCACCCCGACCGATCGCTTTCGTAGGCTGCAAGTGGACCAAGTCGGTCTCACTTGGGTGGCGGCGGCTCGAACAGAATTTTCTCGTCTCGGCGCGCTCTCGCGCTACAAAGATAAATCTGTCACTCGTACACGGCGCTATGTAAAATTCACGTGTGCGGCGGCACACGCCGCGATCTCGCATTACGGGTTCTTTCAAAAAACACCCGCCCGCCCTCGCATGGCCACGCGCGATCGCCGCTTTCGCGAGTTCGCGCGAGATTCAACTCTGTCACAGAAAGCGAGAGAGAGAGAGAGAGAGAGAGAGAGAGAGAGAGAGAGAGAGAGAGAGAGAGAGAGAGAGAGGGAGAGGAAGGAGATGACTTTCACGATGGCGAATCTGCGAAACTCCTGAGCCTCCGCGGGAGGACTTTTCTGCAACTTCAAGGAACGCTCGATTAATACGTGTCTAAGTGTTCTCCCGGTAACGTTCGACGTTGTTATGTAAAGTTTACGCGCGTAAAGCTGCGATCAGGTCACGATTGAGTTTCCGCCGCTCGCCGGGCTGCTCGCGAGTCTTCTGTTTGCCGCGGAGATTTTACGTTGCCTCGATATTTCATACACCGCGCGAATTTATCTCTGAGACACTCTGTTCTGCAGTCTATGTGTATGACTGTGAGCTGATGATATCCTGCGGAGGAGGGGGGGGAGAAGGATATCAAGCCGCGCATATAAGGATTCCGCGAATTTCGAGAAACGCGAGCGTCGAGAGGTGTCGCGTGAATCACTGCGCGATGTCGGTTGCGTTGATGATGCACTTTTCAGAAAAATATCACGATATATCGATATATCGTATCATACAAGCCGCTTTCTTCCCGACATGGAAAACTGTCGTAACATTTGACGGTTACGTATGTTTTGCGGTAATTGAGCGTGAGAAGCCCGCGCGATCCGACGCGGACCGAATTAGATTGACGGGTTAATGAATACCGAAAGGCCACGGAATGAAGGTTTAATCGAATGGCCGAAACCGCGTAATCGTATCGATTACAGCGTGCCTTGAATAATGTAACGTTATCTATATCCGGAGTCGTGCGGGTCGATCGAAACGCGGTCCAACGAACGAGACTTCCTCGAGCGTGTCGATAAAACCGCCGCTTCGACGACGTCCGTCTTGCTCTTCCTTTTTCCCCTTTTGTCAGCTCTCGGTGTGTCTCGATGCACGCGGGTTACTTTAGGTTACAGCATCTCGAGTTTCTGCGTCGTTCCTTCGTGTCTCGGCCACGAAGCGCCGTGCGACTCGCGCGCAATATTCGAGGTGTCTCTGAACGGAAATGACGGCAGATTCAACCCTAAGCGGATTTAAGCAAGATTTCCCCTATTAGGTTCCGCTGAGCGCGAAATTTCTGTCGCGAGATTAGTCTCGCGTGAATTCGCCTTTACACGAATCGCTTAATTTCCCGTTAACCGCCTCGCACTCGGGCAAATCTTGGACACGAATCCGTCGAATTTCACGAGAACCCGCTCGCTGAATTCCCGAAACTTTCTAATCGCCTCAGCTGATTCACTTTCCGCGGAAGATCTTCAGTAACGTCGCATCGTCACACGCGGCTCTCAGCCGCGATCATCGTGAAATCGCGACCGATAAGCATAACCCGCATCGGTGTCGCGCAGCTGTCGAAACGAGTCGTCGCCGAGGTGACCAGCGGTGGTCTCGCACGAGCGATTCGCGATTCTTCATTGTATCTCGGTCATCCGAAGGAGGGAAAAACCAACGCGACACGTTGAATCGCGGCGTCCGCGCGGGAGTTGACGCAAAAACGCTCGCGTTGAACCTTCAGTAACGAAGAGACAGAAAGAGAGAATCCCGTGCGAAGGTTCCGGTATTGGTTCCTCGCGTTCGCCCGACGATGACTTCCGCTGACAACGACGCGCGCGATCGATGAACTTGGCGCGAAAACTCGTCGCTAAACGCGTCTCTCTCTCTCTCTCTCTCTCTCTCTCTCTCTCTCTCTCTCTCTATCTCTATCTCTCTCTCTCTCTCTCTCTCTCTCTCTCTCTCACCTGGTATGGGCGCGTTGAGGAAGGCCTGGTTGCCCGTCACGAGGAGCAGCGTGATGACGAAGAGGGACCACGCGAGCACGATCATCCTGGATCGAAGCGATCAGTAGGCAGCGTCGAGAGTATCCGTTCGATCAGCTTGCCGAAGCGTTCGGCCGACGAAGAGCACGCACCACGACGGAAATCTTGCCGCACACGATCCTCACGTTGCCACCGATGCGGTTCTGACGTGACGGGAGTTTAAGGGCCGCACGCTGTTGTCGCGTCGTACAGTTGTGACGAGCGGCTGCCGGCGAGAAAGAGAAACGCTGAAGGAAAAGGAAACGTCGTCTCTTTCCTCCCGCTCTTCCTCGCTGTCTCTCTTTCTCGTTCAGTCGTATCGAACACGTTTTTCTCGTCCACGGTTCTCTCTCTCTCTCTCTCTCTCTCTTTTTTTCTCACTCACTCTCGACGAGGCGCGCCGCTCTGGATGACTCGGCTCCGCCGCCGACTTCTCCGACCGGTTAGCCAGCAGTGAACTGCTCGTGTTCCTGCCTGGGGTATCGTAATATACATAAAGTCGCCAGATAAGCCACGGCTGACACCCCACCACGGACGCGCGCCTCGTCCGTGGGACAGCCCGTTCCTGCTCGCTCTCTGGTGCGCGCCACTGAAGAGGTTGAAATACTCGCCTCCCAACGTGGAGAGCAGCGCAACGTGGTCTCTTCCTCGCTGCTGGCCTCGTGGCCCCGCTCTCGTGCACTAAGCGTCAATAAACGCCTTCACTTCCGTAAATAGGCATTGCCGGTTTTGATCGCGTCTCGATCCAATTCTCGTCTCGCTTTATACCGTGGCATCTTCTCCGAGCTGAAGGCAAGGGACATGAACGGAACTGCCGTTGTCTTTCTTTCCTCTCTCTCTCTCTCTCTCTCTCTCTTTCTTTCGTAATCTTGGACTGTGTCTTGGATTATCTTGGACTGTCAATTTCCGGCTGCGCGTCCCCTTTTGCCATAGTAAAACTATACGAAGGCTTGTGTGTCACGGGTCGAATCGCGAGAGCAAATAACATTGGACGGAGACGGCAAATATTTGCTCTCCGAGCCGCGCTCATTGCCGATACCGTCCACATACGCGGTCAGTTTTTTCGAAACGGCGTTCGATTTTTCAAGGCGTCGATGCGTTCCCCGGAATCTTATCCTTTTCGGCTCTTTTAAAAGAACTCTTTTAAATTTCCTTTTTACCGTCGATTTTTTTATCTTCGATCGGAACCGAAAACAAATACCCGATTATGCGTTGATGTCGGCCAAAATCGAAAACCGTGACCGAAAACCGAAATCTTTGTGGAAATCCTAAAAAAGTCACACGTATGTCCGCACACATACGTCGTATGATTCTTCTTCGCAAATATCATAATTTAATTATTGAAATAATAATATTATCGCAATCCTAGCATTACAAATTATCCGCTCTTCTGCTACAAACTCGCACACTCGGCGAAGCCTCGAACAATATTATTATTTTACTCTAATACGTGATTTAAGCAAATCATGTTGCACATAAATTAAAAGGTATTCATAGAACAATATTTCTCCAATATGTCCAGGGGACAAGGAGATAAAATAAATATTTACGGTATTACTAACGCTGATGAAGAGATGAATAGAGAGCGATCGCTGCGCGGATACCTGCCAGGGTTACGAGATACATTTTGATCAGTTTCGGCTATGTCGCCGAAACTCGATTTCAATCTCGACCGAAATCGAGACTCAAGCCAAAACGAGGCTCTGATTTTTGGCCGAAACTGGCCGAAACCGAAATCGAGATCAAAGTTTCCGTCGGACTTTACCTTTCGGTTTCGACGTTCGCGCGCGTCTGCTCTTTCAACTGTGCGACCGACATCGTCGTATTTCTCCTGATATCGTTCGAGGAGAGAAACGAAGGAGATGACAAATTTGTCGCAGATAGTCGCAGGGCTACATTTTCAGCTCGCGATTGCACCTTTACCGCGTACCGTACGAAATGGCGCATACGAAATAACAGAGGCGAGAGACAACAAAATATTTACAACTCTATAAAGCTCCCGGAATCATGAATATTTGCTTTACTTTTCTTTCTGCCGTAACGTGTAGCGCAAAATGGCACGGATGCGAGAGTCTTGGTGGAACGATTATAATAATTTTAACAAAACTTTTGGTTCGCCTCCGTGTGGCGCAAACATGCGATTCAATGTCTCGTGTGTGCAAAAACAGAAAAACCCGCGTACGTGAGCGCTCGCACGCGCGTCGTAATGGAAAATCGAATCGTCATCATCGTTATAGTCGCGTTTCTTACAACCGACAGTCGCAATCTGCGCAAATATCGGTTCTTCGATTAAAACATATAAATCCGCGTAGTCAGAGTCGTCGTTTACAGCGAATACATATATTCGTATTTGGGAGGAACGAAACGCAGAGGAAGGAGGAGAGAAAGAGAGGGAGAGAAAAAGAGTGCGTATAGTCGCACAATATATACAATATAGTCGCACAATAGTTTTCTCTGTAGGATTCAACGGACGCGCATGTTGATGACTAATGCGATTCATTTGATGTTTCCGTCGATAAGGAAATCAGCCGATCGCGAGAACGCGGCGTACGTGCCGCGCGAAGCACAGAAAAATGAGAAAACTCATAGAAAAGCCGTTGCGTCAAACTTCCTCGGAAGCAATTGTCGTCTCGACAATGGCGATTTCAACGGTAAATTATCCTGGCGTTCGTGGGAGCACTGCGTAGTCCGTGCGGATGTAATGACGGGAAAACCGGCTCGGGACGAACATACGAAATCGATTAATTCACAAACGGGAGAATCGCTGCTCGCTCTTAAAAAACCCGTTTCGCCCGTGCGTTCCCACTTGACCGCCGCGACGTAGTCGTGACGTTGACTAAAAATATCGATGCGATCGATGTGTGAACCGCTCACGCGGCTCTTCCGTGTTATATTATTCATCGATACGATAAGACCCCGCAAACAACTCTATTTCTCTCTGCTTCTGTGTCACACGACGTCCTTAAGAAACGAAGCAATCTACGGTGTGTACCTTCGATACGATCTTATCGAGGTATACTTGAGTCTCGTTAAGGTCGTCGTCCTACTGCCGGTCACCCGGAGAGGCATGTGATGCGAAAACAAAATGTGTCAAATAGGAATCGAACGTAGAAATTTCATCCGTTTATGAGCGGGTCCTCATAAACGGTGGCAGTATGTCGCGTCATCGATGTTATCATTCCGTGTTATTAATTTAACGCAACATGATACTTTGGTAATACTAATATATATAAAATCGTCATATTTCTCATTTCTTCGACTTTAATTTTTTATTCTCGTCGCACCTCTCTGGAGTCTCAGCATCTATTTGTGTCGTATGAAGGTGGCATATGGAAGAATGCCGTACTTTGTGATATCTTTGTAACATCGAAACGTCAATTTGAGGTTCTCGTGTCTTTCGGACGGAATGGGTCTTGACGGTAAAGATGCGTGTCTGCGGCTTTATTGCATCATCGTTGCGGTACTAATGTGTGATGTCATCCGGTGGACGAATGGGATGCACGAGTTTTTTTTTTTTGTAGAAATATATCGACCGGATGAAAAACGCGACAAGCTAGCTGCGGTTTTGCAAGAATAGTGCTAATGAAAAGATTAGCGAGAATGAAGAGATCATGTTGTACAAGAATTGGTTGTATTAAATGCTCCTCAACTAATAATAATGTAAACATATCGCGGATAACGCGGATAAGCGCGCGGGAAACACGCAGGATTACACGTATACAGTCGAATATATTATCCTGACATACTATGTCTGATATATTTATTCGAATTTTCCTCTTACGAATCATTTCCTCTAATCGTCTACATCGGGAGAAAAAAATAGTTAACGTTACTAAAACGGTGATCACTTTTGGTCTCAATCGTATCTTCTTGTTCTAACAAAAATACGGTAGTCAGATCGTACAAACGCGAATACGTGATTACTTTCGCCGGTATTGTATAATAATATTTGTTACAAAAATAGTATCCCTGATTATAATTCTTCCGCTATGTGCATTCATGCGTTATAAATACCAAACTTTTTTTTTCAATGTCGTTAATACTTAAATGAGTGTCGAGAAATTTTTCCTCGGCTCGTTTTATTTATATTTATTTCCGTATGTGAGATATCTTAATAGAGCCTTTAATACATATATATCGTTGTTAATAATGATTCGTGTCTTCGACTAATGGACGGCTGGCTGGCTCGTCAACTTTTTCTGCCGAGCGAGCGCTCGGCAAGACAAATATTTGCCGCATCTTGATCTCTGGTTATTTACCAGTCGACTCGACAGTACACGCTTCGATCGTCTTATTGTGTGGAAAAAAGAAACGAATCGCGTGTTACGATATCGTATCGATGCACAGATTGTTGTACATCCCGCCACGAATTATACAATCCAACTTCGAATAAGCGCGATAAACTCGATGATTTTTGCAGTTACTCACAACTGCTATCGTGAATTTTCCCTCAGCTTCTGATGCTGAGTAACGGAAGCTGAAAATATACTTCACGCTACGGCGTCCGTCGAGTCTCCAGTCATGACTCGTTCGTACAAAGTATGATGCTTTTCGATTGGGAAAAAATGCGAGATCACATGTTGAATGAATATTACTACTAAAACAGAAAATTTTTGCCTTCTTATCTGTACGCATATCTTGTTTACTTGTTTCTCATATAGCGAAGCTCTTGTTCGTATTGCACGTTGTGCAATCTTTGTTTAGCTTCGCTTCGCTTCGCTTTAACGAATTTCGTGGCGCGTACGAGGATTGCGTAAAGCGCTCGTCGGTTTTTATCGTTAAACGTGACTTTTACTTGGTACAAGTATATACACAATGTACATTTTGTTGAAAGTACCGTTTATATGCCATTCACTGAGAGCAATGTCTCGGATAACAACGATCACGCGATCCGATACGACATCGGGGATATTTTAATCTTTAATTGACAATTTGATGCGCTGATAGTGGGACAATATAGACTGTGACAAAATATGTTCGTAGCGTTTTCGCTGAATAATTCAATAGCATCCTCCCTCTCTCTTTCTCTGTTTATCTCTTTGTATTCCGATTTGTTAGATATATTGAATAATATATTTAATTTTGCTATACTGTATACTTTGTAGTACACAAAGCATTAAAGTTTAAACAAGTTACCAAAGCGACAAATTTTATTAATGAGAACCGAGTCTCTTTGTGTCTCACTTTTGGCGAGAATTCAAGAAGAGTCGTTAAAAGCAGAGCAGATAGGATGTATTGAAATTGACAGACAGTGAGATGTATTGATTTAAAGAAAAGATTACGTGCATTGTTATCGCGCGAAAACTCTTCTTTCTTATAAAACCTCGCATGCGACTGTGTTACCATCGCGCGTTCAATCAAGAAGGAAGTCAACGCGTTTATGCATCTTCTATTCTTAGTAACTGATAACGGTCTTGACGTTACGATTAAGCTTATCAATTGTAGTTTGATATCAGTTTCTTGTATATTTTTTTTGTATATATATATACGAATCTGATCAAAGAAGATTTCTTTACGTTTAGAAGATTACTTAACGTTCATACGTGTGCTAATTTTAGAAGCCCCGATCAGATTATCGAGCGCGATTCAACATTGACGTAGTCTCACGAGTGGACAATCAATTGCAGAGCGCTCCCTCCTTCGGAGAAGTTTTATATATTTACAAGGCGGC